CCCGTTTGGCGTGCCATCCTGCTGTCCGTTTTATCGCAAGCCCACCCTCCTGTACGTGATGGCACGCGGCACTGTACGAGTCCTGTACGAGATACAGCACGCCAGGGGCTGTTGTGTGCCCTGGAGGCGCCTTACGAGGGCAACAGTCGCATCTACACGACGCCAAGCGCCAGCTTCTAGCACCGCACCCCTTGCCAATCCTGTGCCATATCCAGAGCCAATGCCTTGGCCGCTGCAGTGCACGCAGGAGAGGGCGGAGCTATCCGTGGATCTTTTTCAGTGGGCGAGGTTCCACATGCGGCGCAGAATCGAATCGAGTCGAGAGCAGAGGCCAATTCCCTCGCTCTCCATCCGCCCAGCCAGCCCAGAGCAGCGGCGAAACTCCCAAGAACAAGGCAGAAGTGGCGTGGAGAACGCTGGGCTGCTAATGCTGATGGCGATTTGAATTAGCGGAACCCGATGCCTTACTCTTGTGTGCCCAAAAGCTGACTAGCGGTAGGCTTAGCCATTTAGCAGCCGCTGAGGACTGGACAGAAGTTCTGGCCATGATGAGGCCGCGCTCTGATTGAATGCTTCGCATCACACGCTTGGCCTCAACAGGCCTTAGGGCATCTGCAGCGACGCACGGTGCGAGCGCCTCCATGTGTGTGTTTGCCGTCCTAACGCCAGGTACGAGGCTAACAGCTTGGAAGTACTGCTTGGACTGGTCAAAAGTCGCGATAGAGGATTCTATCTACTGTGCTTAGTGTCACTAACATTAACCACGTTTGTAAGCATGTGCTGGATGAGCAGCGGTGCTCCTTGAATTCCCGTTGCGCTGCTTCTAAAGGTGTCTCAGCATTGGGGCCTTGTAATACTTGCTTGGGACAGCAAGACGAGATCAACGCCAAGTTCTCGAGGTGCGACTACGCAGCCGAATCGCCGTATATCTGGACCACGAGATACGGCCAATACCACAGACATGCTGATAACAAAGGTACCCGGTGCTATCGGCCGTGTGGTGTTAGTGCTTCAGATAGCATGGACCTGGTTTCTGGTACTAACGGGAACGGAGCACGGAACCTGGATTGGATTATGGAGCAAGCAACGCGGATGAGGCGATGTTGAGGCCGGCTTGAATTAGCATCAGCCACTGCTTCATCTTTGCTCGTGAGAGCAGCCACTGCCATCTCGACAAATTCATAATGAATTAGTAATTCCAGGCCTTCGTTTTGATGAGTTTGAGTTTGCTGTTGGTCGAGCTCGAGGGCGTGGCCTGAGGTAATATGCGCACGTCCACAGAGAGTCCATGCTTGAAAATACAGCCCAGGCAACATTACATACCTGCTGTATCTACTTACAATCTCAAGGACCTACACTGTGCAATGTACGAGTACAAAGCGATACCCTCAGAATACAGGTACAGCACTGCACCCAACACAACTCGCTTAACCCAAGCAGCTAAATGATCTTCACCGGTCCCACTGCAGCCGGCAGCTCTCTCGTTTCGGATGCTTCTGCTGTGGCTGTGTCGTGTTGAGCTCTCCAATCTCCTGATCGATGCGACGCTGTTCCGCCAGCTAGGCCTGAAGCTTTTGTACGTGCGTCCGGAGAGACCCAAGGAACTGCTACCTGCTGGTATAAGCGATATCACGGCGGGCTGGTGTGTGTGTGTGTGGATGGCCTCTTAATCTATTCGTCTGGCTGTTGCCGAGCTTCATGATGCATGCAGCATGCAGTGCAGGATGCTGCTGCAAATAATGGACCAAAGAGCGTTTCCTTGGCTCTCCACATCACATGGTAATCGTACCAAGAGAACAAACCTGCACGATACATGCAGTTATGCGGCGTGTTGTCTCGAGTTATGAATTTGCCTTGTACATGCATTTGGGTGCACGTATGATAGTGGCCTGTTTTCGACTTTGAGCAAGAAAAGTATTGCCACTTCTTCTCCGTTTATGAGGAAACGTGGAGTTTCCTTTTTGCTGATTTCTTTTGAAATGCACACCGATTTTTTTTCAATTTTTCAATTTTTTCTTCTACTTCGATTTCATAGTGCACCCTTGATTCAACCCGATGTCTCGGTGTTCCTAATGGCGTGTGAAACCACAGATACAGATCCCGTCTCCATGTCGCTTCCATCGGTCGAATTAAACCATAAACGAAACGATCCGCGAGAGAAAATAGAAAGAAAAATAGAACGAGAAAAATCTTCCAAACAGTCTCCAGCGTCGAGCCGGTCGCTCAAGATGACCCATCTTGAAAATACAGCCAATACCACCTTACCATTGACACTGCGCACTCGCCGGTCTGATCCAGCCATAGCTCTGTCTGTCCACTATGGACAATTGCTCTCTTTGCATTCCAATTCCATTGGTCGTCACCAGCTCATTGGTACCTACAAACAGCTGTTGTTTCCATCCATGCTTTAGATCTGTAGCTCCCGACACCAGATCGGCGACGCTCACTCGTGCCTGAAGATTATCCAGCCAGAATAAATACAGAGGTGTTGATCATCAAGAGCTAGCCACATCAGCTCCCAGACCTCGGCTCACCAGCTGTCTAACCTCCAACTTCATTCTACGATAACGAGGCTCTCTATGCGTCGTCTCTTAGCCTCAAGCGCAATCACTTCTATACAAGCTCTCTCCGTTACCGAGTGATGCCTGCAGACAATGCCGTATTGACCCCCAAGCTCTTGGTATCCATTGAGTATCGCCCAGACAATCAATTCATGAATGAGTTGTGGGTCCCCATGCTGTGATCAGCTACAGTGTTATTGACACAGTCACACACGCTCTCAACGGCTATGCAAGCAGCCAAGAGACCATCAGGTCCTTTCCGAGCATTACTCCATTCTGCGAACTAAACCGCATGACGGAATGGCGGACTGCATCTCTGCATTCTAGCATCTAGCCATGGTAGCTTGACGGCGTGAGATTTCCATTCCATTGCTAGATAGATCTAGGAACCACCGTGGTGTAGGTTTCACGCCGCTCAACACTAACAGCGCCAGCCGCCGAAAGCAATATACTTGAAACGCTGCCATCTCCCAGACAAGAAGCAAACGGAAATCGCAAGGGCCAGCCATGAGGTCACCGAGCGAACAAGGGCCAAGAACAAGGCGTGTTTGCTTTGTGTAATCTAGACAGAACCCGGCAAGAAACCCAAACGCACCATCACGTCACTTGTTGGCGAGAAAAAGCAATAGCTCCCCTCCCCCCGGAACCAAGCTTCTTTTCCCATCTGATCGGCCATCCATCCTCGCTTGACCGACCCCAGACCCAAGGCAAGGCCAGCTCCCAGACCCCCTTGAAGGAGGTTGTTCCTGGACCCATATCAAACGAGGTCAGGTGCACAACGTCGTCCAGGGCCCACAGCTTCTTTACGGCCTAGAGTGGGCAGAAGCGTCACAGTTGATGCATCAATCTTCGGAATGCGAGTCGGCAGAGCGGCTCTGCCATTCGCTGATTCGCCCGTCTGCCCATGCACGTTAACTGACCGACATGCTGCTAACGTGCATTTTTGAGTCACATAGATGATTTGGAGGCTTGAGGATTCCCATCTCGACCTTGGAACTGGAGCACGGATTTCGTCTGGGTCCCATTCGTCTGCTGCCGGTCTAATTCCTTTTGCTCTTTTGCATCGCAAGGATTGCCTTTATGCACACTAGTCCTGTACGCGGGAGGCCGCCCATGTGATTGAATGCATTGGCTGTATCTTCACTCTGCATTGGCATCTGCTGGCGTTCTTGTCTCTGTCCTTCCCAGCAGCCGGGACGCTTCTACCCATTGTTTTCTCTCATCGCAGTATCCCTGGTCTGTGTCACTTGTGCTTTCTGTCGCCCAGGCACGAGTCAATCTACATGTACAAGCAGACGCTTATTTCTCACGGGCTTGCTACCCACATGCTGCCTGCTGGGCCTTTTTCCTGAATAGAAACAGGGCTCCAGGAGGATTATTAACAGCCTGTTGACAGGTACCATCCTCTTCCTGACCTACACGACCCCAAAAATGAACCCCAATCTCACAAAAAACTTGCCCGCCCCTCGGTTTACCCCAACTCCCCATGGCGGGGCCCCCGGCCATTTCTTTTGCAGACTCCCCCGGATTCTGAACCTCAATCGGGCTCAGTCGCCTGCTGACCGGGAACCCTTGGGAGGGGGCGGTCTGTGGTAGCGCACTTGGTACACCATCGTGATACCCCTGTTTCCCCAGATTCTTCTAGCTGTCGGGCTCCACGGCCATGCAAAGTTGGAAATGGAACAGGCGATGAGCCGCCGTAGCTGGGATTTTCCTTGGCCTGTTCATCGTGTAGTTTGGGTGGTGTGGCTACCCTTTTTTTTTTTTTTTTCTCAGAGATGTCATTCACATCACACAGGCTCCATTTCAGTAAAGTCTCAAGGAGATCCGTCGTAAAAGCAAGGCCCGTCCTTCGCACATGTAGTCAGCTCCCCGGAATTACCGGCTGGAGGCAGCGCTGCTCTAGATCAAGCTGCTTGCACATGCAATCCCTGCTCCCAGCTCGACTGGAAACAACTGGTAGACCAGTCATTGCCCTACGATAACAATTCTTACTACATGTGTATATCCACTTGAACCGCCGGTCAAACGTCTCCTGAGCTCCCCGAGTTAGCCGGCAAACTTCGGGCAAAGAAGCCGGCATTAGCTGCTATGTAGTAGCAATTCTCCAGATTTTCTAGAGGGCTTCGTACTCGTTTCACACTGGGTCTCGTTCTTCGGCCCCAATCATTTCATCCTTGGTGGCTTTGGCTAATATCTGTTAGTCTCAGAGAACACTCGGCTATTGGTTTAGCCGCCTGTTTTAACAAAAGGGGGCATTGTCATACAAGCACGAACAAGAGCTTTACCGAAGGGAGATTCATCAATACTAGTGCAGCTAATAGAAAGCCACTGATCTTCACAGTGGAAGCGACCAATGCACAAGTGTGGACAAAAAAAGGGCTCGCACGAAATATGGATTACAGTACGGCCAACAGGAACAAGGAGCCTCACCTCAGGTCACATCTCACACAAGATGGACAAGTCCCAGACCCTCCAACTAACTCCAAAGACGGGATCACTTCCCTTGGCGTCATAGGGGCTCCTTCGCATTGGCGCTTGGAGTTTCCGGAGCAAGCTGCATGAACCTAGGCCCAGGCCAAGGGCAGCAGTTGGAGGTCTAAAATCCTGCCGCGCCAAAATGTCCCACGTGCTCGGGTACAGCTCCGGGGAGCTGCCTTTTGACGCTGTTGTTTGACAGAATGGTTGTCAGCAGCCACGAGGTCTCCCTAATTATAGACGGCACGCAGCGAAATTGCACCATGGGCCGGCTGGATAGTGCAAAAGAGGCCACGCTGCGATGTTAATACAAAAGAAGGACCCGTGGGAAGTCCGGCCCACAACGGTTTCCGGTGCTATCGACGGTGGCGTCCAGGGGCATTTCCGCCCCCAAGATTGCGCGGTTCCGGGGGTTCGCTTCAGCTTTTCGTTCGTTTTCTTGAGCGCTTTGGACGTCAATGCTGCGTGTTTTCGTGAAGATCGGCGTCCTACCTGCCGCTTCTCGGTGCGCTTCTCGGCGACGGCGTCATTGCAGAAACCGGGAATGGCATCGTACATACATAATACTAATAGCCTCCTAGAGCTAGGGAGGGCAAGTAAAAAAAAAAAACGAACGGCCCTGGTCGGTGCCATTTGTGCCGTGATGCTGGTCCCACTCGCACTTCGGGCCTAACAACAAAACCGCAATCGTGGTCCGCGCGGCTGGAGCGGACAAGCGGACCAACTAGCAGCAAGCAGACGGCAGCCCAATCGCATTGTGTGCGGGTTGGGTTGGGCTCTGAGATTCATTGCTGCCTGGTACGTCTTTACGTTTGTTGAGTTGCTGCTTTGGATGGCTTGGGAGAATTGTGGGGGAGTTTGGCCTGGATAGGAACGAGTGATTGACTTTATTGGGGGATTTGAGGTATTTCCAGTCGGCTGGTAGTGATATATACCTGCCCTGCCCGGATTGGACTGCGTCAATGCTGAGATATACGAGTAAGCGAGCGGCTAATGTAACGGCAGGGCAGGTGTCTCAAACTAGGAACTTCGCAAAGATAGTCGTGATGCATGAATCGTCCGGCCGGCCCTACCCTGTCTTGTGAGGGCAGCCAGCTTTTGTGCTTTGATACAGCAAAACATTAGAGATTGAATTCTTCGAATAAGGTGGTCGATTGGTTTTGAGAACTAGGAAACTACCTATCGCAGGGACAACTTGGCGTAGACATGCGGAAGTCGGCGTGTAGAGTATTCTGTGCGCGCATTAACTTAAGATTACTCTCAATAATTCAATTACGAAATGAACCTTAATTATGGAGTAAACAAGACCACGAGCAATACCCAGCTTGCATTAGGCATGCTGTTTGCAAGGCCTCAATGAACACTCAACGCAGAATGTGTTCTTCTCAGTACGGCAACCCACTTTGTCTAGGGCAAGTCATCTTCATGACAAAGCACCGAATCTCTCGTTAGAAGCCCTGTATCGCATCATGATACATCATAGAGGCGGAAATAACAAAGAGACAACGGGTATATCATTATCAGTGGAGCAAAGAAACCCAGGCGTCATCTTGACACGATCATATGATGGCACTGCCAGTCGGCTTCTCAACGAGTCAAGACTCTTTCCATGGGTGGAGAACTATCAGCGCCTTACAATCGTACGAAGGACAAGGGCATGACGGGCTTCGGAAATATACTCTGACATTCATCAAGGATAACGCCGATACGGAAGGAGGGATTGCAAGTCAATCATTGGCGATGATGGGCTTCGATTGTAAAAATAGCTAGGATTCATCATGAAATGCTCAACTTTGTGGTTCGCACTAGTAGGGGATTGAAAGATAGTATTTGGCATATTAGGGTTTCATGCCGTTGCAAAGGCTCGACCAGTTACCTATTTGGGGCATGAAAACTGCTGGCTTCATGTTCCCATCAGTGCACGGATAGAGCTTACAGCCATGTCATTCACGGTAATTACATGATGTAGAAGCGGAGCAGTTCGTACCTATCTTTATCTTATCCTGATGCCGCAGACACAGCGCTTAACTGATCGCCAGCTGACTGTAACGCTAGATCTGTGGAATGATCTCCAAGAGTATAGGGCATATAAGATAACGGGCGCGTGGGATCACGGACGGCAAGACACGTGTTTTCGTGGTAAGACTTATCTTTTATCCACTCGATTCACAAAAGTTACATCCTGTTGCATATTTGCCTGTGGTATAACGTCAATTCTTGCTTAGACTCTCTGGATAACCTTAAATCCGCAGCGGCTATTTCGTCTACACCACGCTTGAATCCCGCCCCCAGATTAGCAGGAATGGCTCATTGTTACCCAAGTATGGCACTTTTAAACTAGTCTATGAATAATGGCTAGGGAAAATTACTGGAAACTTTGATGCCTACGCTTTTCCGTTTGTTGTACACCTTATCCGACTTCCTAAATCCCGTAGGAAGTAAGGAATGCTATTGAAAAGGAAATCAGCCACAACGGGTTATTATTCGGTCGATGAAGCCATTTTGTTATCAAATCTCCGTAGGGATTTCTCATTAAGGGAGTTTGTTTCTGAAACAAGCAGTGCCATCATTCGTGTCGCTGCAATGTGACCCCCGCAACACGGCGATGCCATGTCCACCAATTGCTGGTTCGGATCCGGGGTTTGATCTTGACCTTATTCCGATTCAATCTCTATACCAATTCTCAACAAACTCGCCCGCAACAACTGCCAGGCGCCGCTATGTCTGCGATACAACGTAGCTTTCATTCAATGATTCAGTGCATCGTAATTTTTCATGTTTATAACACTTCGGGCCTTTTATGAATGGGGTTGTGGTGCTGCCGAAACAAAACAGTCTACTGCGGAAGTTCGGCACCCATGTGGACGGGTATTTCGGCACTTAGGTTACGTGTGTCCTCAAGACAGCATTAACGATGCCCCTAGATTCAAGCATCTAAACGGCAGGTCTTGTTATGATTGTCAAGAGCAACACGAGTTAGGGAAATGGTCAACGGACCGTTTAATTGGAAACTTCCCTGCTTATTGGTTTGACAACTGGGAGCCCGCTCCTCAGCCCGCTCCTCTGCTCACTGACGATGTTCCTTGTTCATGGGTAGCTTCTAGTCTTCCTTGTCGATTCTACTAAGACAAAGAAGGATGGTGATTATATCCTCCTGGGTCAAGATTGACATGCGTTGGAAGGGATGAGGGGTACTAATGGTGGTAAAAGGGAGTCGAGAGATTCCTATAAGACATTGATGAGTTCGTGGAAGGGAAAGGCTCTCGAAGAACGACAGCTCAAGCTCTTCAAAGGTTGTAAGCTACAAGTCCAGACAATTCAAAGCCCACCTAAACTCCAAAATGCGTGCCGCTCTCCTCGCCTCCATCGCTGGCCAAGCCGCCATCAGCGTTGCCCTTCCTTCAGAGCCTGCTCACAGCCCTCGCGCTGCCGGTGCCCAGGCTTACGCATCCAACCAGGCCGGTAACTACAAGCTCACCTCGATTGCTGCTCCCGTTCAAGGCAATGGAAGCCCTGGCTCTTCTACTTGGAACTTGGGCATCGATGACACCAGCTCCGGCTACAAGCAGAAGATCACCGGTTTTGGTGCTGCCGTGACTGATGCTACCGTCACTGCCTTCAACGAACTGTCAGCCAGCACCCTCAGCCAGCTGCTCAACGAGCTCATGACTGGTGCTGGTGCTAGCTTCTCTCTCATGCGCCACACCATTGGCGCCTCTGACTTGTCTGGCGACCCAGCTTACACATATGACGACAATGGAGGCAATGCTGACCCCGGCATGACTGGCTTTAACCTTGGAGATCGTGGCAATGCCATGGCCACCATGCTGGCGCAGATGAAGGGTCTTAACTCTAACCTTAAGATCTTTGGATCTCCCTGGAGTGCTCCTGGATGGATGAAGCTGAACAACGCCATCGACGGCAACACTAACAACAACAACCTTAACGATGGTTACTTGACCAACAACGGCGCTCAGTACTCGGCTGCTTTTGCCCAGTACTTCGTCAAGTACATCCAGGCATTCCAGTCGCACGGTGCCACCATCGATGCCATCACTCTTCAGAACGAGCCCCTGAACAGCCAGGCTGGCTACCCCACCATGTACATGTTCTCGTACGAACAGGGAGACCTCATCCAGAACTACGTCGCCCCTGCCTTGAAGAACGCTGGTCTGAGCACCAAGATCTGGGCTTACGACCACAACACTGGTATGTTCCGTTTCTCGTTACTAACAGACCCTAGGAGTCCCGATTGTTCATGTAGCTAACACAATTGCTCATAGACGTCCCTGATTACCCTGAGCAGGTCATTGGCATTGCTGGAAGCAATGTCGCTGCCGTTGCATGGCACTGCTATGCTAGCAGCCTGGACTGGACCGTCCTGACCAACTTCCATAACCAGTACCCCAACACTCCGCAGTACATGACTGAGTGCTGGACCCCATCCACCGGAGCCTGGAACCAGGCTGCCTCCTTCACTATGGGCCCTCTCCAGAACTGGGCCTCTGGTGTTGCTGCTTGGACCCTTGGCACCACTGCCCAGGATGGTCCTCACTTGTCCAGCGGAGGATGTGGCACCTGCACTGGTCTCGTCACCATTAACAACGGCCAGTACACTTTCCAGACTGCCTACTACATGATGGCCCAATTCAGCAAGTTCATGCCCGTCGGAGCCACCGTCCTGAGCGGCACTGGCAGCTACACTTACTCCAGCGGCGGTGGTGTTCAGTCTGTTGCTTCTCTCAACCCCGATGGCACCCGCACGGTCGTCATCGAGAACACCTTCGGCAACGACATCTACATTCACCTGACTACCACCAGCGGCCAGGAGTGGAGCGGCAACATCCCCACTAACTCTGTTACCACTTGGGTCCTCCCTGCTGTTTAAGCAGCTTTACGGATGCTTGAATATGAGGAAACTTTGATGTAAATATTTATCTTGATAGTGGTTTTGCCACTGCACATATGTATCTAGGGATTCCTCCCTGTTGATGTAGCATGAATGAATGAATAAGGTATACTTATTTTGGTTGTGTCTATCAAGTGCTTGATGCGTGTAAAAATAGTAGCGTGTCTCTCCTATAAGAGGTGTGAATATGTGGAGGTGTAAGCAACGAAACTACGATGAACATTGAGATAAATTGGGGTTATGGCGCGTGAATATGGCGTTATATAATGATTGGGAAAGTGGTAGTTTGCATTGTTCATGAATGACACACTCATCAATATACGTATATGATTCTGTCTTGTAGTTTCAATATTACCAAATACTGACTGTTCTTCAAACACTGCCGGCGCTAGCTCTGTGTCAGGGGTGATAAGTCGACTTGGAGTCAAGATCGAAGCGCCAACTACGGAACCGTCGGCGATACCATCTGCTTGACCGGCATAGAATTCCGGCTGACTGTCGAAGACTTGATAAAGGTCTATTTTGACATTGATTCCAGGGTGGGTGGTCATGAAGGAGTGGAAGTGGGCTGTAGCTTTCTTAAGCTTTGACAAAGCATCTACTGATGCGTGCAGAATCTGGGAAAAAAAAAATGTAGAGTATCTCTTCTAGGGTATCCAGAGGAGCCTGGGCGGGAACGGGGCATTTGAATTACCTTTATGAAAGCGGCCTGAAAGCGGAATTATAGCGGTGCTTGAGCTGCATGAGATCAAATGATTCTCCACATGGGCTGCCGGAGAACATGCTGCTGTTACGTGTGGAGTATCTCCCAACCTCTGGGAGACACATGTGCTTGCCGTAAACATTCCCATTTTCATCTAAGCAACTCCCCAACAGTTCATCTTACTTGACTTAAGTCATACACGAGTTTCTGCAGGTTACCATGGAGCTTCTGTTAATTTATTTTACAACTATACGTCAATTTCTGCTAACAGAGTTGGGGGCTTTTTATTTGTGTGCATATGCAGCGTACAAGTTTGCTTACAACCGAAAACAATATTCGTGGTCCAGGTCAATTCAAACCCCCTCCTTCGAAACCTGTGAATGCTGCGAGACAAAGATGACAACCCCCGATTGATAGCATAAATACAAAGCCTAACGCTCTCCATACCTATTCGTTCAATGCCGCAACGCACTCAATCTCGACGTCTGAGCCCATGGGCAGACCTGCGACGCTGACGCAAGTCCTGGCCTGCACTTTGTTAAAATTTTCTCGCTTACCGCGATGAAGCTGGTAACTTACGGGGAAAGGAGCCGAAAAAAACTTTGCGTAACCCTCATTCATTGGGCCAAAGTTATCCATAGTCGTCAAGTAGACATTGACTTTAATGATTCGCTTGAGAGATGAATTGGCAGCCTCCAAGAGGGCAGATATATTGCGAATTGTTTGTTCCTATATATTAGTTAGCGTCTGATCAATCTTTTGTCTGCCATCGTCTTGTAAAGTGTGTCTTACAGTGCGGTCTGTCACCGTGCCTTCAATGAGCTTGCCTGTCTTTGGGTCGATGCCAATGTTTCCAGAACAATAGACGAGGCCATTGTAGACTTGAGCCTGCGAGAAGAGAGAAATAGGTGCTGGTGCTGCGTCTGTTTGAACGGGCTGTGGCGAAGGCATCTTGGCTATTGTGAAGAGTCTGATGGTTATCTGGTTTCAGTATCTGAAGATAGCTAGAGAGCACACCTATGTGTATCGTTCTATGTGGTGAGCACTTCATACTTTTATCTTCAAGAGACTGGCAAGACGATGTTCTTGTTGCTTTTGATGCGCAACCCTAGAGCTCCGATCTCAATGTCAACCCCACCCCAAAGGGCGTATTAGCGCCATTAATTCCATTGATTCCATTGAGTCCTTACTAGGAATGACTTGCCTATTTGTCATTGGATCGAATATCTGAGGCGTTATTGGCGCCGGTGATAAGGACTTAAGAGGCTTTGTCATGCCGCTGAATCAGCAATGCCGCGAATAGCCTTCAATCCTTGGCCGGCCGATGGCGCTGGCCTTTTGACGGTGTGATGATGCTCACTGATAGGCAGCCGATCGCGGCGAAGAGATGAATTGGCGATGTGATGATTGGTTTGACTGGGGGGGCACATGCGGTACAGTCAGATATATTAGCTAAGATGCTCGATTTGATCAAGGCGCAGATCCAGACCTCTCAACATCTGCATTTGCTTAGTCAATCCTGCTGACTTGGCGCATTAGTACATCTGTCCAGCTCTTTTATTTCCTGCAAGTTCTAGAATTTATTTCGTGGCAACCATGGCTGAGTCAATAGATGCTGCCAACTCTCACCAATTCGGGCGAACATTTGGGGAGAAATACTTCATGTTCAAACCGGGTTTCATCCATCTGAACCAAGGTGAGTTATACATTGAGTTCAATGAGAGGAGAATGAAATGAATTTTATAAGACGCCTAATTTAATGCCATAATTAGGGTCTTATGGCGGATATCCTCGACCAGTGCGGGATGCCTTACGCTCTGTCCAGGACTCAGTGCAGGCCGAACCGGATGCCTTTGTTCGATACGCATACCCGAAAAAGCTTGACGAAGTCCGCGAGTTGGTTGCAAATCATGTTCACGCTGCCAGCAAAGATGAAATTGTGTTAATCCCAAACGCAACATTGGCACTCAACACCGTGCTTCGCAACCTGAGGTATCAGACTGGAGACCTGATTGCCTATGTAGAAGGGACTTACGGAGCAATCGAGAAGACGGTGGATTATCTTGTGGAAACTACACCTGTAGAAAGTGTCCGTGTTCCATTTGATTGTACTGCTGATGATGACGATACTCTTGTTGAATCGTTTCGATCTGTGCTGCAAGAGCATCAAGGTCGCGTTCGGGTGGCCATTTTCGATACCGTCTTGAGTATGCCAGGACTCAGGATGCCGTTTGAGCGCCTGGCAGAAATTTGTCGGGATTTCAGTGTACTAAGTGCAGTCGATGGAGCTCATGGCATCGGCTTGATCGATCTTAATCTAGAAAAGCTTGGTGTCGACTTTTTCACCACCAACTGCCACAAGTGAGTCCCCATTTTACTGGCGACAAATTAAAATGCTTCAAATTCTGATATTGTATTTAGATGGCTCTTTGTACCGCATACATGCGCAATTTTATACGTCGCATTGAAGAACCAGCATCTCATGCGGTCTTCTCTTCCAACATCTCACGGCTTTCAACCACTACCTGAAATTCTACAGAAGAAACAGTACATGAGTCCGTATGAGCCTCCTGCTTCTACAAATCCATTCGTATTTCAGTTCAGTTATACTGGGACGATTGATAACGGGCCTCCTTTATGCATTCCCGCGGCACTGGGTTTTAGAAAGAATATTTGTGGAGGTGAAGAAGCCATTCAAGCTTATTGCCAAGCATTGGCCCGAGATGGTGAGAAACTTGCAGTTGAGATCCTACAGACTCGAACATTGCCCATGCCAGAGACGAAGCGAGTTGCATTTGCCAATGTCCAGCTTCCTCTTAATATTCTCGCGTCTGGCGCAGGAGATGACAATTCTATTGCTCTGGCAGACGTTCCAAAGGTGATGAATTTTATTTTGGAACATCTTGCCCAGGACTACAATACTTTTGTCAATCTTGCGTTTATTTCAGGGTCTTTGTGGGCAAGGTTCTCAGCTCAGATATATCTTGAGCTCAAGGACTTTGAGTATGGCGCAAGGGCACTGAAGGAGTTGTGCCAGAGAGTTATTAAAAGGGAATATGTAACAGTGTAGAGCATTCCATAAGTTTTTTTTTATTATTTTCAATTAGTCTTTGGTCATACATTGATTATGCTTAGCGGTTTATCGTTTCCTCTTAGGCTGTTGTTGGAAGTCTTGATCCAAGGAGAAGAGTGAAGAAGTCAAAGAGGTTATTAAGTCGAAAGCTAGCAATGACCGCGCAGTTAGGTGTTGCATAATGACTGTATACCTCTCTGACCTCTCTTTGAGCAGTGGGAGTGCTCTCCTCTTTTTTAGTTCTTTGATAAGACACAAAGAACTAGCTGGAATTTAGATGCTCCCTTACAGCCTCGTGGCAGCTGTCTTGTTCAGTTTCTCAGCCCAGCCATCTACATTCAACACCTCATCCACAATAGTGGGCCAGATAATATTCTCAGCAGCCTCTTTCAGTTGAACGGAAAAGCCGGCAGTTGCATCGCTTCTACGGCAAGGGTTAGCATATCAATACCTTTAGTGTCTTGAGTATATGGGTATACGCACATGATGGTGACATGATATCCCCTGAATTGGTACATTTGTTAGTAAGCATCATGTATGTTGAAGGTATCAAATACTTACATTTCAACGGCCCAGCGGGCGGTGGCTTCGAGACATGTGTTGGCAACCATTCCGGCACATACAACGTGAGTGATATCTCGCTGGCGAAGATGATAGTCAAGATCGGTATTGGCAAAAGAGCTACATCCGATTATTAGTCATGAGAAATTCGCACAGCTAAACATATGAGCGCAATAATAAAATCACCTGCTGTTCCAGTGGCGCGACACGATTGCATCGCCATTGCTTCGATCCGGCTCTAGTCCTTTGAGAATTTCTGCTCCGAAGCTCCCAGCCAAGAAAGCCTTTGATTGCTGGATACTGAAATGACTCTTGGTCATGTGATTCCAATGTTCGAATTGGCCTTCTTCAAATAACTTGTGCTGGCAGTACATAATAGGAATGTTGTTGCTCCGGGCAATTTTGACGAATTTCTGGAGGTTATTCACCGTGTCGGCGGCATCAATGCTCTCCTTGAGACGACCATAGATTTTGCCATCTGGATGCAAAAAGTCATTGAGGGGGTCAATGAGCAGAACTGCTGTTTTCTCCTGCATTTTGAGAGTAGATTCGACTGAGGCCTTTGTAAAACTGTTGATGGGGTGAAGTTGGATGAGACGAGAATGAGATGAGAATGAGAAACATGGTTGAACTCTAACACAGTTTATATACCAAGTGAGGGGCAAAGCTGAAGGATGAACTTTTTGCGATGGAACTACAGTATACTTGGCCGGAGTTCTTTTCCTGAAATTGATAGCTTGGATAATCATGAAGTCACAACTGAACTAAGCATGGTTTGAGATAGGTAACCGAGGTTAGTTGACCGTGCTATTCCTGACTTGAGGTTTTGTCAGCATAGTTTGTCAGATTCTGGCCGCGCATTTTGTCGGTGTTGCGGTGTTGAGGAGTTGCGGTATCGCGGGGTTGCGGTGTTGCGGTGTTAAATAAAACCCCGCGGAGTGCGCTCTACATTTAACTCCGGTTTACAACATGGGGATTATTCTATAGCTATCTGAATACGACGCAACTGTGTCTACAAATATTAATAAGTGGTTTCTCATCAAACTCCATATGGTGAGGAATGAATCATGTCGTCCGGACATCTTGCGTGTACGGCCTAAACGCCGGAGTATCGACACATTTATTCTCCGCCTTTTAACTCATGTCGATTATGAAGCTTGGCATCGGAGTAAAAGCCAAGAAATGGATTTAGCGCGTTGATTAATATAAAGGCCAGTGGGAGGAATGCGTGTGCACTGAAGGGTGGTTCTCGCAACTAATCGATATCATTTTTCTCCAACTACAGATGCCTCTGAGAGGCATTGGTGGGGAGTGTCATATTTACTTTTGGAAGTTGTCAAAGAGGACAGCGAAATAATGTGAAATGTTTGTTTGAAAATATGAGAGCAAGGCAGAGAAGAGCAGCAAATCAGCACGGTCACTTCGGAGAGGTAAGTAGGGATGTTGGAGTCAATGTACTGCGCATAGCTATGGTATTGAGTGTCTCGTTTTTGATACATCTGGGATTATTAATCTTGAGCTATCGGCTTGGATACAATACGGAGTCTTCAGAGGAACGATGGAAGAGAATGTGGACTATTTGAAGTGTCAACATAAACTGCGGGAGCCCCAGATTCTTCAAATTCTTCTGCACAACAGCCGGCCGCAATCTACTATGATTAGGTAACACAGCTTAGTCACCAAATCCAAACTATCGCGCCCTTCATTCAATATTTCCACGTTTAATGCTACAAACTAGCCCCTGTTTCATTCTATCCCGACGATATCCGCGAAGGATCAACTATCCTGTAGGTATCTCTATTAAGCTATCCTCCTTCAGGATGATGACCAATCTCTGAGGTGGGGGCTCAATAACTATCATGAAGCTGATTCCACATAATCAGCCTGGGAATTGTCTGTGGGAGAGCCGATATCGGTATCATTGCTGTACATAAGGGGCAGTTTAGTTGTAGGGGAGTAACTAGTCAGCATAAGAATAAACAGTCAAACGTTACGAAGTATTCACATCGCCAACATCATCTCTAGTATTACATCGTCTTTGCTATTAGCCAACCTTCGGGATGCCTATGTATCATTTTGAACTTGCTATTAAGCTTACCCAAACCCAAAAGCTGGCTTTGGTCCGAAAGATCACCGACTGGCACGCAACCACGTTCAGGTCGCCGCGGTTCATCGTCAATGTTCGTTTTATTGATGTGTCCCAAGGCCTCTTGGCGGATTCCTACATTGGCGGCGCCCAAAGACAAATCAACCGCCTTTTCGTCAGTCTCCGAAGTGGTGCTGGCCGCAGCCAAGAGCAGCTTGAAGGCATGGCCGACAAGCTAGAGGGGTTCTGGAATGAAGCCGTCGGCAAAGAGTCTATTGCGCAGCAGCTCAGGGGAGTTTTCATCATGGGAGAATTGGATGTTGCAAAAGAAGCAGGATTCCACCTCCCTCTAGTAAGCTTGATATGTCAAATGCAAATTTTGATTACTGACATGGTGCAGCCTGGCCGCTTCGAGCAGTGGGTAAAAGATAACACTGATGAGTTTCACCGCTTGGCAGAAGAGGGCGACCCCGATGCCGCACAAGTTGTTGAAGAGATGAAGGTCAGGCCCGAATTTCAGAAATAAAAAAAAAAAAGAACTGCTATTAGATGACGGACGTTCTGTATGAATGCACCCTTTGATAGCCACTATTGGCCCTGTAGGGGAACAGAAGAGCAAACGATGGATAGGATCGCGTCTTACATTGCAGCGGGGCTTGGAATTGGAAGATGATTGCAAGATTGAGGGTTAAGTAGTCTGAACACTGAAGCCCCCTGCTGAATCTTAGTCCTCACAGCGCATGTTCTCTGGCCCAACGTGAGATTTACATCGATACTGTGTGTCTCACAGAGGGTCTGACTAAGCGTGATTACCTGGACTATACAATTGCTCGCCTCGTGGGCTAATGTTGATGTAAACCATTGGTGGAGGAGGCACTGGCCCCTAGAAATAGTTGTGTTGGTAAATTTCCTGCCCACTAATACGGAGCCCGTACTTAATAATTTGACTCGAGGACTGAGCTTAGAATAGGCACATACCCATTTACAGTAATAAGCAGGCGTCATCCCCCAAGCTTGAATCCACCATCGCAAATGTTGGGCATTCTTATCTCGGCAGTCCAGGCCAAGGCCGGGATCCACCAGTTTCCAAATCAAGGCATCCAGTAACTTCGAAACGTGGCATGTCACTGTGATTTCTCATTATTCCCAGCACTAATACCTAACTGGCACCTCTATTTCTCATCTTGGACCCTTCGTGGACTAAATTAAGGCCCTGTCACTTAGTGGATCCCTTGAGAGTGGGCTAATTCATCAGCTGTCAAAGCATGTGAAAACGATCAATTCAGATCGATCTGGGGCCTTTTGTTCAAGGTCTGGACGCCACATGTTACTCTGAAGGGGAGTAGATGAATGTCATTGTTTTTGCCGCCTATTTTTGCGGTTACTTATATTTTTTTCTCACTTATTTCTCTCCGCGTCTGTCTCTGATCATTCGGCACGCAAATGGTCGCACAAGCGCTCTCAAGTTTTGAGCTCTCACTGTATTGTCACCGAACCGAGGCACGGAGAAGGATTAACAAATATGTTCATTTCGCCGAGGGGCGGGTCAAATCATGCCCAACAAGAAGGGCTACGTCCCAACAAAGCCAACTAAACATCGAATTATATTCTTTTTAACATCCTTTATCAGGGCCGTGACGACTCGCGAATACACAGTTTTGTGCAGGCCAGCGGCTAGAAGATTCAACCTCTTCAAACAGTACTTACTTTCATTGTCACACGGAGTTATTCTCGCGTGAGAACCTTATCAATCGACAATGATTGAGGAAAAGAAAGACTTTTTCCCGGGCTTCAGCCCCTTGTCTGACCAAGTCTTCATCCGCCACCCTGATGCACAAAACGAGGCTGTGAAGCGCCCAACCGATCCCCGGGCCGTCCTCATCTATTCCTGGGGCGATGGACAGCCAAAGAACTTGATCAAATATGCCGACGGATACCGTGATCTCTTCCCCTGCTCAACGCAGATCGTCGTGCTAGCCCCCATCTCAAAGGCCATGTGGTCGGGTCTCGACCAGCGCACGCAATCCATGAGGCCAGTCATTGACGCCATCTTTCCACGGGAATCGGAAGACGACAAGGACTCTCCAAAGGTCGAGGACCGTGTGCTGGCTCACATCATGTCCAACACTGGAGGTATCAACTATGCCGCAACGCTGAATGCCTATCGCCTCGTCCACGACAAGCCGATGCCGCATCACCTGCTGGTCCTCGATTCCACGCCTGGCAGCGTCATCATGACTCGCGAGAACTTGGTCCGCTGGTCGCGCGCCATGGCTCTGGGCACTGCAAACTGGTTTCCCTGGCCGTTTGCCGTCACACAAACGCTCTGGGCTGGATTCCTTTGCGGAAACCGCCTCCTCGAATGGGTAATCGGCAAAGAGCCCGCGCCGGCGTTCAGTGTCAAGGCGGTGATCAACCCGTACTACGAGACCAAGGAGACGCGACACCTGTATATTTACAGCGAGGATGACGATCTCATCCCGTATCAGGACATTGAAGAGCATATTGCGCAAGCACAGAAAAGGGGATACAAGTCTGATAACCACATGTTCAAGGGAAGTGGCCATGTGCGCCACATGCAAATGTTTAATGAGGAGTACTGGGGAGCTATCCGAACATCGTGGAACAGAGCCACGAGCGAGCCTTCTGATGAGGCGTAAAGGAGTTTGAAAAGGCCGAAAGAGGTCATGATGAATTTTGCGTTGTTTTTTATAGACTAGCTTGCATTGCGTGTTTACATTTCTGGCTCTGTATATAAATCTAGAACACAGCTGATTAAATCCTGTTGCTTTCCACTAGACAAACCATGGCGAGACGGGATAAACAGATCACCCATGAATTTAATTGCATGAATTTCTCCTCGCCGCACCCTGAAGCAATATGCGAACCTGACTAACACAGCTGAGCATGGGCAATGGGGCTCGCCAGTAATATCTGATCAGATTAGGTAGACAATTTGTCAGTCGCCAAGCTCTACCCCCTAGTGCTCAACGGAAGCTTGCGGGCCAAGAGTAAGAATAAAATCGGAGAGTCGTCAATTCAATCGTTAGGTCTAAGTAGGTTGACTATAATTTGGACCATGGCGCCGCGCCATGCAGACAAATAAATCCACTGCCCACGAAAATAGAATCGACCATCACTAGCAACTAGCAGACGCTTAACCCTGCCAGTTCAAGCAGTCCGCCGTGATTTTTCCTGGTTTCGTCTGAAAGGATATTAATATGTATGATACCCCGCAAGACGGGGGGGCTATTAACTGCATAGAAGTCCGAACCATGCTTGTTGCTTACGACGACGACATCGTACTTATGCTTATATTACTACATATCCGCGCCGTATTAGGAAATTATAAGAGAAAACGCCATCGTTTATGATATGGGGTATGAACCATGTCACCATCATGACAATCGAACAACCAACCAAATTGTAAAATTGTAGCAAATCCAAAATACACAGAACAACATATAACCCAAACTGGTATCCCTGATCCACGTACTCCATGCACACGCGTGCTCCGGCTTATACATACAATACAATAGCAAACTAGTCGTATCATTCTCGCACAATCATCCGCCAAGCAAGTTTTTCAGCTTCCCCCTCAGCTCTTCCAATTCACCCTGCCTGCTCTGTGCCTGTGCCCTCCAGTGGTCCGCATCAGCCTTGTAGAACTGTGACCGTGATTTTTCCTCTCCTAGTATTCGATTCATGTCGTCCATTTCCTTTTTTAATCGTTCATTCTCCACACGCAGGCTTTCTGAGTTACGCTGGCTTGACGAAGCGGCGTTGCGCTGCGCCAAAATGAGCGCATTCTCATTGATCCTCACATCTTGCTGTAGCCTCACAATAACGTCCTCCAGTTGTGCGATTTTCTGCCTAGCGTCTCCAAGATATTCTAGCTCTCTGAGTAGTAAGGATACGGCATCATCCACCTCAGCCGACAGAGTAGAAAAGCGTGAACGAGGGCCGCGCGGACCAGCCACGATCCCACGGCCTGGGCCATTGAGGTTAATTACACCGGAGAGAGGCGTTGAGGTGCGGGGACTTGAAACCGGAGTCGACCGCGTGAGAGGAGTCGTAAACTGATTCTGCGATAGCCAGGTGAAGGACGTCGGGCCCGAAGCCTGGGCATTCTGGGTTGGTGCCGTAGGAGCAGGTGAAGTCGAAGTTGACGGCGCCCGTATTTCAACGCTGGGCTGCACGTTTGGCCTGTGACTGGGCAGGGCCACCCTCTGTCTCTCAAGCGGTGGAGATGGTGGCGGGCTGGGCGGCGGCAGATGCTCGTGCCATTGGCGATTGACACAAACTCGACAGAAAAAATTGTCGCTGTGGGTAAACTCATCGATCGGGGACTCCAGACAGCGCTGGTGGAACGACCTTCGGCATGTGTAGCAGTCCAGCAGGTCCATCTCCCGTTTGCAGACGAAACAGAAGGCATCGTGAGGAGAGCCATTCTCTGTATCTCATGGTCAGTACATAGCAAGTGAGAGCTGATAAAATGGCATAGCAGAAGGATGAAACCGGGCAAAACTCACTGCGCCAAGCTCGATATCTCTTTTCTACGCAAAGAAAGTTTTATCAGCACTATTTGATATCATAGTTCATACGGTGTCAGACACTCGACTCACCAGCGTCCCCCATGGGTTCCGGATTCCCATTCACATCCTCACTTCGGGGCTGCGGCTTCGCAATGATTGTTTTGCCAACTTCGACCACTGAGCCGCTGCCCTCGGTATCTGAATCCTCCGTCCGCCGCTTCTTCCCTCTTGGCGGTGTTTGTGACATGATTGGCTAGCAACCTTATACGAGGAGCCCTGGGCACAAGCGATGCCTTCCGCAGCTCTTTATAAGGCGCTAGGCCTTCTACAATTGAAGAGGTGTATGAGCGAAGCTCTGGCCGCGATATTCCAGGGGTGGCAGGAATTATATTATTGTGCTACCACGCGCGACCATTACGGAGTAGAAAAGGATTATTAATAACGATCCAAATGGCCGGTGTTTCTGGTCACGTGACGGCCGAAATAATAATAATCGTGATAAGTAATGGTCAAAATCAGCGTTTCGGCCCAAGAAGCTGGGCTCCATGCCTTAAGTATTTCGCAAATCGCCAGTGGCTGGCTTTGCCCACCTTGGTCATAGATTCCGTTCGAGTGCTGGCAGTAAGCCCACGGCTTCCACGTCTGTACAAATCGGTGCTAGTTTCCAGCTTCAGCAGCGGATCTCGTCCAAGTGGGATGAATGATTTGTCCTCGGAATTCGCATACGGGAATCTTGATTTGCGATCACCGAACCCTGTTCGTCCAATGGGGCTGCTTATATCTGAGCAAGGATGGTTTTGCTAGCCCTGACTTTGTATTACGAGCACCCTTTTCTATGCATAGCCCAGGTCTTCTGGGCTCTCAGCTGTCTCAACCACTCCCTTGCGGACCAATTACTCTTCCTCCCTGAAGCCTGTTCTGCTCTAAGCCATAAACCGCAAGTGCATCTTGCCAAGAGAAACGTCAGCCAGGCGCCACTCGTCAGACTTGGGATCCTCGGGTTAATATAGTTATTTCGGCCGCCTCGCTTTTCTCGCCTCACTCGCCGAATTCGGACGCAGATTACCAATCGAAAATTGATGATCTAGCCAGAAGAGGCAATCGGAGATTTCGATCCATCGAAACAACTCCGCTTGATTAGAGCAGATGACGAAAAGCCACTTGTACAGCGTTTGCTTTCAGGAAAGAAGAGCGCATCTATCATAGAATATGGCTTGTGTGTGCGTCACGACAACTTTACGAAGCACTTGATATTTCTCTGCTGTTAAACTCTGGAAAATGCTGCTATAAGCTCGATGATGCATCTTGAGAACTGCAAACCACACAGAGCTATTAGTCTACAGTTACTCCGCACTTCGGCCTCTGCATCCAGACTAGGAAATGATTTGTCATGAGGACTGAAACCTTCATGACTACCTTGGGAAATAACCATGGGAATAATGTGACCCCCTCCCAAGGATCATCCATACCTAATGAGTTAACGGAATTTGCCGTGGCTCGGCACAATCATTTCAGAGTGGAGGCCCCCCGGATCTCTCATTACTAATGTTGATAAGTAAACTTGAATCCCAACTCTGCTTCCAGTCTTACTCCTTTTCTCGAATGCGGATATATAGTCATACTGGCTTGGCGTTCTAGCCTGGTAACTTGGCTATTGATTTGGAAGACTAGATGTCTTCCAACTCGCGAGTCAAGATGGACGTCATTGAAGACAGAATGGAGAACGCGCCGCCTGTCGACAAAGAAGATGACTCGTCTCCAACAAGTGACCCGGAAAGCACCCCCGGAAGTTGTCATGAATTGGATTGGGAAGACGATCCTCGCAATCCATACAATTGGAGCGATGGAAAGCGAATGTATCATACCGTTTGCGTTGCTCTCTTCGCGTTTACCGTGTAAGTATACAGCGGCTGCAATCATGACATGCAATAGAGGGGTATGGCTAATCCGGCGCTCCATCAGCACGTACATGTCGTCGGCCTACGCACCAGGAGCAAAAGCGACTGGCCAGGAATTCCACGTATCCGAAACGGTTTCCCTCCTCGGCATTTCGCTCTTCTGCCTCGGATTGGCCTTTGGACCGGTGATAGGCGCGCCGCTTAGTGAGACCGCAGGACGACTGATTGTATACCGCCTGGGGTTACCTATTGCTACAATTTTTCTCATAGGTGCTGCGGTATCTAAGAACATAGGCGCCATCGTCATTTGCCGCTTCTTTGCTGGTGTCTTTGGAAGTCCGGCATTGAGCGTTGGCGGAGGGACAATGGCAGACATGTGGCCTCCTGCACGACGGGGGCCTTCGACAGCTCTCTTCGTCATGGCACCCTTTATGGGGCCCTGCATAGGTATTTCAATAACTCATAATCGCATTTTATGCCCTGTACTAACTCTTCTTCAGCTCCAATAATAGGTGGGTTTGTTGTGGAAAGACTCAACTGGCGGTGGCTCGAATGGGTCTCCGTCTTCTGGGGTGTTGCAACATGTGTCTTTGCACTCGGCATGAAGGAGACGTACAAAAAGAAACTCCTCGAAAACGACAATAAGAATAAAAACAAAGAGAAAACATCTTCTGGAAGAAAGATGCCTTCGTTGAGCTGGGGTGCGATACACAAATGGGCAACCGAGTCGCTGGTGAGACCTATGCAGCTTCTCTTCACTGAGCCCATCGTCCTGTTCTTGAGCTTGTACATTGGCTTCGACTTTGCCGTGCTCTATGCCTTCTTTGCTTCTATTCCATTTGTCTTCCAGCAAACCTATGGCTTTAATTCTCATCAGAACGGACTTGTCTTTATCGCCCTTGGTATCGGCACACTTCTCGCAACCCTGACTAATGTTCTTTGTGATCGCTTCATCTATCAGAAGAAGTGCGCCGAGGCGCGCGAAAGGGGAGAGACAGGTCATATATCACCCGAACAGCGCCTCTATCCAGCCCTAATGGGAAGTTTGGGGGTCGCTGTTGGCCTCTTCTGGTTTGCTTGGACCGCTCGTCGTGACATACACTGGATCAGCCCAGTGCTTGCTTTGATCCCTTTTAACTGGGGCAATCTCTGCATATTCGTGAGTCATTCCCATCTCCTGTAGTTGAATTCACAAGCTATATCCTGACAAAAGGTACATGAACTAGGCTACTAGCATTACCTATATGATCGATTGCTACGGTGCACGATACGGTGCCTCGGCGCTCTCAGCAAATGCCTTTACACGCTATGTATTTGCAGCTGCTTTTCCACTTTTTATTATACAAAGTAAGCTGATCATGCTGAGGAAATAAACCTTTCTTGACAAAACGCTCTGACTCAAAGCCTTCTAGTGTATGAGAAATTGACGACGAAATGGGCCGCTAGTCTGCTTGGCTTCATCGCCATTGCTTTGATCCCAATCCCCTGGATCCTCTTTTCATTTGGTGCGAGGATCAGAAGAAAGGGCCGTTATGCTATTTGAGAGTACAATCTTACTATCAAAATGCAAATCCATCTGGGCTAAATTCATGGTAAAATTGGAGAAGATAGGAGGAGAACAGATGCGTGTTTGTTGATTGGAAAAGGATCAAGGAGCATAGACTTCATTATCATAATCAAAGCTTATAATAACAAATCACAATAGACTGCACCATATATTGAATAATAGTTTACCCTAGTCAAATCAAATCTCAAAGGATCCGTTGTACAATCATAAACCTATGAAACTCTGTTTCTAACACACTATTCTATACTGTCCTGGATGAATTAATGATTGTTAAATAATAAACATTTACTGAATTTGGACCATCTTGAGATTCCTTGAAGTATCTATCTAAGATTGGTCATCTCACTTATTATATTACTGATCTCCGTTTGTCTGGCGTTGGGGGGCCACTGGATTTTTTTTTTCCAGTAGTCTTTTTTGTTTCACACAGTTGAATATTATCTTGTTTAAACAATGCCTTGGTATGCTCATACATACAAGTATTTCTCTCCCATCTAGGCGATTACAATGCTCATCAATGGCATACCTTGGAATAGCAGGATGTCGAAACCGAACATCTCCCGGAAGACCATTGAGGCATGTAACTCAACGCAGGTATCGCATACAGGCTCCTTGTTTGTTGTTATATCATTCGAATAGTGTCAAGTGCTAGTACATACGACCATAGGTAGTGGAAAATTCGGGGTCCCGTCAAGCTCTTTTCTTGAGTTTGATGTCTTCCATTTTTTGCATTCCAAGACTCCAAATTTGGAGTCACATAAATCCGTTTTTGGCGGTGAGCCAACCCCGCGCTAAGATGCTCGCCACCGTTTAGTCCTCCACCCACAATTAAAACGGGCCAACGCTACCACCGTTTTTTCTACCCATAAACGTAGCTGTAGCGCTTGTAGCGATAAGGTACTATGAAAACGACACAATCAGGCGCACCATCAAGACGCTAAAACCCCACAGCAAACATAGAAGTCCTCCGCCCATTTGGCCACATACCCATCGACTTCCCCTTCTTCATGATCCGCGAAACGGGTTACTTCCTGAGACTAATTATTACCGCTCCATGGGCCAGTCTAAACAAACACATGCTGACTGGGGCTTTACGGGGGGGTCAACGGCCACCATATGCCCTCTGAAGTACTGTATTCGGGTTATCGCGAGAATATTGGAAAAGGAAAACTCGCCGCTGTGGCCTTATCACACCGTATATGCAGAAAAGTCTTTACGACAAACAGCCAAGAGCTCTCTACCAGGCCACTGGAAAGTCGATCCGCAGGGACAGGGATGGCTACCCCGTGCCAGCCTGCATGGCGAGGCTGAACCTCAGGCGCTAACCTTCCCACCTCCTCTTTCCCTTCCCCAAAGTCGTTATAATGCTGATGCCACCTGTCCCTCGGCCTTGGCGACACGAAACTTCACCCCCGATTATTCACCACGTTCCACAAAGCCATAAAAGGCTTGTCCCATACCGACTCGCCTAGTGCATGACAAGCGAACATGCCAAGTCCGAACGATTACACGGTAGGGTGGATCTGCGCCATAACCACAGAATATGTGGCGGCTCAAGCTTTCCTGGATGAGAAACACGATGCACCTGAATACGTATCCCCGAACGATAATAATATATATACATTAGGAAAAGTCGGGAAACACAATATTGTAATTTCTTCTCTACCTGATGGAGAGTATGGCACAGCCGCCGCAGCAAGCGTCGCCAGAGATATGTTGCGCAGCTTCCCTAATGTTCGGATTGGTTTAATGGTCGGCATTGGCGGCGGCGCTCCTAGCCCTGAGCATGATGTTCGTCTAGGAGACGTTATCGTCAGTGCTCCGCGCAATGGGCAAGGTGGCGTGATCCAGTATGATTTTGGCAAAACAATTCAGAGCCAAGCCTTTCAAAGCACAAGGTTCCTAGACCAGCCTCCCACGCTCTTGCGAGGCGCCGTGCATGGCCTAAAGGCCCAGTACGAAATCGAGGGCCATCGTTTTCAAGAAACAATCAATAATGTCCTCGAACAAATGCCGAGGCTTCAGAAGAAATACCAGCGACCACATCTAAGTACCGACAGGCTCTACCGCAGTCAAGTGGTCCACCCCTCGGATAGCAATTCAACTTGCGCAGTGGCCTGTGGCAATGATGGGTCAACGCTGTTGTTACGACAACCAAGAGCTAAAGACGAAGATAATCCAGCCATCCATTACGGCCTAATTGCATCGGGCAACCAGCTAATGAAGGATGCTTTAATTCGAGATCGGCTTATATGCGAGAAGGGAGTCTTATGCTTCGAAATGGAAGCAGCAGGGTTAATGAATCACTTTCCTTGTTTAATCATTCGTGGAATATGTGATTACTCAGACTCGCATAAGAACAAAGACTGGCAGGGTTATGCCGCGATGACGGCAGCCGCCTACGCTAAAGATCTATTACAGCAGATTGCTCCGAATAGGATTGAGATTTTAGATGCTCTCTCGGGTATGTTAGCCTGAACTGAAATCGCCTTCCTATGTCTAATTCTCGTATCTGTGATAGGAGTTAAAGAGGGTATCAATCAACTTGTCCGTACACAACATGATAAAGAGCATGCCACTATCCTTGACTGGCTCACTCCAGTAGACTACGGCCCACAACAGAGCGATTATTTAAGACGACGGCAGGAAGGAACCGGAAAATGGCTTATCGATTCAGACCAGTTCCAGAAATGGCTGGGGGACGAGATCGAGAACCGCACATTATTCTGCCCAGGTATCCCAGGCGCAGGCAAAACAATTCTATCGTCAATTGTGATTGACTATCTTTCCTTGGAGTTCCAAGATAATCCAAAAATAGGTCTTGCATATATCTACTTTAACTACAAGAGACGAGACGAGCAGACGATTTATAGCTTACTAGCCAGCCTGCTGAAGCAGCTAGCCGAATACCAGTCTTCTCTGCCAAAGGTCTTACAGGACCTCTATGATCGACACAAAACGAAGAGGACAAGACCATCCATCGAAGAACTCGCTCATGCTCTTCATTCCGTTGCAGCGATATACTCTAGAGTTTTTATTGTGGTTGACGCCCTCGACGAGTGTGAATCGTCTGACGGCCGGCGGTCAAAATTACTATCCGAAATTTTTGCACTCCAAGACAAGTGTGGAGCAAATCTTTTAGTAACCTCTCGAATCATTACAGATATTACGGAAACGTTTCACAGCGTCCCTACATTAGAAGTTCGCGCAACTGAGGAGGATATTCGAAAATACCTAAGTAGCAACATGTTTCAACTTCCGCAATTCGTCCTACACAATCCTATTCTGCAAGAACAAATCATCACTTCTATCCTTGAGGTTGTTCAAGGAATGTAAGTTAAGTGCGCTTACTCTATTATCCACACTAATATAACTAGGTTTCTCCTTGCCCAGCTACATCTAGACTCGTTAAAAGGGAAAACAAGACCTAAGGCTATCACAGCCGCTTTAAAAAACCTAGCAAGTGGGTCTAATGCATACGAGCAGGCGTATGACGAAACTATGGAACGGATTACAAGCCAATATAAGGACCGGGTGCAGCTTGCTAAATCAATTCTGTGTTGGATCACATACGCAGGGAGACCGCTTACTGCAACTGAGCTTCAACATGTGCTTGGGGTAGAGCCAGGAGAGTCAGCAATTGACGAACAAAATCTGCCAGATATTGAACTCATAGTCTCTGTATGTGCTGGCCTAATTACCATCGACAATGAAAGTAACATCACACGGCTGGTCCACTACACAGCGCAAGAATACCTCCAACGAACGCACAAGAAATGGTTCCAGGAGCCCCAATCGGAAATCACAACGGTATGTGTTACCTACCTCTTGTATAAGGAGTTTGAGAGCGGAGCTTGCAGCAGCGATGAGGCCTTTGAGTCCCGCTTAAAATCATATCCGTTTTACGAATATGCCTCACATTATTGGGGCCACCATGCACGTCAAGCATGTGTAAAAATCCCTAGTATCATGGAGCTATTAGAGAATATGACCAAAGTGGAATCATCATGCCAAGTGTTAATGGCCGAGAAGCGATGGGACAATGACGGATATTATTACAGTGGACGATTCCCACGGCATATGACAGGATTGCATTTAGCAGCTTATTTTGGGATCAGCGATGCGGCCAAGCTTCTACTCGAAAGGACCATCAACATTGAAGCCACGGATAGTTATGACAGGACACCGCTCCATTATGCTGCGTCGAACAGGCAAGAGGCCGTCGTGCAGCTGCTTATTAAGCAAGGCGCTGACATCAAAGCCATAGATAAAGATGGCCAGACGCCGCTTCACCACGCTATTGCATCGCACGGATACAAAGCGATTATCCAGCTGCTTATTGAGCGAGGCGCTGATATCGAAGCCAAGGATAAAGATGGCCAGACGCCGCTTCACCACGCTGCATCGCACGGACACGAAGCGATTATCCAGCTGCTTATTGAGCGAGGCGCTGATATCGAAGCCAAGGATAAAGATGGCCAGACGCCGCTTCACCACGCTCCATCGCACGGACACGAAGCGATTATCCAGCTGCTTATTGAGCGAGGCGCTGATATCGAAGCCATAGATAACAGTGGCCGGACGCCGCTCCTCCAGGCCACGTGGGATGGGCAAGAAGCGGTTATCCGGAAGCTTATTGAGCAAGCCGCTAACATCGAAGCTACGGATAGCGATGGCAGGACGCCCCTCCATTTGGCTGCGTTCCTTGGGGAAACTGGAATTATCCGGCAGCTTACGGAGCAAGACGCCAACATTGAAGCCATGGATAATAATGGCCAGACGCCGCTCCACAGCGCTATATGGCTTGGGAGCGTTAGCATTATCCAGCAGCTTATTGAGCGAGGCGCTGATATCGAAGCCACGGATAGCAATGGCTGGACGCCGCTTCACCACGCTGCGTCACACGGGCACGCAGAGCTCATCCAGCTGCTTATTGGGCGGGGCGCTGAAATCGAAGCTACGGCCAGAGATGGCCAGACGCCCCTCCATTACGCGACGTACCTCCCTGGAGTGGCGGCTATCCAGCGGTGGCAAGGCGATGGCCGGACGACACTCCACCCGGTTACGTGGCTCGGGCACGAAGCGGTCATCCAGGAGCTTCTTAAACACAACGCTAACATCGAAGCTACGGATAGTAATGGCCAGACGCCGCTTTATTATGCTGCGTTATATGGGCAAGAAGCAGTTGTGCGGCAGCTTTTTGGGCGTGGCGCTAACGTTAAAGTCACGGATCATAATGGCAGGACGCCCCTCCATTGGGCTGCATGGTATGGTCGCGAGGCGGTCGCGCAACGGCTTCTTGAGCGGGGCGCTAACATCGAGGCCACGGATAGTGGTGGCATGACTGCACTGGAGATTGCTGTTCATAGATGCCATGATGCAGTCGAACAATTACTTGTATTGAATGGGGCCTCTAATGTGGATTCATTTGGGCTACTGGCGTTATTCTCCTAATGGCGAGAAAGCCAGTGCTCACCACCACCTGGAAATGGCGTGTGTTATAGTTATCGAAGAGTAAGGGTGCTTAGGCGTGGGATCCGACAGTCTCCTAGGGCTCTATTCGCTCCGTAGGAAACAGCAGCCGGCCCTGGCAGATAAAAGAGGGCCAAGTCAACAAAATCTCAGAAGTGAAATAATTAAGGTAAGTTCCCCTTCTGCTCCCCCATAGACAAGCTACTAACCGGCAGATTAGTTGTCACTCAGCACAATACAATGGATCGTGGAGGTAGAATATGTAACTAGCATAAGCTAAGCACTAATGCGCATCCCACGTTATACTCATCCACATAAAATCTCATGCACTCAGAGAGGAGAAACGAGAATACTAGCATTATATCTGGTACACATAAGAGCCGTGTCTACGATGTTTGGGCACTAATGTACTTATACTGGCCCCACTAATACAGCTGGTGGTTGCTCGCAAACATGAGATCACCCTAACTGGGCATATCATTGCCGGTGATATCCATTTTCCCACCGGTGTAGAGATTTTTGAGCTTGACCTTCTAGGGGGCTGAGATATAGCAGAATAGTGGCGGGGAGTAAGAAGCGTCTAGTCTATTCACGTTACTACCATCACCGGGGGTTGGTCCGAGACTTGTTCCGGGGACGATTTATTCTTCAATCTGCCTGCTTTGGTCAAAGAAAGAATAGAGACTTATTATCAAATTTTGGGGAAATATCGGAGAAGTAAACGACTCAGTAATTGTTTACCCCGGATTTCCATGTCGTCTAGCATGCGGGGTGCGTATGATGGAGCCCCGGATGAGCAAAATGCTACTTCACTTTTCTTCCCTGGAACGCGAGGCGATAATGGCGGGGACAAGTCATCCAATCGTGAATAGTATAAGTTTGGTACACGCCACAACCCATATACTTATACTACTTACCGGTGGGAATGATACCTCCATAATAACTCAAAAGTGGTTTCCTTATTTTGGCCTGTAATGATGCGAGGTAATAATGTCTTCCTCGGCCTCTGGCTTACAATGGCTAGTCTCTCTAGAGCAATTCATAACCCGATCATATCAGGGTGGAATCCCGATCCCTCCATCCTTCGGGTTCAAGATGATTACTATATCGCTACATCCAGCTTTGAGTATTTCCCTGGAATACCCATTTACAAAAGTATGAAGTGCTGGTCTAATAGACTGGAGTCTGGTAGCCGAGTTGATCTAACTTGAGGGCAGGTCGTGATTTGTCGAACTGGACGCTGATATCACACGCTTTTGCACAACCCGACCAACTTCAGCTCTATGGCACACCTACAGGAGCAGGTTCGTTTACAAACTCAGGCATTGACCAATGAGACCATAATTGACTATGGATAGGCGCTTGGGCACCTTCACTGGCACATTTTGACGGAAGATTCTGGATTGCTTCCATGACGCGTTGGACATACGATCCAGTCGCCAGAGTATGGCCGCGCGTATTCTTTGCATCGTCTGTCGACTTGATTCATTGGTCCGAGCTTACTTGGGCTGATCCGTGGGGAATTGATCCAGAACTGTTCAGAGACCCCCTCTCTAGAAAGACATACCTGAATCTCATGGCACCAAATAACAACCAGGACCGACTTTGGGGCATTTACCAATGCGAGATCAGCCTTCAAGATGGTAGTTGTATTGGGCAGTACCGGAGTTTATGGAATGGTACCTTGGCCCACAATGCCACATCTCGGCCGGAAGGACCGAAGATGACGTTTAAAGACGGCTGGTATTACCTCTTGATTGCGGAAGGTTAGTTTTCTCCACAAAGAAGAAGAATGATAGCTAACACTACAGCAAAAGGTGGAACTGATGATCAGCACCGCTCGACTATCGCCAGGAGCCGGTCAGCGGAAGGCCCCTTTGAGGCCGGGCCAAACAACCCTCTTCTATTCAACGGGGCGTATGGCTTCGATAATTTGACTGTACAGTCTACAGGACATGCTACAATGGTGGATACGCCATCGGGTGAATGGTATGCAGCTTTCTTGGCTCGAAGGAAGATTAATGGAAGCTCTCCGTTGGGTAAGCCTCAGAAAGTCTGCATGACAACCCATTTGCTCACAGTATTAGGTCGAGAAACTTTTCTCACGAGTGTCACCTGGAAAGACGGATGGCCAATATTCAACGATGGGAATCCGATTCTCCTGAGCAAAGAGGTCGGGCCGGTGACTGGCAAACGCCGCATTCCGGATCCATTCGTCGAAGACTTTTCTCGCCAGAAGATGGATCCAGGGTGGTACCAATTGAGAACTCCGTATACTAAGAACTTTAATGTGCGCAGAGGTAGTCTCGAGCTGAGACCGAATGTGTTCAGCTTGAGCGACAGAGACACACCTGCAGCCCTCCTCCGAAAGCAGAAATCCCTCAACATGACGTTTTCAGCAGAGCTATTGGGTTTCAGTGGGACGCTGGGGCCGAGAAATCAAGTCGGAATCTCTTCGTATCTCTCCGAGTTTCAGCATCAGGACATTGGAGTTACCGCATGCGCGAATGCTACTGGCCTGTGCCTTTATACGGAGCTTCGGCAGAATCAGACACTACAGGTATTACCTCCCCAATTCTGGAACGGCCAATAACTTGTGTTATCTGAGTTTTACTGAGATCTGCTTGTATAGTATCATCAAGTTCCCCTCAACACCTCAAGCTTGAAAGAGCCACTCATGTTGCACATACGCGCCACTCCGCTCCGTTACCAATTTGGTTACAGTTTAGGCAATGCTGTTCAGCCAAAATACATAACTGAGATTGACTCATCATGGCAGGCATTCGCTCCGGCAAACTTTTTTGTCTTCTCGGGCGCTTCATTTGCCATCTTTGCAACGGGACTTGGAGAACCTTGGCCTCGCGATGGGCCGGTCGTCGGGTTCAAGCAAGTCACTGAGACATATTACGAGGAGAATATCCCGGACTACGATGTCTGGGATAAAGAGTAAACGTTGAAACTTGCAAGCGGGGGATCAGGATTGTATAAAAGGCTTCTGGGTGGGATGTTTGTTTGAAACTTCAACGTACCAATCGAGGAATGTGCCTAGCTTAAAGCCGCAAAATTTGGGTGCATCTTGCTCATAACTGCTACTGTAACCTTTTATCTTCTATTTCAAATAGCATCAGGCCATCCCTATGCGATTTACAACATAACTGAGCGTGCTACGTATTGCGGTATTAGTAGCCTGCCATATCTGAACGGCAATCATAAGAGGTATTAGACCGATGTAAGTGCACTAAGAGCATCAAATATTCTGGCATCAACTGGCAGAGCGCACAATTAGTAGCGGTAGAAGACAAGCTGAGGGAGGATAGGAATATTGCCAATAGATTGGGCCCACTTGGCTTCCGTATATTGCAGCCAATCGATTGAGCTGCTAAGCTTTGAAAGACAAAAGTGTGCATACCGCAACAGGGGAGATTACACTGGGAGAGCACCTCTTTGGGGATTGGACGGACGTCAACGTGGATCCAGCTGCAGATCCATGTCATGAGCCCAAGAAATGAACGAATCATTTGTGAGGGTTCTGGTATGTAAATTAGACGTGTTGTTGCCGCCCCAATTGTACCACATGCTGCTAAAGAACCCTGATTTCCCCACAGATTACCCCGTGGGGATGCCATGTGAGAATTGTTGGTTGTATTACGTAGTATGGAAGAGAGGAGATACACCAATAATCACGTCTAAGCTAGGGTTCAAAAGGTGATGAACTAATGACCAAGGTACTACTAGGAAACGGCTTGCCCAGGCGGTGAAAATCTCGGGCCAAGTCTCGGAGCTACCCCGAGCATCCTGTCTCTTCCCCACACGTGACGGCTTCCACGTTTCTCTGTGCTGCCGTTTACCCTTCAAGTTTGTTCGAGCCCTTCGGCTCGATATAATCCGAATGTGACTTGCAACTGCGCGTCGAGCAAAACTTCCCCGATCATCATGTGATCCTCGCCCCAATACCTGGAGCTTTACCCCACGTTTCTCTACTGCGGGAACTCCACAATTGAGGTGAAGCCATTGCTGCTAGCTGCCATGCTATTTGCCGTACTTTCTGTCCATGCCATTTTGTTCTAAAACCTTGTTCTAAAATCTGTCAGCAAGCTTGGACTCTCAACTTCCTCTGTATCATCGTCAATTGTTCTGTTGCGAGGCATGCCTGCCAATCGCTTGATGCTCTCCGGTCATGATGCCCGCCGACGATGTAGAAGCCGAGGACATACAAGGCTCCGCTACCGGCTCTGAGGATAAGCAGGCTGGCTCCAAAAAGCGAAAGCTCTCCAGTAGGGAGGATAACCATGAAAATGAAGGTCCAGCTTGCCAGAACTGTCGAAAGAAAAAGTCAGCATGCTCGAGAACTCAGCCGTGCTCCGCGTGTTTGAGATACAGTACGTAACTTGGAGCACAGAACTAGAGGACCATGACATTGAAATTTGCCCTGCAGATGTCGAGTGCGTTTACTACGATGGAAGAGCTAAAACGGGTGTTCGCACCGGGGCCATTGAGAGCCTTAACCAAAGGGTCGGTGAGTGAGTTCGAGACAGAATGAATTGCCTCATCTTATCCATTTGTGTTTGTGACTTATTGCCCGCTAACTCTCATCAGCGTCGCTGGAGCAAATGTTCCTCGGCCAAAGCATTTTATGGAATCAATTGTTTGGAGATCTGAATTCCTCTACGAACGGTAGCGTCGAGAACACAAACACGGAAGGTTATACACAAGACAACCTGGAGCAATCCATCACCCAATTGCGGAATCGGCTGGCTTCCACTGTGGCGAGCAAGCAGCAGTCCGCGGCTCAGAGTTTAGGCGGACCATCACGAGTGCCGGTATCCCTCAACAGCAGTCTACTTGGGACTGCTGGCGAAGCTCGCTTGCCACCGGACGAACTAATGGACGCGCTCATCGAAATTTACTTTGAACAGGTGCATCAGTGGATACCAATGCTCCACGTCCGACATTTTCGCCAGCGGCTGTCGATGCCAAATGGACGTGAAAGCGCTTCCACTATTTTCTATGCCATTACGTCGCTATGTGCTCGCTTTTCCGATGATCCACGCCTCGGTCATGGCCCTCAAAAGACGGCTTACGCTCGGGCATGCCGGCAAGTGGTAATCCTTCGCAGCATGGAGTCTTTCTCGGTAGAGAACTTACAGGCGCTTACTATCTGTGCCTTTGACTTGGTCAGTCACTATCTTTTTACATCCGTAATGACGATATTCTAAACATTGATGATAGATCGGTGGTGGGCGAGGTCCTTCCGCTTGGGTAAGTGATCTTTGCATGAATTTATGAAGTGACCGAGAGTCTGACCATTTTGTACTTGGATAGTCAATTGTTGGTAGTATGACTCGAACAGTTGAGCAACTTCAACTTAGCGTGGAAGAAGAGGATCAAGAAAAGCCCCTCGTCAAGGCATTAATCAGGCGCATGAACTTTCTACCACGATGCCATAGCTGGAGCGAGACTGAAGAGCGCCGGCGCGTTTTCTGGAATATCTTCATAATGGATCGCTTCTGCAGCATCGCTACCGGATGGAACTTCTCGCTCACCAGTGCTGATGTCAAACGGCGACTGCCTTGCGAGGGCTGCCTGTGGGAACGCGGCCAACCTCTCGACGTACCCACGCCCTATTTTGGCATCGCAGACCTGACGTCGCGGGCGAATCCAGCCGTCCCAACCGCCCGACCTGATGGTGAAGACCAGGACCTCTTGGGTGGTTTCGCCTTCTGCATTGAAGCAACCGAGAGCTTGAGTTTGGTCACTTCATTCTTTCTTCAGCATGACCTAGACTTTAGCGATCCTCACCAGTTTCAACTGTGGTTGGTCCGCTTCAAACAGCTTGACTTGCGATTGATCCAGTGAGTGGCTAGTCATCTTAGATTGGGTTATTCTTGAGCAATTTCTCATGCTAATCATGACTGTTGATCAGATGGAAAATCTTCCTGCCCAAGCCTTGGCGGGAAGCGTGTGTTCTCAATGCGGATGGCAATATGGACCCCAACCTCACTCTAGCGCACATGACACATAATACAGCTGTGATTCTTCTCCATCAAGTTATTGCGTTCCCTTTGCCCGAGTGGCAGAATCAGCGGCTACGTTTGCCGTCTCTCTCAAGCGCAGAAACCTGTTTCGCGGCAGCAACCGAAGTGGGCATAATTGCAGAAGCATATCTGCAACGTTCTGCCTCTTTAACCAATCCTCAATTTGCATTCTGTTTGTTTATTTGCGGGAGGTTGCTCCTGGCCTATTCCTCTTACTACAGCCAGCCTTTGTCTCCATCATTCAACTCTCTGGTATCTAGTCTTTATAACATCTCCACCCGCTGGAACGGACCGTTCGCCGATGATGCCAATGGGGAGACGCACAACCTGGCGTCCAAGTTCGCCACACGGCTCACGCAGGCACGGCAACGCGATCAACACATCCTAGATATACGGGAGCCGGTATATTCAGATGACCAGTACATTGACAAGTCAACAGTCAACAGTGCTGGGCGTTCAGGCTCGACCTCGGGCTCATTCACCCACGGCGTTGATGCTACGGCTGTCGGTGTGCCCACTCCCTCGCTCAGTGACCTCCACGGGGCATCACCAGACAGCATCTCAATGGCATTTCCACCTTTACCACTAAGTCTGCAGGGCCAAATATCCTACACAAATCACTCAAAGGCCATGCCGATTGAGTCTCCTCGAGCTGGTGTTGCAATGCAAGGCGCACAGGCCACTGATCCTATATTGGCTGATATTCATTCTTATGATGGTGCCGATGGCTTTCTCGATCCATCTTTCCCACCCGATCAGAGAGTGAGCGTTTTCTCATATTCGAATAACATGTAAAACACTTTGAACAATGCCAATTGGCTATCATATATGAGGACTGTTATGATTTGGTACAAGTTGCTCTTATTTGAGCATCTTAATAGCATGAAATGCAATGGTAGATCATAAAGGATCCCATTGAAGGAATCGAAGATTTATGGCTACCAACTTTGTGAAGAATACCTTTCCTTTATCATTGATACGCGACCTCTATTGTTTGGCATGGGTTATCAGTCTATATGAGTATGTCAGATAGAGACGTTGTTGCCTGCATCTCTAACAGCTTGTTCCCAAACAGCAAGAAATAATAATCGGCGTATACGAGACCATGATTAGCCCAACGCCTTGGAGCAAATTCATAGTTGTTGATCGTAGCTCCTCCGAGAATAGTCTGTGGAGTAGTATCATCCTGGCGCACCGTCAACTCCGTCTGTACATTGTGTGTATCCTGCTCTACAGTATCCAGGGTAGATGTCGCCGTTGTGAAGCAACTCTCCGGCATCATGTGCTTCGAGCAGACTGCCTTGACTATTCTAATCGCACTCTCAAGATAGGTCGACTGCCCTCCTTGCCCTGCAAGTGCCTCGTGAATGAGAAGCATTCCGTACGCAGCAATCACCGCCGCACTCGTGTCAGGGGGCTGCTCGGAATCCGTCGGGGCGCAAAAGTCCCAAGGCGGTACGCCGTTGGCGGGCAACTTACTAAGAAAGTAGTCTGCACATGCCAGGGCAGTCTCGAGAAAGGATACATCTCGAGTCCAATTGTATGTTTGCGCGAAGCCTGCAATGGCCCACGCCTGGCCACGCGCCCATGACGATGTGTCAGAGTACCCTTGGTTGGTCAATCGAGATTTTATATGGCCAGTATTCGGATCAAGGACCACGAGATGCGTTGTGGAATGATCGGCCCTGATATGGCATGCTTGCGTTTTCTTCGCGTGGTTCACGGCGATTTGGTGCATCTCTTGGTCCCCTGTCTCGGAGGCCGCCCAGAAGAGCATGTCCAAGTTCATCATGTTATCCTGCAGGGCGATTACAAGTGAATTGTTAACATAGCGTCAACGCTAATAAGATGGCATGAGAGTCTTACAATGATGAAGAGAAAGTCCTTTGCCGGATCCGTGAACGAATACCGCAGCGTCGTGCACGTGTCCCAAGATCGTATGGCGCCAGCTGCTGGCACGTATCGCGATGCCAACATTTTCGATGCTCGTATAATAGTATCCCGCGCAAGTATATCGTGATCAAGTGTCCAGGCAAGCTTTGCCCAAGGGAAGACCATGAAGCCAAGATCATGCGTAGAGGCAAGCGTCGAGTTCTGATGGAGGTTGGTGGTCCACCACTTGCAGGCGAATCTAGGCGTTTCAACGTCAGCGTCCAAAATGCCTCAACTGGTACAACATCTTATCTACAAACATACTCGAGATGCATGTGATGGGGTGTAATAGAAGGCATTGATGATTCTCGCAACATAACAAGCTCTCGCTTGAAGCGTCGTTCTCTCTCAAGGAGTAAGTATAGACTGCCGGGGAAAAACCCCGACGTCCAGAAATCGAGCTCCCGAAATACGTATCGTGTACCACCTGGTTTGGTATACTCGGGGTACAAAGTAGGTGGTTCCGACTGAGGCGCAGATGTCAGTTGAAGGACTTGTAATGCCTTGTATGCGTAACACGTACTTTGAACAAAGCCGGCGCTGCTACTCCCCATATCTTCGCCATCACATTGCTCGAATAAAGCCCCTGTATGAGCGATCGTTTAGGGTTCTTCCCGTTCTTAAGGGATTGATGCTTTGCAGTTGATATTCCAGGAAGTTGTTGCTTTTCTGGATTCTTAGACTATAGGATAGTCTTCTTAGTAAACTTGTCAAGGCTTTGGCGAAATAGGCAATTTCTAACCTGATCCTGCAGCCATTCTGTGTGCTTCTGAGATTGATCAGATAATGAGTAACTAAGATTCCGACCCGTATCGTTGGCTATAGCCACATCAGCAATAGGCTCAAGTTGCAACATCTTTAGTATACCAAGTCCTCGTATTAGCGGCTCAAAATTCAAATAGTTAATCAAAGATAGGTATGGCAGCCACGAATAAAGATTCTCAGGTCGTCATTACTGAAGAAAAGATACCTTCTCATTCCAAAGGATAACATCGAATCAAACCTTCTTAACGGGCCATCCTCATTATTTCTGACCTGGACATCTCGCGGCCCAGATCCGGAACCATGGCCGCGAGGTGGGTCTGAGCGGACAAACGCTAGCAGGGGCCAGCTTTGTGGCTTGCGGAGGTCGGGACAAGACTCGGAGGACTCCGAGACTGGTTGACTGGCTAAACGTTTGGACTAAAGCGAAGATGCTTAACCATTTGCAATATCATGCCACTGATGAAGGAGATATATCAAGGAGCAAGAGAGACATGGATGATCCGCTATTGCATATAGGACCTGAGATATCGCATTGCGCTTCTCTTCTCGGCACTGCGATTGACTTCCAAATTCTAGAATCAGAATCCCATCATGGCCGCCTCCAAAGATGTGGAGGCCTCTCCGCAGGCCACCCATCAAGAAGTACCTGCCATATCGGAGAAGGCTCTCGACGGCGATGAAGAGACCAGCCGCTATGTGGATGGTCCAGCCGTTGAGATTGATGCGGCGACCAACAAGCGTCTGTTCTGGAAGATTAACCGGCGCATTCTTGTGATCCAGCTGGTCACCTACTTCTGCCAATCTTTGGATAAGGGAACGTTGAATTTTGCGTCTATTATGGGAATCAAGACCGATGCCCACCTCGTGGGGCAACAAGTAAGCTATGATTCACCATTGACCCAAACTCCCCCAAATGTGTCCATTTGTGGTTACCATGTCGCTGACCAGCATCTAGTATTCGTGGCTGGGAACTATTCTATACCTGGGTATCCTCGTTGGAGAATATCCGCAAAACTTCTTGCTACAGAAGTTGCCCGTGGGGAAACTCCTCGCTGCTAATGTATTCTGCTGGGGAGCCGTTGTGGCATGTTCCGCTGCGACGACCAATTTTGGTGGCCTCATGGCTCTTCGGTTTTTGTTGGGCTTTTTTGAGAGTTGTGTGCAGCCAGCAATGATGTTGTTGTAAGTCGCCCCGAGGCTAACCTGCCAGAGGCTATGCCTCTTAGTTATTCTTTTTACAAGATTAGAGGCTAATGAAGCGTCTGGTATTTTAGGACTTCCATGTGGTACACTAGAGAAGAACAATCCGTCTTGAACTCACTCTGGTATTGCATGACGGGACTGCAGCTAATGGTATGAATGGATCATGCTTTATCAATGAGCCTCCTCATATTATGCCATATAATACTTCATTTACTGATTAGCATAGGTTGGCGGTCTTCTTGCGTTTGGTGTCTCGCATTTCACCAACGGCCCGATTAAAAACTGGCAACTGCTCTTCCTTGTCCTCGGGCTGGCTGCAGTTGTATGGTCCTTTTTCATAGCCCTCCTCCTTCCTGACAGCCCCATGAAAGCCAAGTGCTACAGCGAAGAGGATAAGCGTCTCATGGTTGAGCGTGTGCGTCACAATGAGACCGGTATTCAAAACAAGAAATACAAAAAGTATCAGATTATTGAGGCACTCACGGATCCTCTTGTCTGGTGCTGCGTCCTACTGATCACAGTTGCAAACCTGGTCATTGGCGGACTCGGTGTATTTTCCAACCTCATCATCGAACAATTTGGCTTCACTCTTCTCCAGACGCAGCTTCTCAATATCGCCCAAGGCGGTTTCACAATAATTGTCATGGTCTCTTCGGCATGGGCATCTCAAAAATCAGGGCAGACATGTCTTATCATGCTGGTAAGCTCTCATTCCACAGTATTGTTCAACCAACACAATTTTACGTAAGGTAGTTGTGAATCTTACTAACAACATCTCCATAATACAGCTTTGGACTATCCCAGCGATTGTCGGCACCGTCGTCATTCTTGTCGTGACTCCAAATGCATCGAATGCTGGTGGGATGCTTATTGCCTTCTACTGCACACAGTTCTTTCTTGCTCAGGGTAACATGATCATTTCTCTTGTCACACGTAACATTGCTGGACAGACGAAGAAGGGGATTACTATGACTCTAGTCTTTGTCGGCTGGGCTGTGGGCAACCTGATCGCCCCACAGATCTTCCAGAATGATGATGCTCCTAGATATCTACATGGTTTTGTGGTGCATCTTGTCGTTTACGGAGTATATCTGTGCTTGGTGGTGCTTACAAGGATTGTTCTTCTAGCAAGGAACCGACACAAGGCAGCAGAGGTGGCCGAGATCAGCCACGATCTTGCATTTCAGGATCTCACTGATCGAGAGAATCCCAACTTCCGCTATGTCTACTAAGCTAAGACGCTCTCATTTGAGGCGGCATTGGGTGGACACATAGATACCTGTAGTGTTTGCTTGTCCAGTTATCTATTATGTAGTCTGGGAGGGGATGTCTCCCAAGCCGGCTTTGGCGGTATGATTTAAATTTCTAATAATTATTACAGATCGAAGAAAACAATAAACAATATTTTTGCGCTTGCTTATCTCGCCAACCGGTTATATTTTCACAAGTAGTAATATGGTTTCTCACTATGTAGTTTTGACACTATACTGCCGGCTGAGCCTCGTTCGGGGTTCGCCGGTACATATACTACCTCCAATCCAGCCGTAATACTAATTTAGCACCAGCTATTCATCTATGACTATTCGTAGATGGCCTTTGCACATCGGAGCATAGTAATCACGAACTTCCATGTCTTGATCATTCGTTCCATTGAGAGTGGGCCGATAGTTTCTAAAAAACGAAGCAAACAACAAATAAAGTTCGGCATAAGCGAGACTTTCTAAAAGTCAGTAAGGTGATTATTAGGAGAGTGTCTTTACCATACTTGATACCAATGCAAGAGCGAGAACCTTTAGAGAAGGATAATAAATGTCTATCCAAGTCCCCATTTTGATCATTAATCCATCGTTCTGGATTAAATGCCCCTGGATCTGAAAAGACTCTCGAGTCATAGTGGTACACCCAATGACTGAGTGATACGGGTGTCTAGTACAGGAGTAAGTGAAAGTTCATATGGAATATGAAATCACAATAATTCTGACCTTTGGTGGAATCCATTGTCCACAAAGCGTTGCTCCTTCATCAGGTGTAATCCGTGGCAACTTTCCTGGAGCGCCATGAGAAAATCGTAACGCCTCTTTAATAACGCCAGTCTAGGTTTACAATTTAGTAATGCAAAAGAAACAATGAGCGACCGTGTACGTACAAGGTACGGCAGTCCCCGCAGAATGTCCAGGGAAGGGAGTGTCCGTTTATCGATCATCACCTTCGAAAGCTCGTCTTGAAGCTTCGTAAGCATATTGCGATCTTTCGAAATATGAAATGTGCCGAGTATAAGGGTTAGGGAAGTAGCCTCTGCCCCAGCAAATAAGAGCACAATAGCTTCTGCAGTAAGTGTGCTAATCGAAAGCGAAGGTCCCAACTGTTTTTCAGCGGGATCGATCAATGTATCTAGCATTGTCGGATGCATTATCTCATCATTTTCTTTCCGCTTCCTAAGATCTAAAATCATCTTTTTGCAATCCTAGCCTTGGTTTAGATTTAGACGAGAATGGGGGGGAAATGATAAAGGATCATACATCTTGAATATCGAATATAAAACTAGCCCCAAAGTATTTTAGAATAAAGGGTGGCAAGCAAGATACCACCTTCCATAATAGTGTGAAGGAAAACCGAAAATTTTTCGCCAGAAATGATGCAACTAGTGCCGCATCCATGTGCATTGCTGGGGAATATTTGAAGTCCGGGCAGTTAAGGGCTTCAAGTGGCCTGTTGAATGCGTACCCAAGGAACATATCAGCTGTAACACAACGGTAAGCCAGAGACAAATCAATAGTCTGGCCTTTGGCTCTGCGGCATTCAAGAAGATCGATAAATTTCCAGACTGACATCTCGAGTATGTTTTGGGCCCTATTAATGGCTCTTCTTGACAGTTGAGGTTGGAGTAGGTCACGCCTAGGTTTCGCCTGCTTTAATGTCACCATGTTAAAATGAGAGCCCTCGAAGGGAAAGCCATAAAATCTAGGATCCTTTTCAAAGCGACTTCCAACTTTGAAGACGGTGTCAAAAGCCTCTATGTCGCGGATGTGAAGCTCATTTGGGTGCGTTCTCACTATCGGGCCTGTAGATGGAGTCAGCCGATATAAGAGTCGAGAGTATTTAGACATTAATATGCCTCACCGTACGTGTCATGCAGATACTCAAGCTGTCTGATAAAGTTCCCGCCTCGGATAAAATTGAAATAATGAGAGTACAAGGAGGTGGATGCAGCTAACACTGGGCCTGGGAAGCGTGAAAGAGGGTGGAATTTTGTCCTGTAGATGATCAGACAGATCCGATATAAGATGACCAAAAAGGCTATCAAAGCCGGGACTGGATGATGTATGGGAGTGTTATCCATGATGCTAGATTAGAGTTTTTGACTCTATAGAAGAAAAGCGGTAGCAAGCGCTGAATGAGTGTCAGAGGGTATTGGGATATAATTTATGACAAGTTGCGTAACCCCTCTGGATAAATTTGGGCTACCAAATGCAATATATCGCATTGGGGTGTAACCATGTTCTGTTTTGTTGTTCGGTGCCAATGCGTTATAAATGATATGTTGCCAGATATTACCAGATAAAAACTGCTGCAGTCGCCGCACCTGACGTGTTTAAAGATGATTGGTGACTTCGAAACAATCCTGCATATTGCACTGCTCGTCACAGTCCCATTCGATCGACCCCGGGCCGCAATAGGAAGTGATTAATCTTAAAATCATCAGCTTCTCTAACCCCCACCCATTTCGTACAGAAAACAAGTTTGAATGAAGTGGACCTCGCTTACTATCCAAAACCATTAGGATGTGAGCATGATCCAGGTCCCCCGGGCGATCTTATGCTTGTAGCCGCCACTATCTTTTGGGGGCCCCAATGCTACTCTTCTCCAGTGATCCCCAGGTATATAATCTTCATAGAGGTTCCCGTTAGATTTGCATTTATATCATAGATTCCATCAAATGCTCAAATGGCCTCAACAAGCACTTTGCTTTGAGGAGCTGCCGATGTTTACAATGGAGAAAGATTCCGATTTCCACAGTTCCTTCCGCCCGCTACTGGGGACATCTCGCATTACGCATTGCAGTTGCCTTGAAGTTGTCTCTCCCGTACAGAGATGCTCCCAATGCAAGATATTGAAAAGGCCATGCGGAGAGACATGGGCAGTTCGACAGCCTAGTAAAGAGTCAAGCATGCCCGAGGTGGTATTCGATTTTGCGAGCGTTTTACAACTTTATCTTCGTCTCCGCCTACTACCAAAAGACATCTTCATCGCAATTGACGGGTTAGCGAGTCATACGGATAATCATTTTCACAAACTACAAAAGCAGCTCCAATCACTAATAAGTCTTAATGGCAAAAACACCATAAAAATATTACTTCATGGTGCCATGGGCGATATGGGTTACACGTTTGGCGGCCAGGAACAGTTTGACAAAGAGGCCCAGGAGCTCTATACTTCATTGGTGACAGTACTCGTCGATAGCCGGGGTCCAGATACCAGCCTAAAGCTCCCACTCCTTCGCAGCGCCACCAGTTTGCGTGTTTCCGGCGAAGTCACGCTTGCGATGATTATGTTTGCAAGTTGCTGGTTCTTTGAGTACGATCCTTCTTCAATTCCCTTGGTGGTCGAGATATGGCGCGCGTGGCTACCCTCCCGACAGACAGACGCGGAGCTTTGTGTGGAGCCTGCGAAACACATATATGTTGGCACAGGACCACACGACGCTCGAAATGAGTTGAGCAAACACAACGGTCGTGCAGTTGTTAATTTTTCGCTGAGGCTGTTAGTCCCCCGGGCTCGCCGACATGCTACTTTAGATATTGCTGCCTTCCGCGACATCATGGCCTTCAGAAGCGGCATGTTAGTAGCAGATTGCTTATCCAGGGACAACCGTGACATTGGGGCGTTTATTCAGGTTGCTGGACAATTTCCCGCGCTGATAGACCCTTCAGAGGCGGAAGACATATGGTCCGGTCAATCAATCCTCGATTTAGGGCGCACAGTTTTATTCATTCGGCAGGTTAAGCACCTCACGATTTGCCTAGCGACGCCTCGGAGCATGGGTATCCTGTTTGCCTTTTTGTATGTGCTGGCTAGCCCGCGGCACAATAAGAACATAAGGGGGGTGATATCACCAAACTTATCAGAATCGCTAACTTGCTGTCCTTCCTCTTTCTGTGATCCTGAAACTTTACCTTGCGAGCTGGACAAGCCTTTATCCACCAAGAGGGATGCTGCAAAAAATCCAGTGCAGTTGCTGGTGGAAGCTATTGTCCAAGAAGGGTTGGATGCTGAGACTTGGCAGCAAAACATTGACAACCGTCTACGCCTTTGCCATGAGTGGTCTCTTGGAATACAACACCATTTCGGGCCATATGACCCTGTTGGTGCTGCTAGGGAAGTGGCCCCACTGTGTATTCGGATTTTGATGAGGATAGCTCAGCTCTGTGGTTGTGAGCTTTAAAAATGAAGCAGTCTGAACCCGAGAGCGCCACTTGTGGCACAACTTGCTTCTTCGCAAGTCAACAAATTTACTCACCAGTTGGGAAGATTATGCTCCAAACGACATGTTTTTTGTATAGAATTATAGTAGTTAGGGGAAGTAACTTGGTACTTTTGCCCACTATGAATCCCTTGCAAGCGGTACATAGCGTACATGTACCTATCTAGGTAGCTAGAGAGGATGAAAGTAACACAGGTCTTTTTATCGAATTCAGGATATCATCAAACCACACTAAACTCACTGATACGACTTCTCGTTACTTGCAATTGGAAATAAGGACACCAACATAGAAGCAGTCTCAGTACAAATACCTGGGCACACAGGGGTCAGCCCAGCTACAGTGCATGAGTAGGGAGACTACACCCGCTATGTAATCGAGATAGGCTAGCCCTGGCCAATTGAACATACTAGACGCTTCAGCACTTCCCACCCATCATTAACGCACATCTCGCACCTTCGTATAAGCTCAAAATTGCAACGCTTGCAACCCAATTTTCACGCAAATTGCGTAAAATGAATGTCAAAAAGACAAAAAGTATTGACCATCTCCTCCGGGAAGGCTCGAACTTCCAACCTCCTGATTAACAGTCAGACGCGCTAGCCAATTGCGCCACAGAGGAATGAGCTTCTTGATTGGACGGCGACGACTCAATTCATCTTTTGAGCTTGATCTCACGATCGAGGAAGTAGTCTCAATAAGACGGAACCTCTTGATTCTACAGTAATGTTGATGATTGGTTTCCTCTTTTCCTCTCTTCCTTAATAGAAAACACACAGACTCCTAACAGCTTATAGTATTCTACTTGAGGCCGAGTGGGAGGCATGACAATTGAAACAGAGTATTTAACACCGATTATTATTTCAGGCAGTGCAACAAATTTTATATCCTTCATATAAGCCTCAGTCAACACTAGCCGCATGAAATGTTTGATGAAATGCTTATTATGCCTTAAGGAGCACTATGATTTTGATCAAGAATTTCTTAGCCTATAACATAGACGCCAAGCCCAAATTCCGCAGTAGTTATAAAATTTCTGGTAGCTCCACATGATCGATCTATAGTCAAAAGTGGCTGGAATACCTGCAATGCCTTCTTAGCGCTCTTGGGTAAGTCCTGATCTCAATGACTAGAGTATTGCTGTTGATACTGCATATATATCAATCTTATTGTACAAGTGGGGACCAATCCTCATTTTTAATATACTGCTCGATTCGAGTGACTGGAACGTCGACACCGAGCTTTTATTAGTTATGAGTTAGCAAATATGTCGTAGGCGCTCTTAACGCAATGACGAGTTACACTTACATCTTGGGCATAAATAACCGATGGATCTCCACCATCGTAGCCGAAATCTTGAGCATATGCGTACATCTCTGCAATCTCTTCACCATATCCACCTGGCGCAAGTTTGTCATGCTCCGCCACCGTGTTCTTCTCAAACGTAGCTGGAATGCCCGTAACTTTGCTCCAGAGCTTTACATACTCCGACCAAGTAAGGCGATCACCAAATGCCAGAAGATTTTTTCCAGCGGGAACCTGGCTCAGGGCTTTGACAAAATATCCAGTGTCAGAAGGAACAACAAGCGGGATTGGAACATCGCCACTGCCAGGTATGCGAAGGACCATTGATCCATCCGAACACTAGATACTTGTTAGAGTCTGGCCCAAAGCGAGTTTGGATCAATTTAGCAAACCTTTTCCCATGGTACTGCGGCCTGACCCCACTTCCAATTGGTGATAAAGAGACCCATCTGAAGTATTGACATTTTCTGGGCCAGCCTAGGGTGTATGCTGTTGATATAGTCCACGACATGTGCCTTGGAATCGAAATGAAAGACGCCTGCATATTTTCCGCGACTCCATTTCTTCGCATCCGATAACGATGACCACACAAATAAGTCTAAAGTGTCAATGGTAGCCGCAACAGCATCAGCGATATTTTTCCCTTGCTGAAGCTCTGTCTCATAGCACCATTCTCGGAGAGTTTGACCCGGTTTAAGTTTAGCCACGTCCTCTGCGGTTGGCATTGCAAAAGCCGGCGAGAATGCGGTATTTCCAAACACAATAGAAGCACCTTGGACGGCAGCCTTGATAGATTCCATGTCATCCGCATCTCCCTTGACCATCTCGATGCCTTTAGCGGCAAGAGCTTTGCTCTCAGGCTTAGAGGGGTCACGGGTAACACCTCGGATCTTCCATCCACCCTCCTTAAGGAAGACATTGGCAACAGATGATCCCTTTGCCAGAGAAGTCAGTACTGATTTCTACCTTGGAAACTAATGGGGGAAAAAATTAGGAGAGAGTTGACTGCTGATCATGATGAGGCAGCTGGCCACCATGTCACGATGATGAAAAGAGCAACAACAACAACAATCTTGAACATACCTGCGTGCCTGTAATAGCAATAATTACCACAAGCCTCGACATTCCCGTTCCTATCTGTTACCGAGGGTAGATAACCAGTGAAATGAATCTTAAATATTAAGAGGTTAAGAGATATAGACTTTGTATATTGCAGTCGAAACCGATGTTACGATGCACAACGGGAACTCTTATATACGCAGTCTCTCTCTCCGACATTGAAATTATCACCATGATTCGTCTCGTCATTGTGATGGAATGAATGATAGCCCCGATATGTCCGACTCTTCTAATGACAGCCGAGTAAGTCTGCCTCCTTTACATCAGCAGACTGCAATTCGCTTGTGAGTTGGTAAGCAAATCCTTCGTCAAAATGGGATTGCCTCTCTTGACTGCCGAGACTCTACGCTCCCAGCTTATTTGTCAACCTCTTCTCCTGCCCCTCAGACGCTAGGTATTTGAATTTCAAGCCTGCCGCTCAGGTTGCAGTACCTGCAGTACGTGACGTAAAGGGCAGGCTGGGTGCTTGTTTAGCACTTCGGTTTGATCAGTAATCCAGGGCCATATCAATGTTTAGCTGCCCACTCCTCAAGCCTCGGCCGCGATGGATTTTAGCGCACGCCACAATTGTGATCCTCAAATATTACCAGATGCGGTAGGTGGATCAGTCAGGCACTGGCCATGTCAATCTCGCACGAGTGTCAATGCTTAGCGAACAGTGTTTGCTAGCGAGATTCTCAGCAAACGCTTTGGATCCAATGTAACCTGTTTTCTCGGAGTTAGGCATAAATCCCTCAATAGAGCATACTAGATCTCTGTCGATGGATATGAAGTAGCTTATTTAGTAACGTCTTCAGTGGATGTTAATGGGGAAATCACTTTGAAGCCTAAGCTAGACAAGATAAAGAGAAACTCATCAAAAGTACCACAATAGGGGGAAATAGAAACATAATCACATTAACGCCGACATTTCGAAGATTGGTAAGTATTGACAAAATTTCAACGTCTCTCACCTGAAATATGTCCATGGAAGATTATCTCCCCAGCCGTACAAGCTCAGACAGCTTTTGGCACGATTGCGGCCAAGGGTATATACCACAAGGCCGTGGGTACAAGTCAGAGGAATTTCCCAGGTACCACATCCAGATAGCTCTTGAATCTGCTGCCTGAACACTACATCATAATCTTGCGATCATTCTCAGCATGTATGCATAATTACTACACTTAGAGAGTATTTGGCATGACGCGACAATGCTGGGATAAAAGTATTGCAATAAAGTCAATCATGTCGTAATAACAGGCGGCATGATTAATATTAAATAAAACTAGCCTTCGACATCCTCAGCATTTTAAGAAGCAATGAGCGATAACTCATGCAGTGATGTGATCCACCAAATGCTGAACCTTTTCATCCAAATTTAAACTCGCCTTCACCAACTCCTCGTTTTTCTCCACACCAGCGGCCAAACTTGAAAACAACTGAAAAATGACTTCAGTATCTACCCCATTTTCTCCTTCGAGAACCAATATCTCCGCAGGTGCTGCAAGTCCCGCTTTTGGCTCATGCGCCATCACTGTCGCTGCACTCATGGGGTTTCCCAAAACAACTCTCTTAATCCTTCGCCCCGGGGCAATACCATACAACGGTGTCCAGAGAGTATGATCAATTTCCCAGAATAGCATGAAGAGTTCCGGCCCAATGAATTGCTTCGCAGTTGCGACGAAGCCCTCTGTTGTGGGAGAAGGACCTTCGAGGTATGCGGTGATAGAAGGCCAAGCAGCATCGGCAAGGGTGCCGATAGAGTTGTGAAGGCGCGTAATTACCTCGTCAAATGAGCGAGTTGTTTTGACGGTTATACGTTTGCTGGTGAAGGTATCTTCGATACGCGATGTTACTGGGGAAGACATGGTGCAGTAAAGTCGAAGACAAATGTTGATGTGCAATTCAGAGGAGCTTATAGTTTAGAGAAGAAGATTTTGTGTATTGATCTGATGCCAGAACCATATGAAGCCACGATGGCTCTCTAAGCCAAAACAGCAATATATATATATATAATGTATCTGTTCCACCGACAAGTCTCTGTCTGAGGAGTGTGTCACACAGGAGACAGCAGATTCGCCTCTTCATGCGTCACACATAATTGATAATCAAGAAAAACACAAAATATGTCTCATCGCGTGAGGCAGTATCAATAATCAAAAAAGGCACATTTGTTGGCATTCCATCGAATTGGAAGAAACGGACGCCCGAGATCTGTACATGTTCCACAAAACGTCGGTGCCGAGGTTGCTAGGGTCGGAAGGCTTGTTTTAGTAGTGCCAACTGGGGGACACCCCCTGTATGGGACACACAAATCGGGCGGTCAATCCGGGATCAACACCGAGGGAGGAATACAGAGTTATTCTGTGTATTTCCTTGTGTAATTTTTTTATTCTAGTTTACATGTGTAGCATATGTCTTCGAATTCAACTACAGTGGATATCTGATGTTTTAAGACCGTAATTGTTGTTATTGAGAGTGTCAGAATGCTCGTAGAAGCTGTCTAGTATATAAGAGAAAGCTACCTAGTAAATTCGTCTTAAGAATATGTAACTTTGAATGGATACCTGACTGGTACCCAATTAGTAGGGGCATCTGGCTCATAGCCCGATTTTTCCCAATTAATTGAACCCGTAATGTCCCAAATTGATTACCTTCTTCCCACTCTTTGAAGACCTCGATGATTATAGTTATACGACAGTATGATCCTAGTCTAGACTGCAAGCCGAGGATTATTGTGGGCCGAGGCAGCCCACCACTGAATTGATGATGGTGGCACCAAAGTGACGTAGCACACCAACTAAAGCCAAGTTCTTCTGTCGATGTTGTTCGGAGTCATTACATAAAATGTCCATGGCAATATCGTCGTGTATAAGTAGTCGTAGAATGACTTGGGTTGTCAGTTCTCTCAGAATCTCACAAGCAACAATAAAGCAATAGCAACAAAAACAGCAAGAGCAAACTCTACCTGGCAACAAATCTTCTTCATATTCAAGTAGTTAACCAATAACCCATCATAATGACCCGTCCTGATATCTTCTATGAGCCGCCTAAGGGCGAGAAGTCAGGTCTCCCCCATGACCCTTTTAAAAGCTTCGTTATTCCTCGACCAATTGGTTGGATCAGCACCACAAGTTCAACTGGTCAGGATAACCTTGCACCCTTTAGCCAATTCACCAATGTCTCGTTTGACCCCCCAACCATCATGTTTGTGGGACACCAATCTGTCTATAAACGTGAAAGCAAGGATTCGGTTGTCAATGCGCGACAAACTGGAGAGTTTGTCTGGAATATGGCGACGTTGGTACCGGACATCAGCATGCACGAGATTTAAGCTAATTTTGCAACAGGTTTGATACTAGAGAGGCAATGAACGCCTCAGCCCTAGAGTCTTGGAATGATGAATTCCCCATCGCAGGGGTGACAAAGGCGCCAAGTCGCGTTGTCAAGCCTCCTCGAGTGGCTGAATCCCCAGTTCAACTGGAGTGTAAAGTTCATTCCATTGTCAGAATTCAGGGAGATTCTCTCGTGGGGCATTCTGATATCGTGATTGGCCGAGTCGTCGCCATCCATGTGAAAGGAGAATATATTACACCCGATGGGGTACGTCTATCTGAGTGTTTTCGTATGTTCTGAACTAACCTGAGTCTACACAGCTATTTGATGTTCTGAAAGCGGCTCCTCTTGCCCGACTCGGCTACCACCAGTACACTGCCATCCGCGAAGTTTTCGATATGAAAATGCCCTTTATGTACAATGACACTGTTAGTGGAAACACACTTGGTGGTGAGAAGGGAGCTTCGGATGCCGAGTTATATGCCACCAAGGATAATAGGCCTCTGGAAGAGAAGCAGCAGGAGGAATTGGAACGTATGCAAGGGACTGTCACTAAGCGTAATTGAGGGCAAGCATATCACCTAGCCCTTCATGCCGACATGTGTCTGGTATCTGGGCTAAGCTGTTATGGCGGTGAACATTTCCACTATGGGCTTTCATAATAGACTGTGTCTTATACTTAGAGATTGTTTAGTTTAATAGCAAGAATTTATGTAATCTTGTCAAAAATATGATGCGTAAAAATAAATTAAAATTTGTCAGAATCTACAAATGATCTCCATTGAGTAGCAGGAGCTTCTCATATATGCGCAGTGGCCTAGACGCAGACCGATATAACCCACTACTTTTAATAATAACTGTCAATAGTGTCTGGATTTCGGCACGGCAACCCCAGAGTCGCGTTGATTAATAAGTGGCGTGGGCTAGCCTAATATACCTAGTGAATTACACATAACGGCACAGGGATCACTTAGGCCAACTAGTGCCAGCCAGCAGATTCGCCCCCTTCCCAAGGCCCAAATACTACTAGATGTGGTATCTAGGTTGTGGTATAAAGTAGGGTGGTATCCTCCAAGTCTAATTTGACAGTATTCATTCCCATTAACTGCGAGAGATTGATGTTATGGATGCCACACTTGATGCTCAACGAATAGAGTTCGCCAGCATAATTCTTGGCCAACCATTGGATTCTACACAATCTTTAATTTTCGCTCAATCTGAAACCCGAATCCGTCAACATGCTATGCGCGCGTCTTTCAGGGAGAAGAGAAGTAGTTTATCGGGTGGTCAAGCTTCCACCAGGCCGATGTTACAGCCCCAATCAATGTTGACGGGTAAATTTCGCTCTAAGCCTCCCATAAATAAGAGAAAGCCCAAAAATAAGAGAATGGCAAAGCAACCACTATTTATTAGTGAAGATCGGGATGATATCGGCGAGGAGAGAGCGGCATCGCCAACAATGGAGGCATTCATATCACCAGCGCTCGATGCCAGCAAAAGTGATCCCTTTCATACTCTTCCAATTCAGATGGGTCCATCACAAGAGCATCTTCTGAAATTGAGTTCGTCCTTCCTTCTTGCACAAAAGTTTCTAGTCTAACCTTGCTAGTACATATGACTTCTTACATGCAAAACCCTCTGGTGTTGAACCCCGAATCTTCCCATCTATCGTATGGCTTCGCCGACGCCGCGCTACTTCACGCTTTTTTCTCGCTCGCAGGCTTGTACCATGACCTTAGCGTCGGAACAAAGATAACGCCACTTTCTCTCATGCATAGAGGGGAGACACTGAGATTAGTAAACGAACGGATAGCACAGACACCATTGCAACTCAGTGACGGGACAATCGGTGCTGTAGCTGCATTAGCGACATTTGATGTAAGTTACCTTCGTTGATTTGTTGAAATAAGCGCTAATGTTAGTGATAGTTACTAGATGGTCGACCACAAAGCGCTCGTTGGAATCTGCAAGGACTTCAACAAATGGTTGTTCAAAGAGGTGGTTTACGAATCCTTGGAAGGGAGGCTCGGGATTTTTGTGGATCATGGTTATTGCAAAGAACCATATGTTGGTAAGAAGCCTGCCCCATCACGATGATTCCTACTGACTAGCTCAAAGGTCAGATCTCTGCTCCGCTACTGTCAGCAATGAGAAACCATTGTTCCCTGTAATGCATTTCGGCTCGCCACTATTGAGGCCTGGTTCACAAGACAGCTCGCTATTCTCCATCTTGGACTCAATATTTGACACGCTATCAGAACTCTCTATTGTTGTTTGTCACTCTCACGCCTCTCCTTCACGTCGACTATTCTTCAGCAACAACATATACTTGGTAGAGCACGCTCTACATTCCTTGCCTCAAGATATATACTCTAGTTACTATGAACCCAGGAGAATGGCAGCTATCATCTACATCTATCTGTTCCTTCGCAGAATTCCCCGCTTTGTTGGCATTTACCAAACCCTTCTGGGCCGCCTTCGCAACTCCATGGATCAGTGCATACACAGAAACAGCGAAGATTTCAGTAGCCATCATTTAAATTTAGTTCTATTATGGATCTGCTTCATTGGTGTTGCTTCTTTTAAGACACCAATCAAGATAGGGGGCGACCGAGAATGGTGGATTGGTTTATTACGAAATATTTGCAGAAGATTGCACGTGGCATCGGAGACTGACTTCGAGGATTGCTTGAATCGTGTGGTAGAGATGGGTAGCCTTTGCAGGGGCATCTCTCACACTATTTGGAGAGAACTTCAGAGAAGTGACCCTATAATGGAGAATATGGGTCAGACGGGGTGGATGGAAATCGTGTATCCAATCTAGATTACTTAGTCAGTATATTTTATGTCCATTGAACATATATCTTAGGAGATTCTGAACGAAGATACAAGGAAACTGTGCCAATTGATGCTTCCGAAAAATGGGGCGCCGTCACGTACCACGACTACAAGACTACCTCCTCCTGTGGCTACCTGGCGAACGCTGAAGTCTACGATGCAGAAGCGGTCGGGGCCTTCGAGGCCATAAAACTCACCAGAACGCAAATCGCGTTGAACCCAGACATTAAGGAAATACTCCTTTTCTTAGATAACTCTGCGGTGGTGGATAGGATCTTAGAGACTACACTAGCTTTATCATAAGGCGCATATATAGGTTTAAGAAAAATAACTAAAGAACTACAGCTATACGTTATCACTAAAGTAATATAGATCCCTGGATATAAAAATGTGTTAGGTAATGAAAGAGTAGATAAATTAGTTAAAGAGGGTTTAGAACTCCTAAAATATATAAGCAGCTGCGCTATAATTACCTACGTTAAGAGGTAGGCGAGGAAGGAATAGAGGTTAATATTAGAAGTCTACTGGGATGATAACTCTCCGTTATATTATAGACGCTGGTAATTTAACGCCTTTGTAATACCACTGGAGCTCCACTTTCTGCACCTTATCCTCTATAGACTTTTATTTAAGAGATCTAGGTACAGTAACTTTATAAAATACTATAAGAGGTTTGGCTATAATATAAGACCTATTTATAAATGCAGTAAACCTAGGACTTAAGGATATTTTATAAAATGCTGGATAATTATACTTTTCCTCTTAGATATCTTAGAAAAAGACTTTTTATTTAGAGCTATGTATTTTATATATTTCCTAGGCTATAAAAGTTATAAGGAGTTTTAGAAACTAGTGGAGGAGATAAGCTTATATAGCCCCTTTTCCGCAGATATAGATTAATACTTCCCCCCCTATTTCTTTTATTAAATTAAAACGTAGTAAACGCAGGATCTAAACAACTGCGGCTTCTACTGTCCTAGTGCTTAGATAAGGACTTATGTAATTAGTTTACTTAGTGGACGTTAATAATAAAATAAATAAACAAACAATGATGCTTCCGAAATGGCACATCTGATGACATAGTCATCAGGATTACGCAATAGTTGCTTTATATTTCCAATAATTCTTGGCTATCTACATATAATGGATGACAGCATCTCCAAACTCGCCACCCAGCTGTATTTTCAGCAGGTCGCCCGCTATAATCTCCTCTTTCTTTGCTAAAAGTTCGTCTACGGCCCAATTAACAGCCATGTACCGCCCATTCAGAAACGCAGCTGTTTTTGTGCAGAGCCAAACCGCCACTCCACCAGCAAGCTCTGGTGTGTCCTTGGCAAAGTGTCTAAAGCCCCGTGCGTCATCGTGCATATCTGTTAAGATAATTCCAGGGTGGAAAGAGATGGCCGTGACATTTGGATTCTCAACAGATATATACCGGGTGAGTTGCAGATCAGCAAGCTTTGCCAGAGAATATGCGGAGGCTCCAGGAGCAACCATGAAAGCTGCTGCGGAGCTTAATCCGATCAACATGCCTTCCTTTTCACTACCGAGGAGCTGAAGGAAGTATTTTGCGACTAGCATTTGCCCTTTGACGTTGACTTCCTGTTAAATATTTAATACCATCTCTGGCGCATCAAACTTCGTCAAATAACACTTACAATATCATGCCACCATGTTTCCAACAATCCAGACTGGACAAATTGGCCTTCGCTTTGAAATAGTCCCGCATTATTTACTAATACATCTGCTGTTCCAAACTTGGCCTTGATTTGATCAAAAAAACTCTTAACTGACTCTTCATCGGTAATTTCCAGTTTTGCGGACAGAACTTCGATGCGAGGATTGATCTCATGAATCAATTCTTCAGTGCTTTGAAGGTCAGCTACATTACGAGCGGAGAGAACGATTGCCTTGGCGTTCGCCTTTGCAAACGCAGTCGCAAGGCTCTACAATAGATCATCAGCAAGCGCTTCTATTTGTAAAGTCCAGCACCCAGTGAGACAAGTATAACTCACCAGCTTTCCGATTCCTCTGCTTGCGCCTGTGATTATGACTATTTTGCCCTCCTGGGATAAGGACGCCGACGTTGGGTCAATGTCCGGGTATACATCACGGTATACCTTCTTGGTGAATTGGCCCGTTGTAGTAAAATGATCCTCGGACAATGACATGGTTGCTGGGGCAAACGAAGAAGCTCAACTTTAAAGAGTGTTCGTATTTTAAGAGATTTGTTCTTAAATGATGTTGATTTCGATCGTTTGACAGGAGAAACCGAGATATTATATGTCGTCGCTTAACTATGAATACATAGATTTCTTCTACCGCCTCCCTGTTCTTTCCATCCCGGTGTTCGCCTTTAATACGACCATCATGTGTTCAATGTTTAGACACGAGTTTGGAAAGCTTCAAAAACTTCCAAACGCAGAATGTGGTGCCAGCATTTGTCCGCCTAGTGATCAAGGTCTGACTTCAATGGTTTCACTCCACCTACCGTATATGGAATATTTGACCTTGCCGATTAAACCGCTACGGTCATTCACTGCCCATCCGACGACCATTTGTCATCCCGATTCCCCGCCTTCATTGTGGAGTCCCCTAGTAGAATCTAAACCACAACCAATTGCGAGACCACCATCAGCAAATACACGTGTTAGCAATTATTTGATAGTGAATTATTTTATAGTCTACTAGTAAAACTTCAGTTGAAGATATTTAGTATTAGTAGCCACAGCCGCAGCTAATTATCATCACAAGGACACTTGGATAACATTATGTTCAACTAAATAAATAGACCAACCTAGATTCATGGCCCTGTCACCATCCAGTACTGCGTGCCAAATCGTGTTTCTATAGATTGGCAACACCATGAGGTCCAAGGGACGGTTCTATAAATCCAGGGCTATATTGACCGATAGGTCGGAGGACTGGGGCAATATTTGTCACAAATGCAGTTGATGCCTAATACCAGAAGATGATGGAATGCCTTGTTAACAGCTGGCTATCTAAGTCTTCTAAACGAGCGTGGAGAAGTGAACTTAACGTCCAGTTGATGCTTCTGGATCGCTGCGCCGATTTTCATCGATCCTAGTGTAAGTCGACATAGTAGACCCATTATATCGACCATATGAGTCGGGTCGAAACACACTGTTTGTTTGCCAGGCGGTTTATCATTAAAGAGCAACACAGTTGAGAAGGTTCAAGTTGATAAGGCCTCCCTAAGTATTAAATATTATGATTAGTGGTTATTAAGGGAGACTTAAGATAAGTAAAGCTGCAGCTCACCTGTTCCGCGTTCGAGTCACAGCAGTAAGAGCCGCTACTGCAGCCCGTTCCAAGGACGCCAATGTTGCAGAGTATGCCTCCTATAAGGCCACTGCAACAAACAGCGACCTGATTGCTGTTGCAGGTACCTCCACCACTGCTACCTCCACCACCGCTACCTCCACCACTGCTACCTCCGCCACTGCTACCTCCGCCATTGGTGCCATCACCAGCGCCATCACCAGTGGTGGGGGCGGCGATGGCAGTGGCAGCCAGAGCAATGAGGGCAGTAGTGTACTTCATATTGGTAAAACAAAGCTCAGTACTTGGGGCTTATACAATAATAAGAGGGCTTCAGAAAACTGGCACTTGTTGATGGTATGTTGTGTTGGAAATTGTGGGAATTCACCAGTGCTTTATATCTTCAGCTGTGCCTTAGAACTTCCTGATCCTGGACTCGAACCAAATTTTCAGGAAGAAGCAGGGTTAAAGAACGCTACGTTATTATGCTTTGTCTTAGCAAGCCAAATTAGATAGATGATTTAGCCATCGTGTAGTGAAGCTCAAACTCTGGCAGGGCTATCTTGAGAAATAATATGATGATTATTCCTTTGCTTACAATCCATGCATTAGTTGAGACGAGTGACAATACTATTTCCTCCTGTGGCTTACATGAATCTCGTATAGTTAGCTCATTGTCGGTATAAAATCGTTGGCTTATTCGAACTATCTCCGCGGCGCAACTTGGGTATATCTTACTTCAAGCCAATCGGAATATTCGGCTATATTTTGAAGCTTTAATAAGTCTCGGTTTTACATCCTCCGTAACTCTTACTTAATTGATTGTATCCTATTCTGTAGCCTCGAGCTGTAATAGATATCCCAGAGGACGTAACATCATAATTCCACCAAGATGTTTCTTAGGTTTTCGACCTCCTTGCTCCTCCATAGAGGCGTATTTAGTATGTATAGTGATCGACAGTAACTAAGATTTAGCGCAGTGATCGACACTAATTACGATTCTTCATATATGACCTATATGCAGGGGATAAACTCAACTACCGAGCTACGAAGTATTTGAGGCACCTAAGTATAGATCTAGTTAGATGCTGAGCTACTATTCGCACGAATCGACCCTAATCAAGTCGCTTGTGTTATAACTTCCAATTAGGCAAGCTAAGTAAGCGACTGAAAACGGTCAGAGTAGCCAACCAATCGCCTGCAACATATTACCACGAGTATAAGACAGCTTACCCTGGTTAAACCTCTGTGCTCACCTCAAAATTTCTCAAGACACGGCACAGAGAAGTCAATCCCATGATCGAGAGAACATAATAGAGCTAAAAAGCGAGCATGCACAAATAATATTTCCGCTAATTTACGCTCTATTGTGAGGCTGCTGTCCTGCTTCAGTTTTGCAGCCACCAATATCGTTGATACCATTTATTTCTCCCCAAAAGAGTATGCAATTTGCCATCCCCAGAGTTTGGATTTCCAGTTTTAAACCCATCGTCATGCCCAGGGTTGGCGATTATTTGCTTACTATATAACGCTTCTCTCAAACAAGAGGTTCTGGTAAAAAAAACAAAGGCATGGGCCTAACATAAACTGTAAATTAAAAGTAGTATTTTAAGATACTGCCTCGTGTCTTACAACCCATGGTTCTTTTATAATTTGCTAGGGTATATATAGATCCTATGAAGGCGAAGTCGTATAGTTTCGGTCTACGGCATCTCCAATCCCCAACCACTTCTCACTGCCCCAACATGAAAAACAATGGTTGCCTATTGAATACGCAAATGTGGGTAGCTACAGGGATGTTAAGAAGTAGAAGCATACTATGGTAGAGTGATCCGAGATGTTGAAATGGTTACGTGTAGTCTTCCTCTAATTTACCGGACAGAAAGGTAAATGTAATACAGAAAGAGTGATGGTATGAGTTGGCCCCAACAATGCCAAAGAGTTGTGTATAGTGCTATTTATTTTTTAAGGCCAATCTAAGAAGAGACGTCTGGACTACAAAACCGGTTCGCAATATTAGGGCACTGGGCTGTGAATATCTTAAGACGATGATAGAATTCAAGCTGTGCGAAGGACGAGTTCTAGATTTCATTGTTGAAGAGAAATGCAAGCGGCTGTCCAAGCCATACCCATACCGGGTAGCTCCTGTCTCTGAGTCGTAGCTTCATCAGGACTCGCGGTTTCGTAACCTCAGCTAGTCGGCGTCAAAGTTTATCACATTTGGTCAGGTATGTTTGTGCTAGTACTCCGCACATTTTATCCTTTGGTGCCAGCCAATTTATGAGAAGCTCTCTCCAGTCCCTGCTTATTTGAGCTACCACCATGCCTAATGTATCGTTGATGGACGTTGGTGATGGTAGTAATAAGAGGCATTGGCTATCTTCAAGTAAAGTTGAAGAGAAAGCCGATTATGAACATCACTCTATCCATTAGTCTCCAATAGGGTTTTGTAAATAAGCAAATGAAGAATTGCTTAAAAATATCATTATATACAGTCTTGCCGGTCACAAGTTGCCTCAATTCACGTCATCATAGTCCCAAACCACCAAAATATCACAATCACCACACAGCATTGTAGCAAACTCACCACTATTGCAATAGCGGCAACAATAGGCCCGCCCAATCTCGTCCCTCCTCCTCCATCAACCCTCTTGTTAACCTCCTCCCCATACTGTCCCCCTACATTCCCTCTTGGCCAATATTCACACACCACAAACCAACCTCTCGTACCGCACAACTTCCTCCCGCATCCAACTCCCCGCGTCGCTTTCCAGACCAGCTGCGAAAAGTGCCCCGTCTGCTCTGTGAAACCAGGATCATTGAAATTGTATTTTTCTTCCTCGTCACCCCAAGCCTCCACCGCTGCTGTCGCGTTCGCGTATCCGATGGCGAGATTCTCACCGTATGGACCCCCCGAATGGGCGAAACGGCAAGTTGTGTCTGACTGGAGATATGCAGTGGCGAATTTCTCCAGGGTTGTGTTCCAGTATAATGAGGAAGCGTTGTATTGGCGGCGGTAGGTGTTGGTCGAATTAAGGATTGCCGATGTAAATGATGTAGGGTTGGAGTAGGATGGTTCGCCGGATGGGATGGCTGGAGCGGCGGTGATGGTGACGATGACTGTGGAGGAGGAAAACTTGACGAAGGTAATGAGCGAGTATAAGAATAACGCCAATCTCATGTTGGTTCTATAGGTTGAAGCAGGTGGTTTGTGCTGAGTCGTGAAACCGTCCTTGAAGATACCCGTAATATATGCCCAAGAAAACGCGTTCAGTGCAAGCACCACCCATAAGCAACAGCAAACAGAACTAGGATTGAATGCAGTCTGAAAAAAAAAGGCAAAAAGAAAGACAAAATGCGTAACGAAGTATAGATGATCCCTCAATTCAGACAATTAGCATTTCGCATCATTTTAACGAGAGCCTGATTCTTACCCCTGTTTGTCTCATCTCTTTCAGCACCGCTTGATTTGTCTGCACGCACTGAGTCTAAGCGCCGCCCAAAGGATGAAACACGACGCAGCGGCCAATCATTTGCAGATGTCGCGCGTAATCCGCCTCAAAGACGCTGCATGGGCTCAAAGAAAAATAACAGGAGATCTGTATTTTAATCTTGTTCATATCATACGCCTGTTTACATATATTTAATGTTCATTTGTTCATATAGTTATGCCTGCATTCATCATGCCTAGGTCAAACACTCTAGCAACATCCGTCTCGGCCCTTGCGCCGTCTCGTGGGCTCATGTTCAAATATGTACACGTACAATGCTATTATTACAAGTCACCATGTAATCTGCTGACTAGATAGGTATTATGACGGCTCCAAATCAATGCCATATCGATCTATACCCTTCTCATCGCGCCACCACTTCAAACTATACAGCCCATTCGTAGGCAGGTTTTCCACACTCATATGCCTGCCATCCACCCATTCAGACGTCGACGGGGTAGCCAGTCGAGACACCATCTCTCCACCAGCCATCAGCGTCGCCGCTCCAGCGATTGAGCAGGGATTATGCGGCAATACATCTCGTACTGGTAAAAGCAATCTCGTCGCGATGCCGCACGCAATCATGACTCCGAGAACAACCTGGAGCGCAATCTTGGGCCCGCGATTCTGCTGTAGCCGCTGATGACCGGATGAGGTCACCACACCGTCGAATGTAGGTAGAGATGGCCCGTTGCCAGAAGTGCTATTGTCGCGCATGTTTAGGGATATGGCTTGAGCCATGTAGTCGCCATAAAGTCGCTGAGTGGCATTCCTGAGGTTGTCGACATTCTTCGCGCCAGCAAGCTCATCTACTGGACGACCATTCTTCGTCATAACGAGAGCTTGGATGAAGCTGTCTATATAGTTATTCGTGTAGTTTGTGTTGTTCGGGCCAGGAACCGTCTGGTTAAACAGCGGACTACTCAAACCATTTAGCCACGCGTTGGGCAGAAAAGGAAATCTTTCGCTGCTGCGATTAGTCTTCAAGAGCTTCGCTGTACCCTCATTTGTCGTAGGAAGCTGATTGGGGTCGAAGCTGAACTGAGGAAGCTGCCAGGTGACATTGGCCATAACCTGCTCGATGTTCTGATAGCAGACAAGTGTGGCGAGGTCTTGCTCGAAACCAGTAATTTTGGCTTTGCTTCCTTTGCCCGATTTCTTCAATTGCATGAGACCCAGTGTGACTGCAAATGTCGGACATCCGTTGTCTGTTTGATGAACTCCATTGCCCGCTACTCCGGTTGATGGGTTTGTGTCCAACGCTCCATCACCTCCAACAAGGCCACTACCCCAGGTGAGGATCGAGCCTTTTCCAACATATGCCATGCTAGTATCGTTGGGAAGCAAAAAGTATTGCATCCACGGCTCCTCTCTCTTCATTCCATGCGGCGCAGTCTCACACCAGTCGGCATATCTCATAGTTGTATTCAGCCCAATCCAAACATACCCCTCTTGGGGAGTCACAAAGTTGCTCTGCCCAGGCATTAAAAATATTGACCCTGGTGTAGACTCTTGATTAACAATTGTTACTTTTCGATCATCATTCGGTATCGTTGTGCAGTTCAGCGACGGCCTCACGGCAGGTATGTTAATTGTCAGCGGCACATTGACGCTCGAATTCGTTGTTGAGATGGCATTCTGATGTAGTGTGTTGAACACAAGATCGCCCGTTGTCCACTTTGTGCTATTCAGACCCAAATATTCGACCAAGTTGTCAATAGCAGTGGCTTCGTTATCAGAGAGGGAAAGGTCTGCGTTGTCAAAGTTGAACGTGTCTCTTTGGTAAAGAGTAATATTCTGAACAATTGGGACACTGATAGCACTATACAGACCTGACACTATAATGGATAGAAAACTTCCAATAAAGGTGGCAAATAGCGCAATGGCCACCGCGAAGTTCTTCGTTCTTAGCGATAGATAAAAGGCACGAGGGAGCAGCTGACCGACAAGACTCAACGTGATTGTTCGCTCAGCACTGGCTTTTCCACGCTTCAAGGGTGCGTATGGAGCAAAAGTTGCTGCCATCATTTCCATTGCGGCATAGAGACTAGCCACTCCCAGGGCAACAGCTGAAGGAATATAAGTAGCAAATGCGAGCGAGCTCGATTGGCTGATACTCATGAATCCATCGTTTATGTCTGAAAAGTGTTGAACAATCTCCAAAGATGCAATGACGAGCAGTGGTAGACATATCGCAAGGGCAAGGAACCGGGTGGTGCTAGCTATTGGTTTCCATGACGGCACTAGGCTTTGGGTTTGCTCAGCGGAATAATTAATTGTTTGTCCTTCGTTCCGCTGAATTGGCTCGATAGAGACACTTGCGCCGGTATCAGAAACATGAGATGTTCGGAATTGGTATTCCACAAGACACTGTTTTAACCTTTCGTTGCTCAAAACTCCCATCGGCGACAAGATCTTATTGAGATGATAACTTGCTGCGAGCAGTGTAGCCATTGAGAGAGTTGATCCTGGTTGGTCTGGCGCTGCAAAGCTGGGCCGAGCAAATATCATTCCCACGGACAAGATAACCAACAGTCCGAGAAAGCTACACATGAAGCTGGTCGAAAGGGCTTTAACGCGCAGCCTCTGCTCCACATAGGTAATGCTTCCAGTAGCGGTACGATTCGCCGGCTGAACGATGATTTCGTGTAAGACTTGAGTAGCAATTCCCTTGAATACATCGGATCCTGTACTGAGAAGAAGATTTGGATCCATAAAACTTCTGATAGATTCTACCCCAGCTTTCTTCGACATGAGTTGGAAAAATGTTGGCACAGTGGCTGACAGAACATAGTCAACTCCTCCGTTGCCCAAGTTCCAGTTGTCGGTGGTAGATTCAACGCCCATGGCGAGGGATCCCTGAGGAAATGTCTTTAGAACATTTTGCGCATCTGCTGGCGCTGAGAAAAGAGCGTGGGCAGATCCGTTGACGGCGTTTGGGACGCCAACATCGAAATGTCCCAACTCATACGATGGTTTGCAAAGAGCAGATGTGACGTTATGGAGATACATGTACCGAGGAGAGCTGACAGACACATTATATGGCGAAATGCGGAGATCGACCACAGACATGAAAATGCGTATATCTCTGCTGGTGTTATATACTTGTAATCCCAAGGATAAATTGTTTTGGGGTATAAATTGCCTACTGAAATCGAAGTCGGCGTTGCAAGGGTAGGCGGCGAACTGAGCCTGATAGTTCTGCGTTGCATTCCGGTCATGATAATAATCATGATCGGGGCCTGCAGCTAGAGTAACTCCTTTGATGTTGCAATCTTTAGTGGTGACGTTGGCAACAATGAATGGCCCGTTGATGCTTCGCCATGGCATGAAAACCGTTGTGCCATTAGTGAGAGGCAGAAGTTCGCAATCATAGTTGACTTTGAGGCCATCCGTAGTCATTGTATATTCAAGATTCGTAGCGGCCATCGATGGGGCTTGAAACTCGGGGACGACAATGTCTTCAGCTGTGCCAGGCGGATAACGCAGTCCATAGAAGTTTATACCATAGTAAGTTTGCGCGGGACCTGGGCCGACTGACCAGGCCAATCTGGGATCCATAGATTGATTCAACTGGAATTTTGACGATAGCTGAAATTTTTGGTCGCTTTTGGACATTTGAGTTGGCTCCAGGATGAGCAAACCTGTTGAGAAAACAGTCTAGTATAGCGTTAGTACATAGCTAAAAGAACAGCAAAGAAACAAATTGGAAGACAAACAGTGCCTAGTATCAGTAATTGGCCAATTATAGATATTGTGACGGACCAATGTCGATTCTTGATGGACATCCAGAGACCAACTGGTAGCAATGGGGAGATGTAGTCCAGGAGCAAAGTCTTGTCTGCCGATGAGGGCCCTGTTCTGAGCTCCTCCCAAGGCATCAAGATCTTGTTTGCAAAATCAACTTGCCGCCACAGGGCTCCCACCACCACAAGAACTAGATGAAGCTACAATCAGCATTTAAAAAGAAAAGACAAGATAGTATCTACAGTCGCTTACCTGCAGTTGGACCATACTTCCAGGCGTAATGATTTGCCTCCCTCTGAACACTAATTCCGTTGTCTTGCTCAGAAAAGTGGTAAAGCAAAGCAGTGGCGAGCAACATTAATAAAAATGTAACGGCAAAGGCGATGAGAGCGACTCGACTGAGCCAAATCGGCGCCCACAGAGCCGAGTGGGAATTTCGCGGCCATTTGGGAGGAGGCGCCAGTGAACGCTGGTCGGAACTTGCAGTGTTTGCCACTACGCCCTCGTGAGATTCGTAAAGCGTTGGAACTGATAGAGCCTCCTCTTCATCATCTATCTCCGCCTGCTCATCGTTTTGCGCAGCTAAGGCTGGTCAGCAAGCCCTGTCTACCTCGTATCAATCCAGGCCAAGAAACACACCTTCGTGATATGGCCCCGCTCTCGCCGGGACGGGTTTTCTCTTCAGGGAGATGATTTGGTGATACGCGCCCCGACGCGGGGGCGTTGATCCTGGTAGCCCCGAGTCCGCAAATCCGTCGACGTGGGACATTTTGGTCGACTCCGCAGAAGCGTTACGAAGGCTTCATTTCATGGAGGCTGTAAAGCGAGGGAATTGAAGAAGAAAGATATTCCATCTTTGATTGCAGGAATGAGAGTCTGTTCATTCATTTTCGACTTCTGCCTTGTCTACCAAGCGAGCCTGGGATTCGCATCCTTAGTGTATTCCTGTGAGATGCTTCATGCACAAGTACCAGTTTTTGCAAGATTGGATTGAGCGATGATTGGCAGAACAGGCGCTATTACGGGAGACGTGGCTTGACTCTAGTTCAGCTTAAGCAAGGGGACAGGCGGGAGTGCGGCATCGCGTGAGAAGATGTGGCGGTGGCTGACCTATTCTCCCTTTAGCTAAGCTGCGTGTAGCTGTTTCAGTCGCCCTCGAGTTTCGTTTCGCATTGATGAGAGCCGGGGTAAACGTGGCTTCGGCGATTGTCGAGGTCTGCCTTGAAGTGTACGGAGTAGTAGTACTCCACAGCCTTACCAAGATTAATGATGCTGGCTTCTCATTATCTTCAGTTACAAGCTCTCATGATGTGATTGTGCCAGATGAGCAGAAAATCCTTGTCTAGTAGGAGGGATCAGGCTAACCACCACGCCTCATGTCCGGAGTCTCACGCTCTACCGACTGTGCTGACGAAGCAGCAGAGCTAACCAGGCTCTTACAGAGAGGTCTTGTATTCTATCGATCGAGCGTTTCAAGACTTCAATCGTGCTCATAGCTCCCGCTTTTTTTTTCCCGCCAAGAGAAAAAATCACGAAAGCATCAAGCCTTTCCATAGGGCTGCTTACATGCGTCCAGGCAGGCGTTCCTTCGGCTTCTTACACGCACTCCATAGCATCGTGGATTGTATCCCAGTCAGAAGAAAGGATGATAGGAGCAGATTAAAATATTGTAAGCATTTAATCAGATAATACTGGGGTTCTCTTTGCATCTAGGCGGGTACCTAGTTATGTTCTGGACTGTATCTCATTAATTCTTCATTAGTACCCAGTACCTCAGCTTCAGCATATTGGGGCCGTGGAGCAAAGTATATATACTTGTTTACCCGCCTCGTACTCCATCTGTATCACCATCATCATCTCCATCTCCATCTTACACTTGTCATAGGCACCCTGTCTGCCACGCGCTTGCCCGAACACCAGCCCCTGATTGAAACATTTCAAAAGAGACTCGAGAAACGATAATGCTGACGGATGCGGCAAGTTCGTCCGATAGACGGCTACAAGGGCGCCAATCGTTCTTGCTCTCGTGCCAAGCTGGCGTCATAATGGAAGTCTGAGACAAACCGTGTTTCGCATTGCGCTGCCATGCTGCACACGTCGATCCAGCGATCCGGTCGTTCCCATGACAGCAGGGCCCCAATCTGGAATGCTACTTGATGATTGATCTTCCCCATTTCCTGCTGGTCGGGCCATAGTTTTTCATTTGCCAAAGCAATTAATACTTGGAGAGGGCGGTCTCAGCTGTATTTCTTTCGCATGCAAAGACGCCCAAACTACAGCCTCACCGTTTCCCGAATTGCAATAACACCCTCATGGCGAGAACACATACAGCACAATGGCCTACTCTCACCAGCCTTCTCTTCCTGGCCGGGGCAGCTTCGGGAACTCTCTTGACTCTGTCCAATTTCCAAAGCCTAACTTCGGCGGTGTCTGTCCAATGCCTCTACGCCTACAACCTGCCCATTCGAGGATGCAGCCCCAGTGATTTCACTCGCGGCGCGACATGTTCTGAGAGCTGTATCTCAGGATTGCAAGCAGTGCAGTTCAGTGTGCGAGGACTATGTGCCAACATCAGCTCTGGCTCAAATTCTCTTCTCTTACAGGTCAAAGAAGGCCATATCCTCGACGCTCTCTGCAATATGCACACACCACAAATGAGCACTACTTCGGCGCCAACTCCTCCACCGAAACAAACACCGCCACCACCGCGAGAATCATCATCAAAACTGGAGCCAGAGAGCACAACCAGCGATCCGATATCTACAACGTCATCTGCCCCTTCTAAAGCAGCTACAACTACGATACCCACCCTCACATCAGTGATAATACCCAGCTCAGCGGGAGAGTCTACAGCCGAAGCCACCAACGCTCCGACATCCAAGGCTACAAATGAAGAGCAACCCTCTTCTACAAGTGAAGAAAAGCCAAAACCAACACGCAATCCCAATGCGCAGCCTGGCAGCGGCGGTGGAAGCCCATTTGACTTTGTTGCCATTAGCAAAGCAACTAACCTTGGGCTCACTGGGGGTTCTATTACAATGGCTATTGCCATTGGTTTCACGACACTAACGCTTATATGATATGAATATGTTTCTTTTGTCTGTCTCGCAGCCTGGATGCTGGAAAACATCACCTCAATCTTTAATGTCTAAGTAACGAAGAAGAGTTGTAGCATGGAGTGTGTTCGCCAAATGGCAGAAGCGAACACCACTGAGCTAGGATACTTGGCGCAGAGGGACTATGACGCGATACTGGGAGCATACATGTATGATTAGGAACAAGGAAGCATTGGCGTTCACTCGTTTTGTTACAAAGCTGCGACAGGAACGCAGATACTATGGGGGATTGGATTTGGCTATGCGATCACAGCTGCAATGGTTGGTTTGACGTCGGAAGAGGGAAAAAAAATACGAGGCTATTTGCCAGTGTAAGAGGAGCTCTGGGTCGAACATGTATTGTATTGTATTCATCAACGAATTCGTGTGGCAAACCGCTGCAATAAAGCGGAAAAGTTATGGAACAGCATGAGTTTTCTGTATCTTTGTAGATGATGCTCTCGTAGTTCAGTGCTGTCCCTTTTGCTACCCGACATGATGACAATTCTCTTACCCTAAACTAATAAAAAGAAAAAGAATATCGAGAATAACCGAGAAAGAAAAGCAAAAAAAAAAAAGAATTGCCGCCTGATATCTCAACCGGATTATAATTTATAGGAAGAGCCCGATGCGGGGGTCGAACCCGCAACCTTGAGATATCGCAACATCAGAACGTGTCACTCATAAGAGTCTCACGCTCTACCGATTGAGCTAACCGGGCCAAGTCATGTGACTTGGTCTTTCCAACCAATCACCGATCACCGGTTGAGCTCAGGCGGCTTCGTTGAGGGGAAGCGGTCCTTTTTTACATTATGAGGGCTTTGATAGCGGTGTTTTATGCCCAGTACAGATCTGTGTGATGTACAGGCCAAGTTCGAAGCTTCAACTTTGTGTAGCATTTTGTATTTACTGTCCAAATATTGACCTCAGACGTTATCATGAGATAGATTTAGCCAATCCCAGCACTTCACGCAAGTACATAATCCCCCAGCAAATATGCGGGGCAAAACATGTACCCTCATGCACGTAGTAATGGCCAACCAACGTCTTATTGGCATGTCGCGTACAGGGTGCATTGCATTTCTTACAAAAAAATGTCCTCCTCCGCGTCTTTCGTCTTTCCGCCTCCAAAGTAGAGACAGTTACATGAATCGACATGGAAAACTCTGAAAACACAGGACCTGTCACAAATGGAGAATTCGGGTCTGTCCTTGAAGAGCTCCTAGGCTTTTTGGAACGCTATCAGGATGATGGCTGTGTTACCCTTGAGGATGCTATTATACGAATGCACAAACAAGATGACTCCCTTAACTTTCTTTATACCGAGATGCTTCCTCGCACTACTCAGGCCTTACACGATCACAACATGCTCTCAGATATTGGCATCGATGAGTTGCCTACAGGATCTGCCTGGATTGAGTTACGTGATCAGATCAAGGAGCACGGGCAAGCCATGGCATCAAACAGTGCCTCTGTAGAACCTGCTTCGGCTCCAGAGGATGCTGGTACTGTTAACAATCCGGCGGCACTGGAGAGTATTCAGACTTTGGATAACCACATCGCCCCAATAAATGCCGCGACGTCAGGGAATATCCTTCTTTCAAGGGACAGCTCAATTCCAGACAACGCTACCACATTAAAGGCCGCCGAGGTTCTAAATACTGTCGACAATCTAGAGAATCACGCGGTTCCAGAGGATGTCGAGATACTCTCTCAGTCTTTTCAATTATGGGCCAGCGACCCAATCTCATTCTGGAATGGGCCGACTATACAAAGGCCTGGTATAGCAGGGATTATGATGTTCCACGTCGAGAGTGAACGGATTCTCGGTGTCCAACACAGATTCAATTGCGTTGTAGCTTATCTTTTTTTCGACCGATATTTCCAGTCTCAATACATTACAAAGGGCAAAGTGATACAACTTCTACAACGTTCTGGCGGGTCGGCGGATCATGAAGCTCATTTTTCAGATCTTATACAAACTGGACAAAGATGCGTACAATTCTGCCAGCAACTTCAACCAGATATGGGCAATGTCGACTACGGCCCCATATTTCGCCTAGATATCCAAGACAAGATGTAAGGTCCCATTGACCAATCAGCGATATATCAACTAACTCATCGCTAAATGGTAGATGGAGCCGGCGAGACAGTCACTTTCGAAAAAAGTTCAAACTATCCTTGGAAAAGTTTCGATCTCAGAACGTTGGGAGATGGTCTGAGACTTCCGGGGCTCGATCGGCCGCTAAAGCTATTATTGAAGTCTTCATCACCGACGACGATCAACCCCCTAAAGAACAAGGTGGTGAAACTTCCCGAGGAGGACGACAGGATTTCTTTCGTCGAGCGCAGAGTTCGTAAAATAGCGTCGCGGCAGGTTATGAACGCTTGCACATAACGACTCCAACTGATGTGTTCCATAAAGAAACTAAGAAACCCGAGCCATAGGAACTACCTAATCTCTTGGCTCGCGCCATCCCGTCCGAACTCAGCACTACAGCAGGAGAGCGATTGCCAAGAAGATCCAACCATAATTGCGTGACAATGACAACAAAATTTTTATGTGAATTGGCGGAGTAGGATGTTCTAGTGTAGGGATATACTGAAATTAATTAGGAAAGGGCTAGAGCTTGGCTAGAAGTGATGATTTCATCTGATATCTCATAAGCATAAGGAAACCTGCTGCTCCAAAGGCGAGGGAGCCAGCGTAGAACATAGCCGGTCGAAAGGCCCTCAAGCCGGTTTCCGATCCTCCATGTGCATCCAGTATGTAGCCTGCTATTGGAGCTCCCTGTCAACACGTTAGTTTTGGACTCTATCCTATTGGCATTGCGCTAGGACTACTAACCATCAGGTATCCTGCTCCCCAGCCGGTTACAATCATGCCCAAGGCAACAGACACCCTGGCAGATCCAAATATGTTACCAACAGCAGTCGGCATTGTGGCGAAATACATTCCGTTGAGGGCACCGTTGATGATGGCAAAAATTGCCAAGGGGATTAAGGTAGTGGAGGCTGGCCAAAGCGCAAGCATGCTTATGGCGCTGAGAACTAATGAGATGATGAGAGTGTTCACCGGTCCAAATTTATCTGAAAGGAAGCCGCCTGCGATGCGGCCGACGGCCGACGAGAAGTTGAAACCAGACAGTAGCGCAGCACCAGTGCTTGAAGAAAGCCCGATGGAACTGCTATAGAATGGGAGGAAGAAGGCTGGTACAAGAAGCGGGAAAGTTGCAATAGCTCCTGCAACGAATATAAATATGAATTTTGGGTCTTTAAATAGCCGCCACTCAATAAAGCTAACTGTCTGGATAGCAGTGCGCTCTTTCATGATCCAAGCTGCGGGAAGCCCGGTGACCAAAGTCACGATTCCTATAATTCTATAGGCCCAGGGAATACCAAACCTTTGGATCAAAGCGTCCAGAACATACGTGACGACGGCTGCCCCAAGGCCGCCACCAGCAGAGATGATTCCGTTAGCAAGGCCACGCTTCCGTTTGAAGTATTGGGCTGCGATGATGGAAGTTACCATGAAGCACAAGCTCATGCCAAGGCCGACACCAACGCCGCGTGTAATGAACTGCCCAGCCACACTGTATACTGTAAACCCGCTCGTCAATTGGGCGACCCCGAGGAGGAGGATTCCAATCATGGCGCTCTGGCGGATGCCAAGCCAATGGATCACACGAGCATTGATGATGGCTAAGACAGCCATTATGGTGGGGGAGAGGGATCCAATGAAGGACAATGTCGCCGCCGATGCGAGCTTCTGTTCGAGAAGAGCATTTTGTATGACACCCCAGCTATAGTTGCCATTGCCGGTGAACCAAAAAGAGACAATTGCGGAAGCGAAGATAACTACCCAAGCGTAGCCGCCCTCAGGCACATCGCTATCTGCAACGCGAGAGGCCTCAAGTACCGGGTCTACATCTATCAATTCCCTATCCGAAGCGTCATGATGGTGTATATCGCGCTGCTGGATTTCGCTTTGTGGTAGCGGCTGAAGCTGGATCGAAGTTGTTACCGAATTCTCTATCCCATGGTCCCTTGTAAGGGACAAAGTCTGCGTAAGTTGAGACATCGATCTCGTTGGTTAGATCGTGATTGGACTATTGAGCAGCTATCCAACTTATTGGTATGAAAATCCATCTTTTATACATGCTCTCTCTACATGTATACTCCATACAATAGGCGACGCCTTTCACTGCGCCTTGTGTTTGACATACCACAATAAAGCGGGATTTTTGGACCAGCTACAGTGGGGTGTAGGGCAGTTTGTGGAACCCTTGGATGCTATCTTAGTCCATAGTGTGGATCTTGTAACTAAAGTAATACGCAAGGCTGAGATGTGGTTATTAATGTGATTACCCATGGTTAGCTGTCTAATACATCCAGCCGCTCGGGAGAGACGGTATATACCCCCAGAAAATGAAAAGAATGTCGTTGCAACTCTTGTCATATTACACGATCGTTTTGACTTTTGCAGAGCCGCCTGTCAATACAGCGAGAGAGGCAGGGAATACTTCTAACAGTGAACAAGGATTCTGAATTCGATAGAGACTGAGTAGTAGGCTCACAATTTATTATTGCAAGGAAAATATGCTCTCTCTCTCTTTTGGTAACATCAATCATCCAACATGGCGAAGAACCTGGCAAATTCTGAACGAGCCCCGGAAAAAGTCGATGGTCAACTTGCTACAGTGGCTTTGGGCAATGCTGTGTCTCTAAAAGCAGGAAATCTTTTGGTTCTGGTAGCGGAGAATTGTTAGGCATCCACGTTACAATGCCTTCAGCTCCCAACCTCGCAAGAGAGGCGTATTTCAACGTGATAAAAATACTTCTTGCTTATCACAGGGTCCATAACTACCTAGTGGATTTAGCTAATCAAGTCACGCCGTATGGTGTAGGTTTTTCGTAAGGAAGGGCTGATTTGTACAAGTTGGCTACATGTATGTGGGTTATTAGATTGTGACGATTCGTTAAACATTCTGTTTACTGTGCCAATGTGGAGTTTAAAATATCATGGGTAACAAATACGCTGTGTCTATTAATGCTTTGCGCTCTTCTTTCACATTGTAATCCACTAATGATTAAAACGACTGATTGTAATATCAGCTGTCACTTTGTTATCCTCAGCATCTGGGTAGTAACTCCAACACTTACTAACGTGTAGATTTGTAGATTTATGTGGTTTCCACATCCTACGTATCATACCATCACAGTTAAATCTTCTAGCCATGCTAACTGCAGCAGAAGTTTCGGGATCAACTTCCGCATTTGGGGCCAAGGGTGCGAATTCTTCATATTATTCAAAAGAATGAAAACATCAAGAAGCCCATATGTATATTGAATTTGAAAGAGCGCTAGTATCATTTTCTCACGTTACTTCTGAGAGAAAGGGTTGACGCCATTAAACGAGCCACCATTTATTTGCGGCGCGTTACCATTGTTGTTGTACTGGGGTGCAGAACCGGTATTCACATTTTGGGGACCCGATCCATAGTTGTTGATACCACTCCCTTGAGACGAGCTCTCGTCTTGCAGCGATTGCGGGATTGCTGATACCTCCTGTAGAGCTTCTACTAGTTTCTTAAGTTGTGATTTTGTCGCCTCTTTCATCTCATCGTCCACTGTCAATAAGACCTTTATGGCCTCCATTGCGTCTTTCATGAGAGTCTCTACGCGACTCCTCTCGCCCAGCTGGCGCACAGCAATGTGATAGAATTTCACCCTGTCATCTGTTTCCTGCGGAACGACGTTCAGAAACAACGCCGCTAAACGAGTCGCTTTTATCTTGCACTCTTCCACAGTAGATGTCATTTCTGTGGAAATTCTGTCCTCTTTCCTATCTCGTATATGGCCTTGGGCCGCTGTAAGCGCCTCGCAGACTGTCGGTATGTGTTTGTTAACATCTTTGAATGCGGGCGGAAGGCCTTCGACCGTATTAATGTCTCCGTGAACATCCCCAATACTCATAAACTTCGAAATTGCCTCTCCAATAGAGGTAATTATTTTACTGACTAAGACGCGCGACATGTCGGGCCACTTTGAAAGCTAGGTGTTGCGTGAGGTTGGCTGAAAGAGGCCTGTTCGCAGCCACCTCTGTTAGTCTTCGCTACATCGGTAGGCATCCTGATGATGGTCATATTTGGACTTACAGATGGTAGCTTTCATCTATACGATAGTGAATAGAAGAGGAAGGAAGCACGAAGCAAGTTTCTTCTCTCCATCAGTTGCAGCCCAAGCACTTTAGGCTTGAATGATGTTCCGGATCAATGAAGGTGATTGGGCAGCGAAATTTTAACAAATCATAAGCAGAGAATATTCCGCATAGAAATATTTTAAGCCAATACTCAAGGATCACCAATCCTCTCGCCTACCTACATGCCCCTGTATGACTAGGTACATGTTTTATATACCTACCTAGGCACATGCAGGTATTGCCAGCCTGACAAGAAATTAATGTCTAAACCCCCAAGTTGGCAGTCAAGGCTCTAGCATTTTACGGGTAAGGACGGAGAAAAAAAATTGACCTGGCTAGACATCGTTCACTAACACCAAGACGGCGCAATTCTTCCCCATAGACAAGTCATCTTGACGCTGGCCATCCGAAGGAAGCAACTGGTGGACATGACTTCGAACACATCCATCATTAATCGGGGTTGACCCCCGAAATGCCGCCTCAAGCAAACAGGCCGCAATGTAACAACAACGGGAACGGCAAACGGGTCAATTCTAGTAATTCATTCAATGTATAGGTAAGATTGCAAAAGACAAAAAGTAGATAAAATTGATAGTGTGCATCGATTGCTGATTGAAAGTAGCCAATCCATTCCATGGCGTGGCGAGTTGAAAGGCTGCTAATGGAAAGCTGAGGTCGCATGCTTAGCGACGACCAACAGCCACGTTGTTGCGAGAACTTTCACGTGGGAATCATTTGCACATTGACTCTCAAGTAAGGTGCAATTTGACTCGTTTTGATAGATTATGGGACGAGGACGAGGATGCGTATGGCCGCGCGCGGGGAGACACAAACGCGTACATGACCGGGCGAATTGGGAAGCACAGCGTCATGCTCGCATTTCTCCCCAACTTGGGCACAACTTCTGCTTCTGGAACAGCAATTAACTTCAGGTTAAGTTATTCTGCATTGAAGCTTGCGCTTCTTGTGGGAATCTGTGGCGATGTACCGGGCACTGACGACGACGAAGTGCTGTTGGGCGACGTAGTCATTAGCAAAACAGTGATCCAGTACACCCTTGGTAAGCAATATCCTATTTAATTCGTGACAAAGGATACGGTATACGGTTGCCTCAGCCGACCAAATAAAGATGTTCGAACTTTAATCGCCAGTTTTGAAACCGAACGTGGACGACATCGGCGACAGAAGACTGGACAATATTTAAAGGACTTACAATCAACAGCAATACGAGAGAGACATCGATGCGGCTGCCAGTATCCAGATGCAAGTAATGACAAGTTATTCGCTGCCGCTTATCACCATAAACACCGGGGAACGCAGAAATGCGAATGCAATTCAGAGACGGATAGCCTCTGTGATGAAGCTGCTCAGGTGCTCTGCTCCACACTTATGTGCGACGAGGGACAACTGGTACAACGAGAGCGTTTACAGATGAAAAAGACTTGAAGCTAGATGATGCGCAATGCCCAGAGATCTTCATTGGCTGTGTGGCCTCGGGGAAACGGTGATGAGATCTGGCGAACATCGTGACCGAATCGCTAGACAACGGGGCGTAATTGCCTTTGAGATGGAAGGAGGCGGTATTTGGTGTGAGGTACCATGCTTTATTGTCAAGGGTATCTGCGATTATGCTGATACCTAGCCACAAGAACAAGGTATGCCAGCCATTTGCGGCGGCTACGTCACGTTTGTGATAAGGGCCATGCTGGGACGGTATAGCCTGGCTGATTCGCCATCGTCTCACCTAAGGTTTAATGCTGCCAATTCGTATGGTTGATAATAAAGATGATGGTAAATATGTTGAGTTAGAAGAGGGTTCTAAACCAAAGACCTATCTGAGTTGTGGGTCTCAAATCTGTGTATATACGAGGTGCTCGGATATTCATATCCAGATAGATAATTAAGACCTTTCACCGTTAATGCAACATACATATGGACATGCTTTGTCAAGTTTCTCTTATGCTACAATACGGAGTTTAGCTTGGAAGGTTGAAAAGAAATGATATCTTCTTATATATTGTCACCAAAAAAAAAAAAAAAAAAAAAAATAAGATCGAGATATGTAAGATGGAGCTCTTTGGAATGATGGTAATGGCGGCCGGGCGAATCAACAAACGAATAGCAATCAACGACTCAGTCTATAACGATAACACTGAATGAAGCACGGTTTGGTTCTAATATAAGCAGCGTTCAGACGGTCAGGCTGGCAAAAGGGCTATGAACGCCTCGTAGGCCAAGTTGGCTCGAAGAGAGGTGACTAATTAATATATGAGCAAGCCCTTATCATAACTTTTGGAATCAGATTGCTGGATTGTTAGCTTTCTAGGTACTCGCTCCCTCCAAGTACCGCGATAAGGTCCTCTAAGAGGCTTAAACTTAACAAGGCAAAGAATATCCGAAATCCTGCTGCCTACTCGGTACAAAAGACCGATCTTGGCATTCAAGTAAGCTTATCTCTTTCTTGTTAAAGCTATGTGGGACATATCCACTATTATGGCTATGTACTAGCACGCTAATGATACGATGACACTGCGCCGCCATCGGCGCCTTCCGCCATCTCTGACAAAAGATCTCTACGGTAGACTCCGGGCCACTTTCATCTTGAGCCATTCAAGCCCTTCATTATATGCGTTGAATGCAAGCTTTAGCAACACAGAAGAAAATAACTTTCTCAAAAGATACCTAGATAGAATTTCAGAATCAACTCCAAACTATCTAATTATTAGGTACTGATGATGCACGTGCTCTCTTCCTTGATGTACTCCGAGCAGAGACGGGATTTGCCAAATTTTACAAATAAACGCCGCGTTATGTCGTATTGCCAATCCTTTCAGGGGCGATTACAAAATGTTTACATGGATGTTAACAGGGATGATACCGTCAACCCTCGGCATCAGCAGACACAAAGAAAACCCGTGGGGAGTTTAAATGTTGTTTGTGGCACTCCTCATCAATAGTTCCGGCTTCCTCGGCGTGCGAGACACTTTGAAGATATTGTTCCAATGCATTTCTCTAGGAAGGCGGTAGTGGCTATTCTAGGTATCTATTCAGCATATTCGGTAAACGCAACGCGGACTGATGAGTGTTAACATCGTATTCAACAGGTTTAACTAGAGCCACCAGCGCTTTTCAGGCCACCATACTGGCCGATAGCAACCGTGACGGCAAGGTAGACTTGGCAGACGAGACTGATGACGATAAAACTTTGTGGACCGAAGCATATGGCGCTCTTTTTCTAGCCAACATAGGAGATACAAATGGTCGATGTTCATCCCAGGTCACGACTCGAACGCCAGATGGAGATTTGTCCAAGTGTAACGACGCCTCGGACAATGTCCTCCGTAACTCCAAGTACATTGCACCACTACGCACACTGCCAATCCAGACGCTTAGTGATGATGCCATCGGAAGTATTAGCGTCCTCGGGGAGACTGCTGCTGATAATGTACGCATCTTTCACAAGAGCGGCGAAGACTGGGTGTATGTTGTGGAAAACACCACTTTTACCGCACAAGACCTAAGAGCAGGACTTGAACTGGGCATCGATGGCCGCAATACGAGGTTTCCAGGCGTTTGGGATGGCCGGGTACAGGTTCAATTCAACGTCACTGATGGATCAGAGACAGGCAGCGATTCCGTTGCATTGCGTGTTGCTCCCGTATTGACTCATCATCACCTCCAGCACGCCCAGCAAGTCTTCACTAATAATTATCCTGGTATGCCTCTTTCACAACAACGATTCGCCAAGTCACTCAAAGACCCCGTTGCTCAGGCCGGCATTGAGAAGCCTGTTTTCGAGTTTACTAGCGACCCCGATATCTGGGTACAAGATTTTTTTGAACCGGGCTACTCCAGCATCCCCGGCCCTAATGGACCTGTGGTGTTGCGCATAAACATCAGGTCTGGACAGTCGTTCCGCTCCGCCGGCCGACAGATTTTTACAGATTTGCGATCAGACTCTGTTGGTGCAATCCAGTATTTGGGGTCTGGCGATACTACTGACTCCATGGGGAATTTGGAGACAATTCCGCCGCACAGCTTCAATAACAAGACATATACTGCCGGCCGTATCATAATGGGCCAGCATGACTCGAAAGACCCGTGGATCATGGCGTTTCTTAGAGCCCAGGAGGCTCAAGACCCCGTAATTACTGATCATGATTGGCTTGCGGTTGGACATACGGATGAGTACATGCAGTTCCTGCCGGCGAATAATTCACGAGGCTGGGTTGTTATGTTGGCCGATCCACTTGCCGGTATCCAACTGCTGAGAGATGCGCAGGCGGCTGGACATGGCGGTGTTACGGCAGTGTCTCGAGTCAAGGATGCTTCCGATCCCGAGCCGGGTTTTCAAGGATGTCTGCCCAATCTCACCATTGATCAGGTCCTGCAACTAGACAATTTGACCGAACTCAACACCTTCGCCATGCAGAACATCCAGAAGAACATTGATATTGTAAAAAATGCTGTCGGACTCACCGATGAGGATATTCTCTATGTCCCCGGAATTTATTATGACGAATCGTTTCCCTGCACAGCCAATGGGCCGGGGCGCAAGCAATTCAACAGCTTCGCCGCAATTGGTAAAGCAAATGCGCTCAAACCTCTCTCGATCATCGAAGCTGTTAATCCAAATGAATCTTTGGAAAAAAGACAGACCACAACACGTTACACAGGTCCCCGCCTCGTTGCAATGTATCCGGGCGCTGTCAATGGTGTTGTGCTGAGCGATTCCCAGGTTCTGGCACCTGCTCAATGGGGCCCAATTATTGACGGAAAGGACATACTTACGGCAGCCGTAGTTGAGGCATATTCTAAGGTAAACTTTACCGTCATATTTATAGACGACTGGTATGACCATCATGAGCTAGACGGCGAAGTTCACTGTGGGACGAATGTCTATCGTGATGGCTCGGCCCCTTGGTGGTAGAACTCTTTGTTTGGCTCATTACCCATTGATCCTATTAGTTTTAGACATCATGCATAGTGCGTACATCTGATGTAACATTACATACCGTAGCTAATAGATCATGGTCGGCCATGGCGCCTCACTTTTGCCAGAAGTATTTCAATATAGCAACTCGTTGTCTGATGCATTAGGCACGTACGTGTATCGTGGTGAACATGAATTGCATTATAGTATATAGTAGACCAAGTTTTGTGTAATTTCATCAATTAATGTAATCTCAACATATTAGAGCGCTGTTACTGCTACCTGTGTGGCAGACGGATTACTGGCCATGTCCTCGATCAATAAATGCAGCCATCGTACAAGATTAAATTCGTTAAAAATATGTACCAAGTAAGTAATAGGGTTTAGAAGTGAATCGTAATAGCAATAAAAATTTTAGATGCATGATGTTTCCCGTTCGACTGGCCCGATGGAAGTCCGCGATGATACCTCGGGGATACATATTATGTTACCAATCCCAGGCCTTTCTTTGTATATCAAATCATCTTCAAGCGGTGTGCTTGAAACTCGCTTTTGCAAGAGCGTACGCGAGTTGAATCGCCGCGAACCAGCTTTGAGGTTTCCACCAGTCCAGACCAGCACCAAGTCGTGCTATCCGCACCATAGTTTGTGGAGGGAAATTTGGCGGTAGCTTCTGTGAAATCGCCATTCCCTGGTCGCGTTTCCCTCCCGCTCCTTCACGATTTGCAGAACTGAGCAACGCTACCAGTTCTTTCAAATTGGGCTCAGTGCAGTAAGCTGGCTGTCCAGGCTGCTGTCTCCACGAATCTTCCAGCTGACCCGCGTTGAACGCATCGAATCCCATCACTTCCAACAATTCCATCACAACTGCCACAGACTTCTCGTCGTCTCCTGAAACAGGGAGTGCTACTCTCTTAGCGGAGCCTTTTGGTTTTGCGCTGGAAGCAATGTTGAGAGCAATAATATTATTCAATGCTTTTACTACCAGGAATGAGACGGTTTTCGACGTCCAAACACTCTCTGTCATGCCCTCTTCTAACAGCTGGATTTTCCCATCACGCGAGGGATAATAATTGCAGGCATCAATTAAAATCGTATCAGGGCGCACAGATGGTTGCAAAATCGGCTGCAAGGGGAGAATACCACTCATTGGCACCGCGAGAATGACGATATCCGCTTCTGATAGTGCTCGCTTTGCATCCATGGCTTTGGCACCTGTTATTCTCTCCACATCATGAAGAGTATCAGGACCTCTCGAATTACTAATGCTGACCGATTTACCAGCATGAACAAGCTGCGTTGCTAAGGCGGTTCCGACTAAACCGGCGCCTATGATGGCGATTTGACGTGGTACATTGGCTTTTGGAGATTGATTGGTTGCCGCCATGGCTTTAAGTAGGGTGAGGAAGATATGATGTTAATCAACGGTATCCGTATGTAAACGGTCAGTGATATGTAGCAGTTGAATGATAGAGGTAGAGAGTGTTGAAAGCTTTATCCGAAGGCATTTTATATTGAAAGAAGCTCTAATATAAGCAGCTAGCTAAGTTTATGAGTGGAGTTTTACAATCTCTCCGCAAAGCTGCCCTACAGCACTCCGCGCAAGACTTCTCCGCACATCTCTCCGCAACGCCTCTTTGCAAGACTCTCTTCTGCAAAACTCTCCGCAAGGCTTACCGGCAAGGCTCTTTACAAAATCTCCGCATATCTTTCTATTAGACATTAACAAGATTCTCCGCAATACTTATTTATAAATCAACTCTTCTAATTGTTTAATAACTTCTTAGGGTAAAATGAATCACGTTAGTGTGTGTTCTTTCTGCATATATCAGATTTGTACTTTAACGCAAGAACAACTACTAGGCCACAAAGCGCCCAATTGACGATGTCATAAGACCTTATTTCATTTTATGTTTTATTACCACTAGCAGCACTAGTCAGCCATTGTTGTGTCATTATTTCTAGCTTTTCTAGAGGCCCATTGTAAAGGTCATAAGAATTTAGTAGTTGTCAGAAGCCTAAAAGCTGTATAGCCGCAAGGAGGAATATGAGTTCAGGCTAGGCTTTGTGGATCGAACAAAATAATATAGAGTGGAGGTTCTTTGTCTTTGCTCAAATGGTTTATAGATAAATAGAAACAGAATCGTCGCGTTCATCTAGGCATCCCAGCACATAAAGGCAACTTGTATCATCTAATCAAAAAGCTTATGAGTGTCTGCAGATATATAGCAGATAAGAAGCACAGTCATACCATTTAAATTAATGTCTCGCCACATGTTTAAGTCGCCTCACTTTGAGCTTCTTTCAGCCGCAGCGGCAGGACGTTACGAAAAGTCATCAATATCAGCCTCATTAGTATTTGCAGATTTCCTTATTGTATACCTGGCAGGAGAGCAACTGATGAGTCGCTGCCGAATTTTTTCGCATTGCCATCTATGGTTGCTATAGCTGTTGAAATCCGCAACTAATTGGCCGTTGTTGCGATCAAACTCGAACTGGGATGTGGATTTACTCCAATTTGGCTTGAAAGGGCATTTGCCGTTTGAGTCCAGCAGCTCGCTGATTACTACTCCTTACTCCATAGTAAATATGGAAGTAATATGCACATATCACAAGAGCAACCCGCCCCAGAACAGCCATTGATATTGGCTTCATCTGAATCTAAGTGGAGTCTGTCAAATAGGTTAAGCATAACCAGGGCATTTGCATAGGTACCTTTCCATACGTCGCATATGTGTGGAGTACCTGCGTGATTTGCCTCAATGCCGCCTTACCAGATTGACCACGTAAGACTCGCTAGATGACATGGATTTTCACAGTAAGGCAGCGATCGCGCATAGTCTCATTGCCTTTAGTTGCCGCTTCTACAGAACAGTCTCTGCCTCTCTTCTCTTGGCCAATTCGCCGTTTCAAGCAGCTCGGTGCTCTCAATCTCCATGTTCTCGTTTAATTCATGTACTGCTGATGATACATGTGTCCCAACCAAGATTAATAGCGACTGACGGCTGCATCTCATTTCAGTGTAAACCCCGCTTGGAAAAATGCGACTTCTGGACTGCGACAACGACCGGTTTCAGCTAATCAAGGCACCAGCTGGTAACATACCCAGATATGCCATTCTATCGCACACATGGGACTCAGATACCCAAGAGGTCACTTTTAGGGACCTGGTCGACGGCACTGGGATAGAGAAGACTGGCTACGATAAGATCAGGTTTTGCGCTGCGCAAGCAAGACGTGACGGCCTGCGATACATATGGGTGGACACCTGCTGTATTGACAAAGCAAATAACACTGAGCTTGCCGAGGCAATCAATTCCATGTTTCGTTGGTATCAGAACGCATCTAGATGCTATGCCTACTTATCGGATATATCAGATGCTGGCCCAACAAATGATAGCCAGCAGTCTGAGCTCATATGGGAGTCGGCTTTTCGGAAGAGTAGATGGTTTACCCGGGGCTGGACGCTGCAAGAGCTTCTAGCACCAGCCTCAGTCGAATTTTTCACAAAGGGTGGCCTGCGGCTTGGTGACAAAAGGACTCTCGAGCGACAAATTCACGAAATAACCAATATTGCGGTTGAAGCACTTCGGGGAAACGACCTTTCGATGTTTACCGTTGAGGAACGGTTCAAATGGGCCGAGACACGGCAGACGACCCTCGAAGAAGATTGGACCTATTGTCTACTAGGCATTTTCGGAGTATTTATGCCGCTGATATATGGCGAAGGGAAGACAAACGCAGTTCGTCGACTCAAAAAAGAGATTGATGATGCCACGAGCTACGACGATGGTCCTAGCAGCCAAGCAGGTATATTGCCCTCCAAATCTCTATATTTCATTCTTAATAATTTAATAGCGTGAAGCTAAGAGTTGGACCTGGATGGTACCATTTGAACGGAATTACTCCTTCACCAGCCGCGAGTCCGATCTAAAAAGACTACACCAGATGCTTTTCACGGGACAACATACTGCCAAGGTTGCCATCTCAGGACTTGGCGGCGTCGGCAAGACACAGTTGGCTCTTGAATTGGCCTATCGAATCAGGGAAGAACATGACAGTTGCTCGGTCATATGGATTCCCGCAACCAACAGAGAAAGTTTAGAGCAGGCATACCTCAATGCTGCCGCAAAGCTGGGAATGTCCGGATTTGACAATGCAAAAACGGACGTGAAGAGGCTTGTGCAGGATCACCTAAGCAGCGAGAGCGCAGGCAGGTGGCTTTTGGTGTTCGACAACGCTGATGACATCGGCATGTGGGTTGATAAGTCCTCGCAGGAGTCCAGTCGCCTGATTGACTACATGCCAAAAAGCATCCATGGGTCTATAGTCTTCACAACTCGCGACAAGAAGACGGCTGTGAGACTCGCGGGCCGAAATGTAGTGGAACTATCGGAAATGAACGAAGAGGATGGCAACAAGCTGTTTGGGAAGCACCTAGTTGACCAGGATCTTGTGAGTCAAGGAGATGTAGCTGCCCTACTCATCCAACTCATGTACCTCCCACTAGCCATTGTCCAAGCCGCGGTGTATATTAATACAAACGGAATTGGCCCGGGAGACTATCTGTTGCTCCTGGAGGAGCAAGAAGAAGATGTAATTGATCTTCTCAGCGAAGATTTTGAAGACGATGGCCGTTATCACGATGTGAAGAACCCCATAGCCACCACTTGGCTTATCTCCTTTGAGCAAATAAGGCATCGCGATCCCCTTGCAGCAGACTACCTGTCTTTCATGGCTTGTGTAGATGCTAAAGATATCCCTCAATCGCTTCTTCCACCGGGTCAATCGCGGAAGCAAGAGATAGAAGCTATGGGGACGCTACAAGGTTACTCATTCATAGCCAAGCGATCTGCAGACTCAGTTGTAACGGTCCATAGATTGGTGCACTTGGCAATGAGAAACTGGCTCCGAAAAGAAGGGTTATTACCCAACTGGACGAGCAGGACCATCGCAAGGCTAGCAAAAGATATGGGAAACATTGGCTATGATAGAAGGGCGTGGAGACCGTGTATGCCACATGCACATTACGTGCTCGGGTCAACGCTGATTAGCGAGGATGATGAAGGCAGGCTTGATCTGTTAAGAAAGTATGGAAAGTGCCTTTATAACGACGGGCGATACCAGGAGGCGGAAATTACATTCCAACGAGTGATGGAGAATCTCAAGATAAAACTTGGGATTGATCACCCGGAGACGCTACGCAGCATTAGTAACCTAGCATCGACATACCGGACGCAAGGTCAATGGGAAGAGGCTGAAAAGCTGGACGTGCAGGCGGTGGAGGGCCTCAAGATGAAAATTGGGGTTGATCATCCTGATACGCTAATCAGCATGGGTAACCTAGCATTAACGTATGTAAAGCAAGGCCGGTTGAGAGAAGCTGAAAAGCTGCAGCTGCAAGTGATGGAAGGTCTTAAGAGGAAGCTTGGGGTTGATCATGGAGACACATTAATTAGTATGGTTAACTTGGGATCAACATACCGGAGGCAAGGTCGATGGGGAGAAGCCGAGAAGCTGCAATTGCGGGCGATCGAGGGTTTTAAGACAAGACATGGGGTTGATCACCCTGATACGCTGATTGGTATGAGTAACCTGGCATCGACATACCGGAGACAAAGCCGGTGGGAAGAGGCCGAGAAGCTACAGCTGCAACTGGTTGAGACTTGCAAAACGAAGCTTGGAGCTAATCATCCAGACACACTGCATTACATGAGCAAACTCGCTTTTCTTTGGAAAGACAGGAATCGCCACGAAGTCGCTCTAGGATTAATGCAGACTTGCTACGATCTGCAGCAACTCACACTGGGCGCAAGTCATCCAAGAACTATGGCCACACAATCGACTCTAAGAGCATGGCAGAGAGGAGTAAAATAATCTCTAGTGTTAAAGGGTAAAACATATTGATATATTGGTTAATTATCGTTTGTTGACTACCTGCTTTCTGACGTGCTTTAAGCAAGAATGGTTGAAACAGGTCAAATTCAATATGCTTTGAGGTGAGCAAGTACGATTTTGGTATTTATGAAGAGATATGACGGTGACGTAGCGTAGCTTTTGTAATTGAGCCAGCATTGGATTATGACGACATTTCCAAAGCATTGCTGCACACTTTCATAGGCGAATGAGAAAATGGGTTTTGCCATGGGATATGGAATAAAACCAAGTTTCGCTCGGGTATCCAGAAATGTATAAGCTATTAAACTTGATCATGTCTGAGTCATATATCTGAACTGTCAAGGCAATTGATCTAAACAAAACTTGGGGATGACTTCCTTCTGTCCTATTCCACAAGATACAGCTAAATGTAGGATTATGGATACCTTTTTAAACACATATGAACATCTCTGCTTTGTGAGCTAAGTTGGATTTAGAGTGCTTAGATAGATATCATATGAAGTGGATCGCCATTCCACAGTGATACAAAGCAAATCCACGAGTAATGGACGACATGAAGGAGTAGTTGTTGATCATGTCTTTTCTGGGTGAGAAGAATAGAGGTGTCCCATAATTTTATGAGTAAACGAAGAAATTCAGTTTATTTTAAGTGAGGCTCGTCCAAGGATAGTAAAATAGGGGGTAATTGGCTGACTGCATATGTGTTCCGCACTGGGCATATTTTTCAAAATGACCGCTAGGGTAACTTGTTGATTTATCATGAGTTATTAATAATCACTCATAAATCGGACTTTGAACTACTTTATCAATACTTTATGTCTAAATGCTGCTTAAAAATGCAGTCTGCTGATCGGTTCCTGATGAATTAGATAGTAAACAGCAGCGAGCAGAAGTAATCTTGAAAGCTTCAGGGGATATCAACCTTCCTCCACTATTGTAAGGAGGTCTTGTTTAACGGAGGGGATTGTGAGGACCCCCATCACTCGAAATTATATTTAAAACAACGAGAATCTTTTATCCAATATAATCTTTAGAATCCCGCCAATCTATTTCAGACAGTCATTTATTGACTAAAGTCATATTTATTATTCGTAATTGCTAGGCTTCAAATGTTGTTTCATTAAATATTTCACTTTCTCTCCATACAATGTACTTCGATTACCGCTCCATCGCCATGATTGGTCTGCTGTACGGACCTTCCGCGAGTGCTCTGCCAGCAGCTGCTCTTGAGCAGGACGTGTCAGAATTTGTGTCAAGGCAAACGACGGGACAGTCTCCGAACTCTAACGATGGACAATCACTATGGTTCTGGGCTTGTGGTAACAGTAAAGCGTTTGTCACCAGCTTTGGCGGTGCATAGCGGTTCTTTAACATGGATAAGTAATTGGGCAAGCTGTGGAAGAGCTTATGGCCCCGGTATGCCGGTTAATCAGTGCCTCAGTTGGGGCAGCTACTGGGGTAACATGGGAAACGGCGCCTTGAGAATCAACAGTAAGTACAATGGTTTCTGATAGTGAGAGTATGGTTCTGACTTTTTAAATCAGTGCAATGCCAGTTTTACTCTCAGAATAATTGTGGAGGTACTGCATATACTACTCACACTAGCTAGGTTAGCGATTACGATTATTGGTACGCCAATACAAAGTCGTTCCGTTGCAGTATTGGCTTCGTCTATGCCGGTGTCTAATTGGGAAAGGCTACGATCTTTCTGAGACACATGGCTCGGGCGAAATGTTCTGTTGAATGGAGAAATGTAGTTCGCTTATCCCATATTTGATACCTTTCTTCCAAATATCACCATAGCCCTGCCCTTCTCCGTGATTCTCTAGAACGCTTTGTATTGTATGGTTATTTTAAACGACTCGAGGCTGGCTGGCGCCTGTATAAAGAAACGGTTACTTAGAATTAGTTTTTAGCATTCTCAGGAGGAACTTTAATTCACAAGTCTTCAGCTCTTTCATTTACGTTAAAACTCTAAGCTAATGAATGGAAAAATACATTCAGAACCATTTTATAAGCTTTCAAATGATTCATTATAATCTTGAATATGTACCCAGCTGCAAAATTACGGCGAATACTATGTTAAACTGCCTGTTTAATTAATCAGAGCATTCTAGCTAGGCTATTGTGTAAAAATAGTAGAGCAATGAGTATTAAACACACGTAAAGCAACCCATTAACGACTGTGGAGAAACTCTTTTCCGGTTCACTACTTTTTCCGACGCTTAGAATTACTTCGAATTTTGTTCTGCATGGAAGTTATGATATAATGATGCCTCTTCATTCTGGAATTTTAATTGGACCATTCAACGAGATAAGATTTTAATTAGAGTGTGGCTATCCAGCACGTCAAGTTGGCAATCAACCATCTCGTGCCTCAAATTCACGGTTACCTAGGCAGATAGCAGATGCTAGATGGATATATCGATGATAGCAGGACCTGTCGATAGTCGGGGATACTCAAAGAACCGTCTTTCTACGTAAGTAATGGTAAATGAAGATATTTCCTCTGCGTCTTATCATGACACTTGAGGTCCACGCTTTCGCTGGGATTGCCACTTTCGCGAACCATAATGTGGCAGTGCTCTGCTCATTTTGACAAAGTACATGTAAGCAGACGTGCAAATACCCACAGAAAAACCCCTGAAAAGCCGACACCGCAGCCTTTAACCGCTCTCTGTCGGAACATCGTCTCAGTACGGTACAAGGTATTCGCAGAACAAAGATTTTTCATTTCAGCGACAGGCTATGAATGGCCTTACTATTTCGTACGGTGATGGAAATTCCACATCTGATTTATAATGCCATACGTATGCAGAAGTGCTGTCAGGTTCCGCCATCCCGGAAGTCTACAATTCCTCCGGCCAGTGTCCAGTGTGTATATAAAAGGGCCAGCTGTTCGCCTACTTCTGCATTAAACATCACCTCAATCAATTCAATTGAAAAACAGCAATCACATCTTTTCTCACTCCAAATCTAAAGAACATCACCATGGCCGTCCGATTATTACAGCCCCTACTGTTGCTCGTTGCAAATGTTGCCTTCTCACTTGGTCATAACATCCAAAATACACCTACGCCAAATGTTAGTTACTTTGGAACAATGCATCTAACTTTTGGTGATTTCCTCATCGTCGGCAATACACCCACTGGTAGCCCTATCATCACCGCAACACAAGCAGGGAACATTACCGGCCCTGATTTTGAGGGTATGTGCATTCCTCAACAATTAGGCCTGGCCATTTAAACCCCATATTAACACAAATATAGGCCAACTTGCACTACCAGCAGGTGATTGGGCATGGGTTGACTCTACCAATCATATTCACATCGATGGACGGTACCAGTTCAAACTCACCGACGGTTCTATCATTTATGTTCAAGCCACTGGCGTTTCACCTGCCACTGGATCCGAAACAGACTTACCCACCAAGATGTATCTCAGGCCTTCTTTCTTAACTGGAGCTGAGAAATACTTTTACATGAATTACATGGTCAGCACAGCTCTTGTCAGGCGAAATGGCTTGGACTTGACTCTCGATATTTGGGAGGTTAGTATGCCAGCTCTTCTGATTAAAGGCCCGTTTTATTAACAGCAAATAGGTCACCTGGCCTGACGTTCAAAGATGACATCTAATGACACCTATGTCTTTGTAAATGTATGTCTAGAAGAATTGTTAGCCTTGTTCTTACACATAATACCTCCGTTAGATCTACTTCACAGTGGAGGTTAATACTATGGACATTTCCACAGCAGTATATATTTCTCAAGATTCAGTCAAGCATCTAATCGTCATTTCCGTACGTTGCAAAGTGCAAAATTCCATGCTATGTATTCTATAGATCCCGCGTTTATTGTTTATTTCTCCAATGTTTATAGGTCATGACCTTTATGCCATATGTTACTGCATCCGCATGCCTTCATTGGAGCATCATATACTGGTAGCGGTGAATATTTGGAATGAGAATTATGATGTACTAATTATACCACATTGTGATCCTTCGTTTAAATCCCGAGAGAGCTACACCACATGTATCTCTTCCATGTTTTTATTATTAATGGCGCGATTCTGAGCTTCCAGTGCCATCGCGCTAGAATGAGTCATGTTCTTTTACCATTACTGCCAAGGTACACGTACTTCTCAATAACTACCTACCTACCAATATGAAACGGTTACTGATTCATCTCCTGCTGTGTACATAAGGCTGGTAGGTATTGAACTCAATGGTGAAGTATAATTTGCGACGTGCCTAGCCTAAAAGCTAGGTGAAGGTAGAACAAAGTTTGATAGCGAATCAGAAGAAGCTAATTTTGCAGGGAAGATGCCGGAGACCGAGGACTATAAATATATGGCTACGCAGTTCCTCCTCCATCCATATCTCCATCTCTTACACACCCAGATTCCAACCAGCCATCTATCTGTCTGACAAATCGAGCATCTACACATTTTTTGCAGCTTCATATCTCATTTCTATTCTAAGATGCCTGCCTTACCATTTGTCGCCGGCCCCTCTACAGGGCACACACACACGGTCATTTTGTTGCATGGCCGAGATAGCGAAGCACAAGAGTTCGCATCCGAGTTTTTTGAGTGTGAGGCCACAGGTACCGAGCCAGACCGAACGCTGCCGGCTCTCTTTCCCACAGTCAGATGGATTTTCCCACAAGCCAAGGCCTTGTATGCCAAGCGCTTCGATATTGAAATGTCCCAGTGGTTCGATATGTGGAGTGTGGAGGATCAGCAGGAGCGCATCGAGTTACAAATCCCAGGTTTGCAGTCAAGTGTTGGTCTAATCGCTGAGTTGATCAGAGAGGAAGAGATACTTGTGCCAAGAAATAGAATATTTCTTGGCGGAATTAGCCAAGGGTTTGCAACGTGAGTTGAATCCCCCAATCCAATTTGCAGAGCGTCACTGACGTTTTCTTTTTCTTTCAGTGCTTTAGCCGCGTTCTTCGCTGATGGTAGAGGAGGTTTCGCCGGCCTCTGCGGGTTCTCCAGTTGGCTACCGCTCTTCAACCAAGCTGCGTCAGATATCGAACTCATCAAGGAAGAAGATACTGGTGGAAAGCTAGCTGCTATGCAGCGACTATACCTTGACGGCGCAACCAAACAACAGACGTCTTTGTCACTACAGCAACTGACGTCAACACCAATTCTGCTTGAGCATTGTGACGATGACGAGATTATTAACATTCAAAGTGGCTTTCTCCTGCGAAATTTTATGGCCCAACTTGGCCTCAGCGTTAGGTTTCATAATTATGAAGATGGAGGTCATTGGATTAATGAGCCGCAGGGCGTGGATGACTTTGTGGATTTTTTGAGGCAGGGTATCGATAGGTGTACTTGGAGCTGTTAACTGAAGCTTTGTATACTTAGGTACCTGCCTACCTATAACAATCTTAGGTACATGTAGCATTTATGTGATATCTACAGTATAACTGGCATACTCGTCCTGAGCGGTCGTGGGCCTCGAGTGCGAGAGGCAGGGCGGCGAGCACTGTGCCGACTATAAACTCCAGACCGCTCATCCTTGAGTTTTCATATGCTTAGTTGTAAAGGCAGCAATGACCCTGAAGGATGTCCTTGGTACGTATCGGTGAACGATTATTCGAACTACAAAATGAATGTCGTAAGACCTGCGCCCCTCATTTCGCTCGCTTGATATCCAATCGGCTGGCACCACCGGCTGCACCTTTCATCCGCAAACGAGGGGTCGATCAGCGGGATTTCACAATAGACGCACTTGAAAACACAATATGCGCAGGGAAATCTCCATCGACGGGATTCCTTTAGAGGAAAACGTTGGCACAATATATATATTTGTTGCATCGAACCGATATGCTATAACTCATAATGTCACATTATAATCCGAGCTCACAGGACATCGAAGATAGACGCGGGGACAAACTGGAAGCATTATACCCCAATCTAGCCAAATGCCCCGGCATATCTAGCAATTCCGCGGATGATGCATATATTGCGGAACTATTATCCGGAGCTGGTTCTTCTTCAGAATTGGCTATTGGAAGTAAATTCACTGGAGCCGATACAGCCACCGTCGAGATCGACCTAGATTTGATCATCGATCGACTCTTGGAAGTCAAAGGTTCTAGACCTGGACGGCGAGTTCAACTGCTGGAAAGAGAAATACGACTACTTTGCAGGAAGGCACGGGAAGTCTTTATAACCCAGCCTACGCTTCTAGAATTGGACACTCCGCTTAAGGTATGAATAGATATTCAATCAATATGCTGCACTGGCTAACATTATGGTCAGTTAATGGGTGATCTCCATGGACAATACTATGATGTCCTTCGAAATTTTGAATATGGAGGTTTTCCTCCACTAGCAAACTATGTTTTATTAGGTAACTATGTCGGTTATGGAAATCAGTCTATCGAAACAATTTGTTTGGTTCTTGCCTATAAAATCAAATATCCAGAGACTTTTTTTCTATTACGAGGAAACAACGAAACAGCTTCTGAAAGTCGAATTAATGGATTCTACGACGAATGCATGAAACGATATAATATCAAATTATGGGAAACGTTTGTGGATCTATTCAATTGCATGCCGTTGGCTGCTATCGTTGATGAAAAAATATTTTGCGCTCACGGAGGCTTGAGTCCAGACCTGAACTCAATGGAACAGATCCGAAGGGTTGTGCGACCAACAGATGTAAGTCTCTCTAAGCACTTTTCGCTGATTTATCTCACTAATTAGCAAAGATACCTGATTGTGGACTTGTGTGTGATCTCCTCTGGAGTAATCCTGGCAGTAACATCTTAGGATGGTCTGGGAATAATCAGGAAGTCTCGTTTACGTTTGGACCAGACGTTGTATCTCGCTTTTTACAGAAACACGACTTCGATCTTATTGTCCGAAGCCATCAATTTGTTGAAGATGGCTATGAATTCTTTTCAGACAAACAGCTGCTAACAATATGGGGGGCTCCAAATTGGAAGGGAGAGTATGATAATGCAGCTGCAATGTTGTCAGTCGATGAAACTCTTACGTGTTCGTTTCAGGTATGTAATTTAGTACTACTAATAATGTTTTATTGAGAGATTGCAAATATTGTACTAACTTACGTAGATTCTTAGGCCGGCAGAAAAGGGGCAAAATTTTGGAGGAAGATAAATTAAAATAGACAGACACATGCTCACACGTGGATACACACATCTACATGTATATAATTTTGAGTTGCGCGAAAAATATAATTCAATTTTCAACTTTAACACTAGCTTAATGTATAAAAGAATATATAAAATAAATAATATAAGAATTTGTGATATTGTAAAAATTTTGAGTAATATTGCGCGAATATCAAATATGTCTATCTTGTTCTCACTTTCCACGAGCCCAGGAAATCGTACATTCCTTCATTCGAAATATTCGCGCACAGAACGTCAGTCAAACTTGTAACTTGCGTTCTAATTCTTTCAGTGTATGACTCAAAAAGAGTACTTTAGATATAACCCCTGAACGCAAGCCGCATGGTCATACGCGAGGCGGGATGATTCAGAGTTGGGTCAATTGAGAGCTCAAGCATCTTGGAAAGAGGACACACCTGCCCTTCTCGAAGTAAGCCTTATTGACATAGATTCTGGTGAGGCTCTTGACTGTACGATCAACTGACCGAGCCATAACGTTATTTGGTCCAGCTCGAAGATAACATTAGAGTCGAAGAGATTGTCGATCAACGTGACGGATAACTACAGACCTAGGGATAAAGTTGCCATATTTTCAAACTAACATTCAAAGAGTATCTAGCTAGAAGTAACCTATGATGGCAGGCAGACTGATGATGAACCTGAACCACTTTGGGAGGACAATATGGTAGACTAGTTGTCTGGGTGGGAGATAACCTTTCGCGTTAATGGTCTAAAGTTTAGAGAGCTTAAACGGATATTTCTTTGACATTAGGTTATAGGGACTGTCGAAAAAGAAGACACGAAGTTTGCGCGGATAAGGTCGCCAAAACCCAATTCATTGCTTATGCCAATCTATGCTAATATCGCTATGACCCATGGGATATGCAACCATCGAACTGAGAGGACTTTTTTTTTTTTCTTAAAAAAGTTATATTGAACTTATCACTATACTATGCATTAAGCATTCATGTCTAATGCAGCCATCGGGTATTTCAGCCACCAAGCTCTCGAGTCATACGCTCCTCACTTGGTGCTGACGCCCACCTGGGTAAGTTACCAACTTCCAAGATCAAATCTTCCTGTTCAAATGCCCCTCTCACCATGCCAGTCCCCGGTGTGCTTGTGAACAAAACTTTAACTACAGCTGGTACAGTCGGATCATTGGTCAGATTGACCATCTTTAAAAATACCGGGGCACTTTGTCCCCAATGCTCTTCTCGCTCAAACAGCGCTACGCCGTCGATGATGCAGAATAGTGTCGTAGTATTGGGCAATTCTTTCACAAGCCATTCAAATAGGCCCATCAATTCATTATAATCGTTTTGTTGCAAGCTTGCCATATTGAAGCTGCTGGATAGCGACCTCGTGTCAAATGTATGTTGTCGCAATAGCTGATCTATAAGGCTGGCAAGCATGCAGTGGCCACCTACTTGCTCGCCAACCTCGCTCGGGTCAATATGTCGCCCACAGAACCACAGTACGGATAAAATGCGCTGTTTGATTCGTAAACCTTGCGTTATTGTACTGCAAAAGAGAGAGAGGGGTGAGATGCCTGCGACAATCTTTGGTGGCTGGAGATCCCAGTGAACCATCATTTTTGCAGAGTTTGGTGACACTATCCAGTTGCAGAATATCTGTGTATGAACAATTTGCTCGGCCTGTGCAATGTCTTTTGCAGCCAGTGAATCCTTCTTGTTGTTGATGACAGAGACATCAATGAGGTCGGCGTCCGCGATTTTCATCATCCAACGCAGAGTATCTTGGTTCAGATACCACGCATGAGCTGGCGTTGGCCTATGAGGTGGTGGAAGCCACATACTACTCTGGATCGGCGAGATGCTGCGCAGAGTTTCATTTTGGATGGTCAGAGTGGTGATTGTTTGTAAAGAGTGCTCAAGTTTCACTACATACAATTTTATCATTCTGAGAATAGGAGCGGTCAAAGTAAAAGGTGGTGTGGCTCACTGTGCATTCGTTGTATCTCCTGGTCTTTTTCTCGTACCTCTTTCTTTTGCTTCTCGTGGTCTATGAGTAGTGATCGAACAGTATTGAGTAAATGTGCTTGACCTTGTATTACTTGTTGTTGGCCCCTCTCCATCATCTGGGAATCTTGAGAGGAGCTCAAAAGTCAGATGTGTTATTAAATGAGACAATTCCGTAGAGTGATACGTACGTCGGTCAAATTTGTGCATTTGTGACTTATCGGCTTCCTCTAATAGTGTTTTGCTTTTGGCCTTAATGGTGTTGAGGCTTTTGAGCAGATCGGTTTCGTAACTGGCTCCCATGCCCATGGCCTTAACACCTCGGACAACTTTTCATATAAACACTGATCGTTAATTCTGCGACATATTCTATTAAATGGTTTGCGTTAACTTACAGCGATTGCTGATGAAGAAGCCAATGGTTTGCTCGATTGCGAGAAGTATCGTAACGGTGAGATCGAGTGATGCGTTTGAGATATTATGGTCGTCTGGAAACGTAACCAGAAAGAACTCAATGTCATAAATTTTGGGAATGATATCGTTGAACTCTTCGAGAACTTGTTGGCGAACGCTTGCAGCAGTTTTCACGGCCTAGATCAACGTGCATCAATACCACGATCCGCCTACTGTTGGGTCGTGTTAGAACTTGTGTCTTACGTCCAAGAAAATACTGACAACTCCTAAGATGGGCGTTGAATAAGGACTACCAGGGTCCATGTTTGAGGCGATTTTTAGGGCCTGCGCAACGGGAGCTATGTTCTCACCAGTCTTGCGCAACAGTCCTGCCATCTTGTTCGATTGTTCATATTTGGCTCTTGCATTTTCAAGTGTATTATAGACAGCGTTCCAATCATTTTTACCTTGCCGAATGCTATGCTCTGTTTTTGAACGCCCACTAGGCTCTTGCGACGTTGAGATAAGCCTACTTAGAGCGGCGGGGAAGAGATTATTCCACGACTTCAAGGCCTCGATATTTGTCCAATTTGGTCTTGGAGACGGAATACGGGGTTCCAATTTAGTAGAGGAGTCACTCAAAGATACTGCGCTGCTTTTTTCGGTGGATGAAGTGTCTTGAGTGTTCGGAATATATTTCCCATCTTCTGCATCATAATGACATGACGAGTTTATAAAAGCCGGGTGGTACTTTGGCAGCCGATTGTCGATGAAATCGACAGCCGCTGGCCGAGAACTGCCATCTGATAATGGGTCATTATTCGCCATATTCTGGGCTTTCTGGCATTGCTGCTTTAGCATAGTTGAGTCGGTTTGAATTCACGGAATTATTATTTGGGCATCCAGTTAGCTTATCGTGATGTTAGGAGTGGCTGCAGATGACACTTGGCGAGTTGGTCCAGCCGTATTGTAAATAACTCTCTCTACATTAGCCAAATATCTCCAGGAAGATCTAAGAGGTCAATATGTCTAGGTAAGCAACTACACTACCCAGAATACGCCTCGTACTGTGCTGCTGTCAGGCAAATGAGCCAGACAACAAGGCAAATGAGGGGTCGTCAGCCTAAATGCAAAGCACTATGCACAAATCATCCACGTGCACTTTGTAAAATCGAAGGATTGGATAGGATTCCTACAGTCCTTACGCATATGCAGCTAAAGTTACATTCTGGACGCCTTATTGTGACAGCCTCGCTCTATCAAATGTGATATTCAAGGCAAAGGCCTGTTGCCTGCTGCCTCCACCCTAAAAGAAGTGCTCTTTGGTTGGACAAAACGAATCACCCTACTGTGTTTCGCGTGCATCCATTTTAGATATTTGGGGGCCAATGCAGGCGTATGAGGCTCTGAGAACGCAGATTGAAGCAGGTGTGCGCCTCGCCTCCGCAGTTTATGCCGAAATACCGCCGCATATTACTTCCATTGAAACCAATGTTGTTGCTTTTATAGGCTTCCGACCCATTGGCCGACGCTTGATTTATTTTTCTTTAGACAAAACATTCTTGATATATTTTCCTTAGCTGAAGAAGCTCTGTTAAATCGGTAACCCCACTGACTATCATGAGGGATAGCTCTGAACTTGAGCGACCCTCTATTAGGGATGCGAAGCTTCAGGATGGCAAAAGCGACGCCTCACGTTTAACTATCAGTTCAGAAAAAGATGAGGCACCAAATATATCCCAAACACCTGCGGACTCCACCAGTGAGATTGAAGCTCTTAAGTTGCGGATTTCTGAACTTGAGATGCGAACCCAGAACGAAGCCACAAGGTCGTCTCCAAGTCAAAACTTGGAAGTTCCAGGGGCTGAAGAAGGAAGCAAGAAACCGAAACTGATGGCCGACTTAGAACAATATAAGCGAATGGAGGAATGCCTTTACATTCACCGGAAAGAATGGGAAGCAGAAGGCGGACCAGGCAAGTGGGGCATGGGCATCAGCGATATAATACCTGATTGGAGATATCAGACTGGCTCACATGGACCGTGGTCGTATCAATGGGATATTTTGTCCCACAAGAGATATGAAAGACCAGATCCCTTCGATCGCTACCACGTCTGCGAAGCAGGCCACGATAAGCAAAATAATACTGAACATGATGAGTATGATCGAATAATTGATTACGGTTACCATCGAGAAAGGCTTCGGAAAAATTTTGAGTGGGATTTGGACCGTCTTTTCCTAGCAGAAGAAATGGAGCGTCGGCGGAAGCATACTGCATTCCATAAACCGAAAGCGGCAGATACCTCTCAGGGATCGAAAATTTCCCACAAGACGAAGCAGTCCCAAGGCGGCGATAATGAATCAGCGGAGGAGACCAGCCTCGTATTTTATGCGGAGCCAGAAATAAAGCGTCTAGAGTGGTCTGCATTCAAGAAACTGGCGAATTCATTGGAGAAAGACGCACATGCCATTGATGTTCTCATGGAGGAGCCTATTATCGAAGAGAGTAATCTCGATCAATCTCTAAATTGGTTTGACTACCAGCCCCGTCAAATCCAGAAATCTGACCGGCTCAAAGACGGCAAATTTGCACAAGACGTCGGGCTCGGACTATTACAACTACCAGAGAGAATACGGATTAATTCTACTATTCTGAGGAAAGCCATGGCCAAGATCCTTGGATCGGACGGGCAGTCATTAGATGAGACCGGGGAAGGAACTGTGTCGGTGATCTTCACAAGGCCATTCAAAGCCATTACCTATTGCGAGCCTACGCTCCGCCAGTGGCATGCAGAGTTGGAAAAGAAGCACAACAAAGCATCAATACCCAGAGAAGAAGACTCAGTTGTTGGCAACATCGCTCTTTCTTCACAAAAACAACCACAGGACATCATGGTAGCATCAGTTTCGGCTGACGATGAGCACCTCGGCGAAGATCTGTCTTTAAGATCTGTAATAGACACACGTAATACAGCATCGCTAGACGAAGTCGTGCAGCAGGAGGGTGATAAAAGAGAAGGCAGCCCACAAAATGACGCAGATTCACTAATAGCGCTGGGTCATTTAAAATGCATTCTCAATTTCATTGATTCAGACATATTAGCCAGGAAGTCCGCTCTCGATGGACTTCAAAATCATAAGGCTTTCTTCTCCGACCTATGGCATCTTTTCCGACCAGGTACAGAAGTAATTAGAAGCAACGGCAAGCAAGCTTACAGGGTCATTAGAACCACTAGCGCGGCCCATCGGTTTGTCAACACCAGATCTTGGTGGGATAATGCTTCAGCTCAGAAACGATCTACAACTTTCGATCTAGATTGCGTGTACATCGATTTTGATGGCACAAACCTAGGACCAGTATATGTAAAGTTTTCCATCAAAGCGTTCGAGGGTGAAAAAGAAGTTACTTCGTTTGAAGTCTATCCACTTCGGTTTCATCGGACAAAACGGGCCGACTTCAGTGATTCAGAATGGGGCCAAGTCGAAGATCTTCCGAGTGACCAGAGATTTCGGCAAAATCTCATTAACCGAGGCGCAAAGTTCATGAGTGTGATCCCGATGAAGCACATGTACTATTCTGGTCTAACTTTAGAGGCGCGAGACGAGGTTGAAAGTCAAGTAGTCATCGACTTTGACATCCCCGCTGCGATAGATGCTCCAGAAGATCGACACAAGCCAAACTGGAAACCAAGCATAGGAAGTGTTATTACCAGGCTTACCGAATCATCTGAGGGTTCCAAAGGAGATTCAGGGCAACAGTCGTGTCATGGACCGTGCTGCTATGGAGAATTTGTGTATGACGACACATTTGTCGATCAGAAGGAGGCGACCGAATATATCGAAAGCCTTTTGCCAATGATACGTGCTATCGATGATCACTCCTCAGTCGCAATTTCACCACGGCCTTTGAAGGAGGTGCAAGCCGATACGAGCGGTGTCGGTTCAATTTCAGATGATGAGCTTGTTATTATGTCGCATAGAGTATTTGGCTTTGTTCTTCGAAGTCGAAAATGGGGTATGTGACTTATTGAAATTCTTGGTCGGTAAGGTGATATCTCTAACAATCGCAACCTAGCAAAATTGGATCTCTCCTATATTACGGATGTCCACCCGAGCATCCCCACCGACGTAGGAGACAATTCAGCAGTGGAGCCAAATGTCGATGAGGTAGAGCCCGGTAACGCTCTTGACCGCCTTGTTCTCGAAGAAGGCCATCGGAATATGATTGTGTCGCTCATCTCGCAACATTTTCGCGAAAAGGCATCCTCGAGGTCCCAGAAAGAGGAGTTTGACATTGTTAAAGGAAAAGGTGGGCGGCCTCAATCATGTCATAGATTGGGAAATTCATTATTAATATTTCACTAGGGAAGGGTCTTATCTTATTACTCCATGGTGCCCCAGGAGTAGGGAAAACATCTACAGCTGGTTTGTAACCTTAATTTGCATTCCGAACTCGAGATACTGATGAATATCCCCCATTAGAGGGAGTAGCGGAGCTTTTCCAGAAACCACTACTACAAATTACCTGTGGTAAGAACATTTGCTTCTAAGAGCTCTAAATGAATTCTTTAGGGATATTGACTTACTTTTTGTATCAAATAGGCGACCTTGGGTCGACGGCAAGAGAAGTTGAAGAGGCCTTAGAGACGAATTTCGCCATGGCAAGCAAATGGGGGTGTATTTTGCTGCTTGATGAGGCTGATATCTTCCTCGCCGAGAGGACTAGGGAGGATTATGTGAGAAACGGGCTTGTAGCCGGTGAGCTTTTTATCCATGGTAAACATCTCTAAGGCTAGTTGACTAACTAGAAACGTTAGTCTTCCTTCGCACCCTGGAGTACTATAATGGCATTCTCTTCTTGACAACGAATCGCGTTGGCGATTTTGATGAAGCATTCACATCACGAATTCACGTCAGCCTGTATTATCCCGAGCTTGACCACAAGAAAACAATACAAGTGTTCAAGCTTAACCTGGAAATGATCGAAAAGCGCATTGCCCAGAAGGGAAAGACTATTCAGTTAGACAAGACCGACATTTGCATGTTCGCCGGTGAGCACTTTATTAAACATGAACATGCGCGCTGGAATGGCCGCCAAATTCGCAACGCCTGCCAAACAGCACTAGCACTGGCCGAGTTCGAGGCCCAAGGCAACAATCACAGGGCCGTTCAGAAGCCCAATGCTGCGATAAAGCTTGATGTGCGACATTTCAGTGTAGTTCAGGAAGCATACCTGGAGTTTGCCAAGTATATGAACGATCTATATGGTACAAATGCTGCAAGGAGAGCGAAAGAGGCAAGACTTCGAGCGCTGTGGGAGCTTGAACGCAACATGAACCTGATGGACAAGGCATCATTCATGCTTGGGGCACAGAATCAGTCACAATCAAATTCTCAACGGTATCCACCAGCTCAGCAAGGATTCCGGCCGTCTAACAATTTCCAGCAGCAAGGCTACCAGCAGCAAGGCTACCAGCAACAAGGGTACCAGCAACAAGGTTACCAGCAACAATCACAACAGCATGGATTTTCCACAAATCAACACTTTGAGCAACAGCCTCCGTCGCACTCCCAGAATCCTAATATGGCCATGCCTCAGCCAATTCATTCTAATCCCCCACAGATACATGTCCAAGAGGAATTGTCCACTGCGCGACCATGGAACTCTCAATCTGCGAGGCCATATGGGGCTAGTGACGATGAAAATAGATCTAGAGATCATCCTCGGTCAACTCCAGTGCAACACCAGCAGCAGCAACAGCAACAAGCTAGTCGCACTTGGGTACAGGAAAGTGTTCAGAATATGTATGAAGGTGCCGGATATCAGAGTGGTGTTCAAGTCCCAGACAACTACGAGCAGCCGGGCAGTAACTATTCAATAGGTAGTACAAGATAGTTCATGTGGTCCATATTATGACTGGAGAATGTAGCAGCAAAATTTATGATGTTAATGATTCTAATATATGGAGTATTAATCCTGAGGAGTTTCTCGTGCAAGCAGAGCATATCCCTTAGCAACCCCACGCATCCGCCCGTAGAAGCCAAGTAGACAGCTACATGTACTTGCCAGAGATAGGTATTGCTAGGTTGGGTTATTGGAAGGTAGATAATCACTACGTTGATACCTAAGCATTGCGCCAACACTCAGTTCTTCTATCCATATATATTCTTTCATACATTCACTATACGGCTCCTATTTTTGATCGAACTCGTCTATGACGCTCACCGGCTTAACAAAAGCACCAAGAGGCTCATACTCTAGATGTGGCATACCCAAGCCCTTGGGTCCACCAATCTCAATGCCTCTCTGAGTGCCGGTCCATCTGTCGCTGGCTGCGATTCCAAGAACAACAACAAGCAAGCCGTACCTATATTCAGGCGCTATGACGAGTTAACTTGCATTCAAATATGATCTAAAGATAGGTAAGACACTTACTACCGATGGCATCGCCATTTTGGGCATCGATCACAGAAATCAAATCGGGTACAATGGCCAGAACGTCCTCTTGCTTTTCCGTTTGCAAAATATCTCCTGCCGATGCCATCCGGACAGCAGCAATATTCTCGTTCTTGAAGGGAATCTTGATGAAACCCTTGAATTGTGCCTGGCTCTCGTGCGTTGGATCATCCCGCTCGACAATATCGGCACCTTCAATGATACACTCTCCATAAACGTGGCCCATACGGAGCGTTCGTTCAACACTGACGATTTTGCCTTTCCAAATGACCTTGGCTGCTTTGGGCCCTCCGCAGTCATTGATTATCATTTCTGCCACGTTGTCGACCCGATTGGTTAACCGAGCTCTACTCACAGCCCTCCCAATTCTCCAGGCCTGTGAGATGGCATGTTCAACAACCCACCTCTTCATCTCGCCTCCCGTTACGGGAGAGTCTGCACAGCCGGTCTGCGAACCCATCTGACTCAATCCAGCCCGTAGCACGCGCTCAACTTGTAGATCCGACGTTGCCTTAGGAATAAGTACAACGTTCCCGTTTCCATCTGCCATTGCAACGGGAGACCAGATTGGACACCTCTCGTTAAACACGACGGGTGTTGTCTGGTTCTTCTCAGGGTAAGCTCTGCCCATCCAGTCACCATCGATACAGGGGATATCCATGTTTAGGCTTGCTCCGAGAATCATTCCCTGAAAGCCATTTCCTCCACCAATCTCCAGTGCAATGTGTTGGGCGCTTATCACAAATCTTGTAAAGCTCAGTCTGCGCTTCATCATCTCATCTCCTGGAAGTTTCTCAATACCGACAGTAGGGCTGCCCATTCCACCGCCACAGCCCACTGAAGCATCATCTGCCAGTTGTAGGGGTTGACAACTCGAACTACGGCACCGGCCCGAAGCAGCTCACGAAGACGAATCATGTCTGGATAAGGAGATCCTCCGCCTCCGGTACCAAGGATATAGCAGCCGGTCGAGATCCAACCCAAGTCTGTTTCATTGATATACCACACTCGTTCACGGACCTCCGGTTTGTAGGCGAGTAAATCGGCTTCGCTCTGAAACTCAGATTTTGCTTTTTCAATCTTTGCCTTGGCCGTTTTCTCGTATGCGCTCATCTCCAGCTCGATTCCATCCGTGCTAGTAGCAGGTACAGTGGTCAAGTCTGTCCTGGAGTAGTCGAATTCTCCAGCAGCACGAACAATGAATCTCGACTTGTTAGCGATGTACTGTAAATGCGCGTTAGTCGCTAGTCCCGCAATCTACATTCCACACTACAAATGATGACTGCAACGAAACTGGAGGTAGTAGAATTGTAAAACTTGCCTGTAAGGGAATTGTTTCAATCTCAACGATGGTAACAGAATTTGGCACAGCACCAGCAGCCACGGCTCTATCAGTCGCCTCGGCAGAGATCTCCTCCAGCAATTGTGTCGTAGTTTTTGATTCTGTCGATTTTACCGTATCAATGACGGCGCTTACACGAGCAGTTGCCGCCCCGATGGCATTGGCAACCTCAGCAAACTTGGGTTTGATGACCTTACTTGCTCCCTCTAGAACGTCGGGGGCAATAATCGCTACGCCTCCTACAAGAAGCACAGGAACATCACCAGGTGATGTTTTCATCATGTCGATGACTTTCTCCAGCTTATACTTGACAATGGATTTAAATCTTCTCAACTCCTCTTCTGTGAGAGCACCATTTACTAAGTCTCGGTTGCCGACAGTCGTGTTTGGATCAGATAACACGATGCAGTCTGTCGTTGTGAGAACCTGGACACCAAATACCACAGCTTCCTTGGTTAGCTTGTAACCAACACTCTCCGGTCCAATGGTCATTGTATCGCCCTTTCTAACGATAGAACCACCGCCTAGCGCAATGCTTTTGACGTCAGGGTAGGAAAAGTTCATTCGAACACCCGCCAAGTCACTATACGCCGCTTGTTGTCTTGGAAATCCGTTTGCTAGAAGAAGCCCAACATCTGAAGTTGTACCACCGATGTCAACGACCATGATGGCCTCGTTGAGCCCCTCTCCGACTAAGAAAGCTGCTCCCCTCATACTATTTGTCGGGCCGCTTGAAAAAGTCCGGATAGGGAGGCGGGCGGCCATCTCTCCAGAAAGAAGTGTCCCGTCATTTTGTGTGATAAAGACCGGGCATTCAAGACCGAGTTTCTTCACTGGTTCTTGGAAAGACTGAATTGTCTTTCGTGCGAAGCTTAGGATTGACGCATTAAGGATTGCTGCGTTCTCTCGCTCCAGAAAGCCAAGATTCGCGACCTCGTTAGAGCACACGACGTCGCAGCCAGGAATCTCGTCTCGGATAATCTGAGCTGCACGCTCCTCCTGTCGCTCAATTGTATCAACAGGACTAAAGACACCGTTTACGACCACACTCTTAATTCCGCGGTCCTTGATCTCCTTGCAGTAGGTTCTAATCTCGCCTTCGTCGATGTCGCTGATCAAAGATCCATCGACTTCCAGACCGCCCTTAGCTAGAGCGTAGTAGCCAAGGATCAGCTCGCGCATATCATCTGGCCAATCGACGCAAGGGGGTGCGTGTTTTCCGAATGGCCCTGAAAGACGGATGACAGCTACTTTCGAGAGCCGGTTGGCATCCCGTTCCATGACTGCGTTGACGAAATGTGTTGTTCCGATTGTCACGCTGGCGACATCACCTGGGCTGATGCTGGCCGCAGCAAACATCGCGGTGATAGAATTGTTAATACCATCGCTGGGGTTTGTTGTTGTTGCTGCCTTGTGCCATGCCAGGATACCTTTATCAGGCTCCGATACTCTTGAAGGATCGATCACTACGTCAAAGTGAGTCTGGAGTGAATAACTACCCTGACATTTCTATGTCTGCGTATGGGCTAACGTTTGTGCTTACAAACAGTATCACGTTGGATTCACGATATAGAATCGGTTTTCATGGGGCCTTAGAGCGTCCTATATTCCCTTACTTCAGCGAATTCTTCTCAATTTCATCTGGTCAGCTGTGCAATGCTGGACTGGTGGCAAGCTAGCCGCGGTCTGCATCACAGCCATCTGGCCTTCCTTCGCCACTATGCCTAACTTTCTACCTGCGAGCATGCCCGCGACTAGATATGAGTTTGTCGGCTTCATTGTCTTTTGGGTACTCTCTGCGCCTTTCCTCCTTGTCGCGCCCGAGAAATACAAGCTTCTCTTCCAGTTGACATCCATATGCTGTGGTCTGGGTATGCTGGCTATGATGATCTGGGCACTTGCCACGGCTAAGGGAGTTGGGCCCCTTTGGACAACCGGACAGACGATCCCATCAACGTCCTCCTGGAACTCGAGCTGGTTGATCATGATGGGTATCAACCAGATGATAGGGAATTTTGCTGCAGGTCTAACGAACGGGAGTGATTTCTCTAGATACTCTCGAAATTGGAAGCACTACTTCGGCGGGACGTTTCTCTCTGGTGTTGTGGTCGGAGTGCTCGTTTGTTTTTGCGGCCTAGTCACCACCAGTGCTGCCCAAAAGATCTATGGCGATGTCTACTGGAATCCACCCGACCTTTTGATGGTCATGATGGACAGCGGCCGCGGCTCATCCAAAAGTCGAGCTGGCGTCTTCTTCCTCTCTTTTGGCTTTGCGTTGACCTCCATGTTTCAGAATGTTTGTGGAAACGTAATTGCAGGGGGCATTGACCTTGCTGGCCTGTTCCCAAATTATATCAACATCCGCCGCGGTGCCATCATTACATTTGTCGCTATCTAGGTTGTTCAACCGTGGCAGCTCATTAACTCCGCTTCAGCATTCATCAACGTTCTAAGTTCCTTTGCGGTTTTCCTGTCACCTATTATGGGTATCATGGCCACATAGTTTTTCTTGCTTCGCCATCAGAAGATCCAGGTGAGCCATTTGTATCGACCATATGACTCCTCATACTGGTTCTGGCACGGCATCAACTGGAGGGCCATCCCAGCCTGGCTTTGCGGATGGGCACCGACGATTGGTGGGCTGATTGTAACGTCCAATTGGAACGGAAGATGCACCCAGAGCAGTATACCTGCTTTTTTACATGGCTTTCTTGATCGGTAATTACCCTTCTCTGTCTGGCGTCAGCACACGATGGCTTGCTAACTCTCTCCATGCAGGGTTCTTTATCAGCTCACTTGTTTTTTATGTGCTGAACAAGTTGTTCCCGGTCGAGGGCTATGGCCAACAAGACGAGGTGGACGTATACGGTGCTTTCACACCCTCCGAAGCTCTCAAACTCGGGATTGTGTCAATTTCTGACGCTATTGAGGGTAAAGAGGAGGAAATAAAACTCGAGAATCTGTTGAAAAGGCAGGCTAGAAGCCTACAATTAGTAGTTATTATCCTCGTTAATGTGTATTTATAAGACTATTTTGTCATATAGGCTACACCCTCTGACCCTCGTATTTTTTGTATCTTTTCCGGTATGCTTCTAATGGTATGAGCGATATTCATGCAAGTTAAAGCTCATGCACTAGACTGTAATGTGGCGAGAATTAGTTCTAGAGTTGCAAGTTGCCTTCGTGTACGTTAGTTTGGAGAACTATTCCCAATTAGATAAAATGCCCGCGTCTCAAAATTTAGAGTTAACTACTTCCTTAGGCAGTGAAGATGGCAGATGCTAGAGGAGTATAACAGCATTATCAGATACTAGAAGAAAATAGCGACATTAGAAAAATGGCCCTGGTAGCGATACGAGCAGAAAGTAGGGATGTAACGAAAAGTAGTAATAGTTGCTTAAATATGGTAAGATTAAACAAAGGACGTTTCCTCTGCCGTCTATTACGTCACTTAAAGTAGTCGCTGAGGTGTTGAATAGCCAACTTGGGGTGCTGAATACATCAATGTGGCCCTTCCCTAATTAGACCATTGATGGCCCTGTAATGAATGCAGCTGTTGTGAAGGCGCGAACTTATTCATTCGCTCTTGAGCCAAAATTAGCAACGATTATCTAACACATCTTTGCTTTATCTGCCGGCTAATCTACCAAATCAATTACTTCACAATTGCTTTCGTGCATGCCGCAGCAGTGAAAGCGAGAACATCTTGCAACGCGCGATTGTGTGTCGTTCAGATACTCCCAATGTCTCTCAAAACTATGACAAGGGAGATGATTACAACTAGAAAAGTGTGAAACTATGGGAAGCTATGTAATGTAGCTACCCATACCCGAACTAACTAATACCAGTACCCCGCTCGAGGCACCAATGGATAACATTTGGGTTGTGTCAAACACATTAGGAACCATCACGTCCAGCAATTTGTAACCTCAACGATAAAGTGGCCAGTATTTTGTTTTATGCTATCTACTGCTACTATAAGTTGCTAAAGAGTTTCCTATCCTCAGAAAAATCCATCCAAGGCTATACATGTTGTAGCCATTCCCACCACCTTAACCATCAACAGTCTATCCAGTATGGCGAGCATTCACATCTTGCGACACGGGCAGTCCCTTCACAAGTCAGTGCTCAAAACAAGAAAAAACCCTCCCAAAAAGTTGGGGTCTAATTCGGCATAAACCATGCAGCGTTCACCGGGGTTACCCCCACCGAGATCCCCCTCTCACTGACATCGGGTCTCAACAAGCGAGCAATGTGCGTCCACCAGCTGAGCCTGACCTTATACTCGTGTCTCCTATGACTCGTACCATTCAAACGGCTCTCATTGTTTTCAGCCGGCATCTCAAGACATCCCCCACCAAGGTCGAACTCCAGGTCTGGCCGGACCTGCGCGAAGCCCACGATGCCGTCTGCAATAGAGGGGTGTCGCGTGCCGAGATGGCGGCCAAATTTCCCCAGTTCGACCTTTCCGCCTGTCACGAAGAATGGGACTATCTGCCTCATAGTTTTGAAGATGCTGTAATGCGTGCTGAGAGAGTTCGGCGCCGCCTCAAGGATCTGTCTCGCTCTTACAAGAACATCTTCTTAGTCACGCATCGCGGCTTTATAGCGTTCCTAGTCAAAGGCGAGAGGTTTGATGTTTGCGGTATGACACCTTCTTGACTTTTATATCTTATTCTCTCCCTATCTCTATGTTTATGGCTAATTGGTGAACACCTACTTGCTGCAGAAAGCCGCTCATACAGATTTGCTGCTGAGAACGAAGTCAACGAGCAAAGGTATGGTATAAACAACGATACGGGTGAAGAGCAAGATTTTGGTCCAAACCTATTATTACCTATTTATACACCACCTATGGGCAACGCCAATAGCGATGCAGAAGAGATCTCAGCTCTCTAAACCATGGCCACGGAGTTTAAACACATTGCTAGCTCAATTAAAGGTAGTGATAATGGCTCGCACCTCGAAAATGTTTGAATCATAGGTAGCACAATAAGCTCGCTCAGCTACCATAAGAACTACCTACGCTGTAATTTATGCCTTCATGTTGTTTTCCCTTGCTGCCACTGCGGCGTTTAAGCCAGCTCTAACTCTCTGGAATACATCTCTTGGAACCATCTCACAGTTATGAGTCCTAAAGTCCCAGACGGGTCGCCCAAGATTAATGTCTGCACCATACTCAAGCAGCAGTTGCACAATCGTCTCGTGCCTCAGCTCCATGGCAACTTGAATTACTCTGCCACACTCGAACTTGATTCTCTCTTCCCGGTCCATCTTCAATTTATACCAACAGAGGCCATGGTATCCGACGTTGGCGTCGGCACCATACGAGAGCAAGAGCCTAACTAAGTCCTCGTTTCCGTATACAACAGCACGGAAGAGCGGATGAATAAACTCTTCTGGCTCCCCAACAGGGAAGTCACAGCAGGTGGTAGTCATGAAGGGATGTGAAACATAAGGCGGCTCCCGATCCGCTTCTTCGAATTCGCACTGCACACCGTTTTCCAGAAGGAGTTTGGCCATAGGGCCATCGTTTTGGTCAATGGCTAGGCTTAAAGCAATCGTAGATATAACCCGATCAGACTTTTGCAACAAAATCTCTGCAATCCTTGGGTTTCCTGTCCTCACGGCGGCGATTAATGCATATTTATCCTTGAGATTATAGGTCGCGAAATTTGCAATCAGCGCCGTTGCTAAGGAATAGTTTCACCAAATCGAGGGTTTTTTGATGCACAGCCCATAGCAGGGGAGTTTCTCGATGCTCTCCCATGACCCTAATGTTCAAGTCTACGCCATACTCCAGTAATTGCGAGGCTGCATTATCATACCCAGCTTGCAATGCTGTTTTGAGTATGGCCAGTTTCTGGCTTTGATCGGGGACAGCAATGTAGGCTTCGTCAGATTGTGCAACGTCACCACATGTGACGAATTCTCCGGCTGGGAAAAAGATAGGCTGCTTCTCTCCGGTAACGCGATTGTAAAAATGGAACTCTCGAGAAGAAGAGTCTTCCCATATTAGGTCCCAATTATTATCTGTATGGACGAACTCTTGACGGACTCTTGAGTTCTGGGTATGGCTCCTGTGCTCTGGATACATTCGGATAAGGTTGAAAGGAATCCATGGCGGAGGATCCGGTGCTTCAAGCGATTCAGGCACTCCATGTTGCTCAAGATGCGAGTCATAAAAAGTTGGTTTAAAAGCGGGTTGGTATTTGCGCCGAATAAGTTTATGCCAATCGATTCCCTCAAAAAATGGATGAGCTTTAATCTCAGATGCGCCTTCGTGGGCACCAAGCCGTTGCTCAGGGCTGCGACAGAGTAGCTTCAGAAGAATATCCTGCGCTGCTGGTGGTAAAGACTCGGGTAAGTGAATGGACTGATTGAGGATCTTGTCGGCTATCTTTTCGGGATCTTCGTCGTAGAATAAAGGCAGCCCTGTTAACATTTCATACAGGAAAATTCCCAATGTCCACCAATCGGCCATACGATGTTCGCCCTGGCCAAGGAGTAGTTCCGGTGCTGGGTACTCTGGTAGTCCGTGTTGTGTACTGGGGCTTTCAAGGCTGGTTTCCGAGATGAAAAGACCGAAGCCACAAAGCGTAATATGACCCGTGCCGTCCAATAGGACAATTCTGGGCTTCAACCAGGCGAAGATGTTATGTACATCATGTAAATATTCCAGCGCACAGAGAATCTCCGCAATGTAGAATCGAGCCCTGTCAAGGTCAAAGGTTTGCTGCTCCAAGAGATGATTGAAGAGGTGTCCTCCCATGATGAATGGAGAATTGAGTTGTATCGAATCCTCTATTTGGAAACAATAGGTGGTTGGGGATATAAAAGGATGGCTGATGCGATTTGGCAATCCAGTCGAAGCTTGATATAGGGAAAGTTTATCTGGTTTGAACAATTTTGCAGAATACATTGCCTCGAATTTACCCCTTGTGTTCTGGCTGATGTGTCTAGAGTGTCTTCTTACAACATCAAAAAACTCTCCATCTAATTCTTCCTCTTCAAGTGTCTTCTTTCCCATAGTTGTATAGTCATAGCTGACGCGAATCTTGCCAGTACCATCTTCAATTTTCAACCACTGTGATGTAGATTCCTGTAATGCATCAAAGGGGTTTACCCTTGCTAGCCCAAGAAACACGTCTTGGCTGAAGTTGGAACCAGTTGGATGATAGAAGAAAATAGTCAACTCGGTAAACCGCGTAACATAGAATTTACATATGCCATAGTCTTCTTGCCATGATGGGTCTTCTGTGGTTCCCCAATAGCAGTTAAGGGGTATCTGGCATTTGTCGCATTCAACAATCGTTTGAGGAAATTTGCATCGTAGGCAGGTAGATAAATATCCTTTAATATGGCTGTGCTCTGAGCCATCGGAGTATTCCTCATAGCCATCCGGCTCAGAGGTCCCAGTTCCCCTAGAGAGACCAACTGCTTCGTGAAGAGTCACGGTTAAAACGCCAGGCAATTCTAGCGTCGAATTTGGCAGTATAGCCAGGGGATCAAGGTCTGCCAGAAGAACCATTAGCCATTGACTGAATGGAAGTGTAAAAAATATGAACATAAGGATTTCGTGTACCTTCAGCCATTTTTTCCCTATGAAGATGGGGGCTTCGTGTTGTTATGAAGAAGGAAGATTACAAGTCAAAAAACCCCCACCGGCAGAAGCGGGCAGTCTATTAGTATATATAGCACCTACATGCATACATGTACCTATAAGCACCTAAACCACGTATAATATATACAGGGTATGCATTTGGTATGAGTATCCCTCTTTGCGTGCGGGGTATCATACGTTGAAATATGAATACATGTACCAATACTGAAAAAAAAGGTATGCTTAGGTATTTTGTGCATCATTTCTATTCCCACCTGCCTCCAAAGACATCACTCAGTCCTCCTTGTACCTTGTAAATAGGCACATGTGCATATCAACGCATCTCAATACTGCCCACGAGCATCCTCGACCTGTTTTGTTCTTTCTGAGCTAGTTTCATCTCCAGTATTGATTGTAGACTCATGCTCCACCATCATGATGGACGCCTCCTCGGCAACAGGGCGGTGTCTGACGCCCTTTGGAACCACAAACATGTCCCCAACTTGCATCACCACATCATCCAGGCCCTCGAGCTCGATAGTCAACTTGCCGGCCAGGAGATAAAATAGTTCGTCCGAGTTTGGATGTGAGTGCCAGATGAACTCGCCGTCTACTTTGGCAACTTTGACATGGTGGTCGTTGACTGCAGCGACAAGGCGAGGGGACCATTTCTCGGTGAATGAGTCGAGAAGTCTTGGGATAGATTCTGATTTTGACATGGTTTCAAAGGCCGTGGATTAGGATTAGGTTGGATTTCTCTTGCAAGCCGAAGTTGGAGTATTTCGTCAGTCAGAACAAAGAGCGCCGCTTTGATTTATTTATACCGTCTACATTACTCCGTAGTCATTCGATATTGATTAACATGGACATGCTTACATGGAGGATCCGCGGAGGGCATTACTCAGCCCGTGGGGCAAAGGGCGCGGGAAGATCTAGCGCACGCCCTTGGATCGCGGCTTGTACTCGTACCGGAATAGTTTTAACAGCCTCAAGCAGTAGAGAGCATCAAGGGGATGAGCACGTGCTTTGGTAACGGGGATCTCCAAGTTTCAAGACCACGTATTGAGCTTCAATTGGTAACATGATGCCTCTTGTAGGTAGAACATTGAGCCGTTTTGGGAGCACATAGCCACATCGTGTCATTGAATCTTGATTTCGGTGCGCAAAGTCCCGTCTACCATGATTTCAATTGCCAGACCTTGTATATCAATTGTTCTATTGTACTCTGTAGAGCAACATGCGACTGAAAGATACATGCACTGTTACAGCACAGTACAAAGTATAGGTACCTATTCCGGTTCATGTGAATCCAAAGACCAAAGACATCCGCCCTTCAGCCAATGGCAGCGCCTGGGTTTCGGATTAGCTTCCCGCCAAATTTTTTTTTCTAGATGCCGCCATCCCGATCTCGGATAAAAGTATACAACTTCATCCATTTGTTTCACAACGGGTACGCTTCAGGATGATGCAAGCAGTAGGTACATACTCTGAACCTGGCCAATTGGATGATATATACCAACTATATAAACTAAGAGACATTCGATAACCTCTTCGTTCTACGCAGCGCGGAGTAGCTGGCCGCTCAGCCAGGAGATGCGTCACCCTCCTGGGCCGCACAACACCACGATCTCTCGCACCACAGCTACCTTCAGCATCGCCGATATGCCGCTCATACAGCGCCACGGGCCTCCGTCGAAGGCCGGATGCTTTCCACTCGCAGCTCGATAGCTCTCCCGACTCAGACATCCTCTCCTCCTCCCCGCCAGCCGTGGGAAAGCCCCAGACGCTCACTGAGAAGATCGTCCAGCGATACGCTGTCGGCCTTGCGCCGGGCAAGACGGTCCATTCCGGTGATTATATATCTATTGCGCCGCATAGGAGCATGTCCCATGACAACAGTTTCCCCATTATCAAGAAATGGATGGACATGGGCGCCACCAAGGTCCATGATAGCCGCCAAATTGTCATGACTTTGGATCATGACGTTGGCAACAAATCGCCTGCGAACTTGAAGAAATATCAATTGATCGAGGAGTTTGCTCGGACCCATGGCATTGATTTCTTTGGCGCCGGCCATGGGATTGGGCACCAGATCATGCTCGAAAACGGGTTCGCCTGGCCAGGAACATTGACCGTTGCATCTGATAGTCACTCCAACAGCTATGGCGCAGTTGGAGCCGTCGGCACACCAATTGTGCGGACTGATGCTGCGAGCATTCTTGCTACAGGTCGCACATGGTGGCAGATCCCACCTATCGCCAAGGTCACTCTCCTAGGCGTTCTACCTCCCGGTGTTACTGCAAAGGATGTCATCGTGGCGCTCTGCGGATTAGTGAATGACGATTCGGTCCTAAATCATAGCATTGAATTCGCTGGTTCCGAAGAAACGATGCGTAGTCTTTCTATAGATGAAAGAATTACAATCTCAAACATGACGACGGAATGGGGCGCGCTCAGTGGGTACGTTAGACTCGTTGTAAGAGTATTGGCAAACAGACTGACAACCGTGGCAGGCTCTTCCCCATTGACGATGTCTTGATCAATTGGCTGCGAGCCAAGGCCACCACCTCCGCCATGCTCAACTCAGATCTTGGTGCCGAGGCCCGTTTTACTCACGACCGAATCGCCCAGCTCTCCCAGAACCGGCTCACCGCCGACCCCGGTGCAACTTACGCCAAATCACTCTATCTCGACCTTTCCTCGTTGACCCCATTTGTCTCGGGTCCTAACAGCGTGAAGGTCGTCACACCTCTTCATGACCTTGAGGCCCAGAAAATTGCTGTTAACAAAGCCTGTAATTATGGCCACTTACACATGTCTATGTCTATGAACTCTACTGATTATGCTCTAGATTTGGTGTCCTGCACCAATGGAAGAGCGTCTGATATCAGCGCCGCCGCTCGTGTATTCCGCGAGGCTTCCAAGGACGGTGTCACGCCCAAGATCGCTCCGGGCGTTAATTTCTACATTGCCGCCGCCTCTCTAGCTGAACAACATATCGCCGAAGAAGCTGGCGATTGGCAGGTTCTCCTAGATGCTGGTGCAGAAGCTCTTCCATCAGGCTGCGGTCCTTGTATAGGTCTTGGGACCGGACTGCTTGAGCCCAACGAGGTTGGCATCAGCGCATCGAACAGGAATTTTTCAGGAAGAATGGGATCTAGAGAAGCAAAGGCGTACCTCGGCTCACCGGAAGTAGTCGCGGCCAGTGCTCTGTCGGGCTATATCAGCGGTCCTGGATGGTATCAGAACCCTGACGGCATCGACAAGGTTATCATTGGCGAGGGCAGTGGCAACTTCGAGGCAGATAAAGCCATGAGCATAGAGGATGCCTTGGATAGGATCATCGCCCAGGCTGACAGCATGATCCTTGATGCCGAGAAGGATATGGGCGGCTCTGCCGTAGCACCTACAGACAGCACAGAGGAGACGCTAACCGATATCGTACCGGGTTTCCCAGAGAAAGTCGAGGGAGGTATCATCTTTTGCGACGCAGACAACATCAACACCGACGGCATATATCCAGGCAAATACACGTATCAAGATAACGTTCCAGTCGAGAAGATGGCGGAGGTGTGTATGGAGAACTACGATGCCGCTTTCAAGGACATCGCCCAGCCAGGAGACGTGCTGGTCGGAGGCTTCAATTTCGGAACGGGTTCATCTAGGGAGCAAGCGGCCACAGCCCTCCTCGCCAAGAAGATCCCGCTGGTCGTTGCGGGCTCCTTCGGCAACATCTTCAGCCGCAACAGCATTAACAATGCGCTCCTTACGGTTGAGGTGCCTCGCCTTGTCCAGCGTCTTCGCGAGCGCTTCCCCAAGGGCGATGGCGCCGACGCTCAGCTCACGCGACGTACGGGGTGGAAGTTCCTGTGGGACGTGCGTAGGAGCAAGGTCGTCATCACAGAGGACAACGGAGAGACGTGGAGCCAGAAGGTGGGCGAGCTGCCGCCGAACGTGCAAGAAATTATTAGCAGAGGAGGTTTGGAGCGCTGGGTCGAGGCGGAGATTGCAAAGTGATGCTTACATGTAGGCTTAGTAGCGTATGAAGAAGAAATCCTGTAGATGTAAAATAGATTGCGGAAATATACAATCCATTGCCAGCGCAATTCTCATTAGGAAACCGTTGAAAATATTAAAGTCCTATCACTCAAGCACCCTTTCTAAGAAACATTCTTGCCAAGCCTGCAATTCTCCCCAGCTGGCCTATTCTCTCTCCCTCACTCTCCCTTAAATCTTCTGCGGCACCGCTAAATGTCTTCCAGGCCTCGATGTATTTATTATTCGTAAGGTGGCTAGTTCCAATTGATAGCAGTGCATATTCCATCCGCTGTTGTTCTTTTATCTCTTTCAAGTCCTTTTCCGTTATTGCAACGCTGTCATCAGTCTGGTTCGTCTATCTAGTGTGTAAAACGCCTAGTCTGACGCACTCATGACAAGTGCGGCCAAACCAGTTGCAAGTGCAGTCGCCACAGAGCTACCAGAAAGAGCTTCGAATTCCCGGAATGCTTTGTCTTGCACATCTTGATAGTCGTGGTCAATCACAACCTCGTTGCTAGGGGAAATGAAGCTAAGCTCGTGCGCATCGCCAACCGTGTCGAGCATACTGCCCGTGGCTTTAGCAGCGCTGATTCTGAAGCTGTTAGGGTTGCTGCCGTACGGATACATCAGGTCAGCAGAACTTCCCTGATCACTTGCAGCACAAAACATAAGGAGGCCCTTTGTGTTCAGGGCATTGTGGATTGCATCATCAAATTCGTCTTTCTTCTTTTGTTCTGTCGGCGGCTTGATTGTCCATGGCATAGATATGATTTGGGCGCCTTGTTCCGTTGCATACATGTAGTTAGTAACCCGAATCATAACGATCAATGACTTGAAGACTTGGGTGTGATTCGCAACTGACCAAAATCTTATCTTCGTTTGAGGCCCTAGGGGCTGTCGTCATACGAGAAGTATGAACAAGCGAGTAGGCCAAAGAAGACAGATAACAAAGAACATCAACTTGGGTAGTGTTAATTGATTTCCCGCTCTTCATCCTTTTGGTCACCTGGATGATGTTTAAACAAAGCGCTTCTGATTGACGACACTCCGCGCCCTGAGCTCTGGGCCCGTGATCGTTCTATGGAATCATAACCGCAATTTAAAAGGCCCGTAACGTATCTCCCTGTGTGGAGTACTTCGTCCAGTGTCAATATCTAGTCCATGCACACATCTTATTTGCACCTGTTAAAGTGATGTGTGCGCACTCTGCCTTCTGCTTATCCGCAAATGCATCTCCCACACATAGTAGAAAACAACAGTGCTATCAATTAGAATTAAAATTTCTTTCTGTCTCTGTTGTTTATGCTATACACATCCATTCTCAAACAGATTGGCCTCCGAAGTAGACAATACATGTATCGATCATATGAACAGCTACGGTAGCTCCAACTTCGTTCAGTATGGACTGCTTAACAGCGGAGGCTGTAAATAATCAACAAAATTCCACCCCTACAGAATTGCTCACCGAAGGCAGCGGCGAGACGATAGCTGGAACAAATAATAGTGCCAGATTCACTGATGATCCTACCAAGTTCCACGAAGATAATGCTGTAGGCAGTCCCAGCCATGACATGGATGAAACCAGGTTTGAGTAAGTATTCCTTTTTATCCAAGTTCTATTCCAAGTTTCTGATTTTGGCTCAAACTTTGAAGTATCATAGCCGTCCATGGACGTCATGGGGATGAGAAATCTTGGGAAATGCCATCCGCCTCTCATTCTCTAGGCTCAACCAAGCTCAACAATGTTTTCAACCATCTAGGTCCTGTTGGTGGAAGACTTATCACTATCCCAATGAACTACAACTCAGATGAAGACTCCATGGAATGTTATACGATACATCATATTTACAGCAGTGCTCACAGACTACTGACTGAAGTCGCGAAACGACGAATGCAAAGGCTTCAAGTTTGTCTTACGACCTCTTTATGAGACAATATACTGACCTACGGTTGCTCAGAATACAACACGGCCGATATACTTCGTTTGTCATGATATTGGCGGCACAATTGTCAAAGCAGTAAAGTCATTCCACTTCAAATGATGGAAGTCTACATTATCACTAATTATATGCCGGAGCTAGGCCATTATTCTTGCTCGTGACAATAGAAGTGAATATGCAGATGTTTTGGATTCCACTTGCGGTTTTGTAAGTGCCCCCACCAAACTCGTCTGTTATTGATGCCCTAGCTCTGACTATTGTAGATTTTCTTCGGTTATCCACATAGGCCACATACAATTCATGATCTCGAAGAACAGCTCTATTGTCTTCTCTCTCAGCGTAATGACCGCTATCGGCGGGGTCACAAAATGGAACTTGTCCAAAGCCTTGCTCAGACGATCAGCGAAGTCAACGATTTATTTATACACACAAAAATTCTCGAACGGGCCCGGGTTGTCAACGTTTTTTCCACGCATGACGATCCAACAAAAAGAGTTTGTTTCCATGGTCCTATGTGCTTCATTTTGATTCGTAAAGCTAATTGGGATACAATAGGTATTCGATAAATCTACTACCACTTTGGGTGTCACCCTTGAGCGTCAGTTGCCAAGTGCTAAGCCACACCTGGAATTAACTGATGCTGAAGAGCTTGATCTGTATACTAAAATAATCTCACTAGGTAGTGAGTGGCTTGGTATGCAATCCTATACTATAGATCTTTTAATTTGATTACCCACTAATTGATCGAAACGTGAGAAAGATTTCGAAATGGAGCACGTGGCACCTCTGCATGTAGCAGCACAGCAGGCATCTCCAATATACCCTGTCTTAAACGCCAATGCAATTAAAGACAATTCAGAGCTAGACACTTTGATCAAGACCACCTACAATCACATCCTCCATATCCAGTGTACTTCTGATGCAGGCTCAGTATCCGAAAGTATAATGAACTACCTTCACGAACGGAAGGATAGTAAAGAATTGCTTTACTATTTCCGCTTCAAGGACTACGACATTGAATTCAACAATATATCAGCGATGCTGCGGACATTTTTGGCTCAATCCTTCTACGCTCAACCCAACGTACCCTTAATAAAGTCCACACCATAATGCACAGCTATGGGGATGCCAATATATGTTAAACATGTGGCGAGACATTAATTTAAATGGTATGACTGTGCTTCCTATCTGCTATATATCTGCAGACACTCATAAGCTTTTTGATTAGATGATACAAGTTGCCTCTATGTGCTGGGATGCGTAGATGAATGCGACGATTCTGTTTCTATTTTCTTATCTCAGATCTGCGACATATTTATGACAAAAGAGAACCGCCTGAGAATTGTTATTGTTACAACAAAAGACACAGCTAACGACAAGCTTATCGTTAACGCACTCTCTAAATTTCCAACAGAAAGCGTAGCTCACATGGATTATTGCATGAGCCATTCTACTTCTGCCCCCTTCCAGCCTGGATTTGATGCGTCGGTGCTGCTCCAGAAAAATAAGGGTTATTCTGGCTCGTTCTGGCCAAATAAGAAGGACCTACGAGATAACTTATCAGTCTTACTTTCTAGCTGCTCATACGATGAAGCATTGCGGTCTTTGATTGTCAAGTGGCTAAGACTAGCCCCAAACCCTCAGAAATCCGTCTCCGATATCTTGGTCAAGAATCGAATGCCAAGCCCGGAGCTAGTTTTTGAGAGTGTGCTGGCAGAGATTCCTGAGAAATACCACCAATGGGCCCAGAAAATATTTTCATGGACGTCGTCATCCTTTAGACAGCTAAGGGTACATGAAATCTGCTATATCTCGGATCTCTGCCTCGGAGACAACGTCGATACACGTATAGGCGGGTCAACAATACGTGAGCACTTCGACAATATCAACCATCATCTTGGGGGGGTATTGGCAACGGTTCACCACAGCGTGGATTTTAGCCATGGCTCGATGCGCAGTTGGCTCAAGTCTCTGGATCCCAGGGAAACCCAGCCGCTCTCTCAGAGAAAGTGGTATCAACAGACAGAAGTTGAACGGCATAGGACTATCGTGCAGATTTGTTTCGATCATTTGCGGAATATCAGTGACCAATCTCAGGCCTGGGGTCCTCATTTGTCGTACGCAACACAGTTTTGGGCTTACCATTACAAACAAGCTGGCCCGATTGGGGATGTTTTGCACTCTATATGTGAGCATCAGTCGTTATTGGAACGCTGGATAGATGCATACGAGGCTTTACCTGCCCCTTTCTTGAAGCCACTACATACAAGTCGCAAGCCTCTACCGATTGCCGCGCACTTGGGGCTCGAAGAAACTGTCAAGTCCATCTTAACAAACAATGAATACGACGCTGACTCCCTGCGTCAAGGACTAATTGAGGCCACAAGAGCTGTCCAATTACCTATATTCCAACTCATAATCCAACGATACCCATACGGCCTGAACTTAGGTGATCTTTATGTACAGGATATCCTATGCACTGCTATTCTTAGCGGCAACCTTGAGATGTGTCGTGAGCTGGCTAAACATGTGCACATATCTGGACGAAATCCGTTGTCTCCGCGACGACCTCAAGACCAGCACGAAGAAGCTTTTGCTAGCGACATAGATGGAGCCCATGAAGGTTTCAAAGCCGAGAGCTCTGCCAGAGATTATTACGAAGACGAAGTCGTCACCAAAGACAAAGAAAAGACAATGCCACGAGATAATAGCATACTATCCTCAATATTGATGGATGTTCTGTGCTTAGCCTGTGAACTGGATATGGTCGACATCGTCAGCAAACTGCTCACTTTTGGACTTGATATTGACAAGACATTCCTTCAAAGAGTACGGAATTCAAGTGGTCTAACCCCATTATGTATCGCCTCGAAGTTCTCTGCAGTCAATTCAGCTAAGTTGCCAATCGCTGCCGGTGAAAGCTGCGTCCTGGATGTTGATAGCACTGCCTTGACGCCACTGGAAGTTGCAGCCAGGTATGGGTCTGCTGATATGATAAATCTCTTACTGGACTATGGGGCCCAAATCGATGCCAGTTGTTTATCTGGCTTAACACCCTTGCAGACAGCATGCCATTCTGGAAACGTCGCAGCGACCGAATCATTAATTCAACGTAGAAATTTCCAAGAATACATAACGCCAGGCATACCAGGTCATCCGCTAACCATTGCAGCATATAAGGGTTATTACAAGATCACAGAGGCACTTCTTCGCCATGGAGCGGATCCAAATTCGCATGCCCCAGAACGGCGAACCAGCTTTATGGGTGGCGGTGCAGCAAAATAGAACCGATATTTGTCGTCTTCTACTAGCACACAATGCAGATCCAGACTTGAAAGACTTCGTGATCGAACAATCGACTCCATTACTATGCGCAACGATGAACAGCAATATGGATTTAGTCAAGCTACTTGTCGATAATGGAGCTGACGTGAATAAGTCAGTAGGCCGCAAGTACACTCCAGGTTTGTCCCTGCTTTTTTTTTTTTTTTTGTAAATAGGTAGATAAAGAAGGGGAAGGGAGATCGTACTAATTGACAGCAGTGTATGGGGCTACACATTCTCAGAATACTGAGATTGTTCAGTACCTTCTCTCTCACAATGCAAATCCAACTCTCGCCTGTTCACTTGGCTCGACCCCCATGCACGTCGCAGCATATCAAGGATCCTCAGAAATAGTGCGGCTGCTTGCTGAGGCCAAAGCCGACATTGACTACTGCGAGAATAGTGCCTTGATGTCAGCAATTCATATCATGTCCGATTCCGCCGAAGTTCTCCGTATTCTTCTCGAGTACGGTGCCGATATCAACAGAAAAGATTCGGCCGGGCGTACGGCATTAGACGCCGCCATTGTCAATAACCATCCCAACATCGTCAAACTGATGCTTAGCGAATCGAAAGTCAAGCCCGACTTCTCACGTGAAAGACTACTGGAGGCAGTCCGCAACGGCTACACTGAAGTCGTTTCCTTGGTTCTCGAGAGTGGTGCAGATGTGAACATGTTAGATGAAGGCAACGCGTCGCTTACAGCTTTGGCTATGCCACTTAAGGACGCCAGTATGATACGCACAGTCCTCGAATACGGTCCAGATTTGAGCATTATAGATAAACGCGGGAACACAGCACTTCATCGCATCACAGCAAATACTCCTGTGGAGTCGGTTCGGCGCGTGGTCAATGCCGGTGGTCAACTGCATGTAGGCTCCCTGAATAATGAATATGAGACCCCTCTCATAATATCAATTAGGGCCTGCAATATGGAAGTTTTCAGCTATCTAATGACCAAGAGCCTCGTGTCCGATACCCTGAACATCGCTTACTCCCCCAGAGAGGGTACGCTGTTGCATTTTGCTTGTGCTGAAGGCACGATAGACATGGTACAAATCCTGATCAAGAATGGCGCGGACACCAACCATGTTTGTCCCTCAGCATACGGCACTCCATTGATAACAGCCCTCCAAAGACGGGGCAAAAATATTGACAAGTTGGTTGAAAAGATAGTCAAGCTGCTTCTGGAACATGGTGCCGTTCCAAATCGTTTTGCAGGCTTTTTGGGATTTCCCATTATAGCAGCCAGCATAGCATGCTCACCTAGTGTCATCCAGTTGCTTCTTAGCCAAAAGGTTTCTGTCGACGTCACGGATGCATTTGGTAGAAAGCCAGCACATTTTGCCTGTTACAACTCCCTTGAGGCTTTAAACATCCTTGGGGTTCCAGATTCAGACTTTGCTGTCAGAGACATAGTCGGCAGGGTGCCTCTCCACTATGCCGTGCTCAGAGGCCAGTTAGACCTTGTAGAAGAGGTTTTAGCACGCTCCATGCGAGTTGGAGTTGGCATCGACGTTCTTGATTATGATGGCTGGACGCCACTCCTCTGGGCAGCGCGTGCCTCTAGAATCTTCTCGTGCGAAGAAGAGCTACAGCGTCCGCAATACGATGCCGTGGTGTCGCTGCTCCTCAGCAAAGGAGCAGATCCCAACGTACGCGGAGATGGGCAATGTAGGAACTGGTCAGTCTCTGAAGTTGCCTATTATCACGGCGCCGACAGGTATGTCTCGATGGACTTTTTCCCCAGAATATCCTTAGAAGAAGGGTCGCTGACTCTTGTTGCTTGTAAGCATCGTCGACTTGGTTACCAAAAATGGTCTACTAAATAAGAAAATCAGATTCCCTATAATAGGGATGTCATATCGTATTAGCCGGCCATGTTACTGCTGCTGGTTGGCGGTGTCAGGTATTTATTTCGAGCGTCTACAGAAAAGTTATATGCGCCTATGCTTCAAGTGTTATAACTCCAGCGCACGCATCGCTCCCAAAGATAGGTTTGAAAGCGCCGGTTTTGAGTGGAATTCCATAGTTGAAATGCCGGGTTCAACTCGGTTGAAATCTGCTCAATCGCCAGATGGAGAGGATTTGTTGAATGAGAAAGCGAATGAGAGGATCCATTCTGATGACGAAGTTATAGAGGAAGAGGACCTGGTGCTCTGATTTTAGATGCGAGCGAAGAGTGTTGGTGCCACAAATTCAGTTAATCAGCATCTTGAAAGAGGATATAATGCGATCCGAAAGAGCATTTTCTGGATTCAAGTTTCGGGGTGATAATCGTATGTCAACAGCTGGCGTACATCCGCTGTACATGATGTTGGCTCCCCACAAAGCAAATATTACTTCTGACCAAGGGACTGAAACCAAGCAATTCATAAGCAAAGGAATAGAGCTCTAAACACAGAGAAAAATTAATTGCATTATATATCCTGATTATCTTATTTGCTTCTATCTATGATACACAGAAAAAGCCGAGATACTAACTCTCCAGGCATCATACTTTAGACAATAACGCAATTGTTAGGATAGAAGATCAGCCCCGTTGGGGTCCTTGAGAGAGATGTAAAAAGCCTTGAATTGAACATAGAAGAGGGGTGCCTGTTGAGGCATTCTATATCTAGCAGCCGGCTTTTAGTCCAGCTACTGACTACATGTACGCTGCTATCTACTTCTTATGGCTATCGAAGCTGCAAATCCATTCCGACAGCAATTAATATCCCGCGCATAGATAAATATCCCAACTACCTGAGTATGTTACCTTCTAAGAAATATCTGGGATAGGACCAACTACTTAAATCAAGGAAATAAATTCCCAAGAGCCGAATGCGAGATCCAACGTAAATCATGCGTTTCTGCAGCCCCCATCCCACCTCACCCTTGTCCAAAACCCACGCACGCACGATTCCTCTCTCTTCCTTTTCTCATCCTCCCATACGTTAGCAGACATCCGCATCGTCTCACAAATAAATCACACCACCCCCAATCTCACTCCATCTCGCCATTTCCCCAGATTTATTTATATAATCTTTATACGGGTCCCGAAAAAAAAAATAACCGCCCAGATCTGGGACTTGGCATGCTCGTAAGCCATCATCGTAGATTAAATCATGCAGCCGGACATGGATGAGAATCCCGCCGCCTCCGGCACTTATTTTTCCTGCCCACCCCCCCCCCCCCCCCTCCTCCCGAAACAAGGCATATCCCTCCGTATTATGTACATTGTTTCATACATATACTTATCAGACCATTATTACACCATCAATAACAGACCGCAACACACAATATCACAGCCAGAAAAGGAAGGCATCAGCCGAGATTACGAACTACATGAAATGCAAAGCAAACATACACGCGTTACCAACTCCCTCTCACAGCCCCGTCATGCCCAAGTCATCCTCTGATTGAAGTCTATCTACAGTTTCCTCATTGGTATCTCTCTACATAACAAAAAAGCAAGAAATTCGCCAAGCACTATCCCGCTTATCATGATCAAAGGCGGGATAAAACAAAAATCCCAGTTTCGCAGTTCCAAAACCTGTTGACGATCCCGTTTCCCGTTTCCTAGGAGCCAATCATAACGCACGCAATAACCCGAGAGGATGCCCTTCCTTCCTTTCCATCCAAATAAAAAAAGAATGATGAAAATGAAAATGACAAAAAAGAAAAGAGAAGAGAAAAGAACAAAAAGAACTAAAGAAAATTATTTCGATCTTCTCCTGCCATTCTAGAAGCCGCACATATCATTATGCCCTGTGGATGAAGTTTTTTCAGAATTTAAAAATGAGAAGCAGAAGAGAGACAAAAGAAATGCAAAACATTTGAATCGGGGGCTCATTGCCTTGACTTGGTCCGCATGCCCGTCATGGACGACGAGCTCCTGACCGAGCTCGTAGTCGTCAGCATGGCAGGCGTAATACCGTCCTGCCTCTGCCGATTGTCAAACTCCTTCAAAAACGCGTAGACGCTGCCCAGCGGCAAGTACTCGAGCAACGGCCGCAGTTCGTCGGGAAACATTTCGGCGCCATTGTCCTTGATATCCTCATTGACGCGGTTCAACCGCAGTATCTGCATCCAGGACACAATGTCATCGCCCAGCAAAAAGGCCGGGAAGCGCGCCTTGCTCATGTCGTCAAGGATCCACGCGTTGCGAAAGTATGGCCGATTGAGGAATCCGGAGATGGCCTTGTAGCTGGGCACCTCGCGCGGGTCGGTGATGCCCTCGGGTATGTCACTCAAATGTGCAACGGGGCCCATCCACTGCAAAATAGGGGCATAGTCGTTGGGATGGGCCTCGCGGTCACCTGGCTCGCCAAAGGTAACGGGCATGCACTTGTCCCAGGCCTTGATGATCTCAATGGCGAGATCAGAAGTCGAGTCCTTGAGCCCCAGCCAGCCCACCACCATCTTGGCGTGGCGGTATGCTCGCGCCATGTGAGCCCGTCGCTCCGACTCCTCACGCGTGTCCCGGCCGTTGATGCATAGGAGGTCGAGCCATATCCGTAGAGGCGGTGTGCCACCCCGCGGCGCGCCTGGCTCGGCGAGCATGTGTCGCACGTTCTTGAGAAGAGACCGCAGCCAGCCAGGGGCTTTCTTGGGCGGCACTGGCAGAGGCGGTGGCACCGTGGTCGGGCCCTGAAGATCGGTCATGGAGGCATCTGGCGTTGGCAGCGACGCGGCCAGGAAGACGACTCGCATGTAACGCAGTGCCTGGGCGAGGTGGACGGGAATGGAGATGGCGGCTCCGTTGACGAAGATGGTCTCGGTGACGGTGATGTCGCCGTACAGGGCCGAGAGGCCGATGAAGTCGGAGGAGTCGCTTAGCCGCTCATGGACCAGACGGCATACGACGCGCTCGTTAATGTCGTTGGTCGTCACCGGCTGCAGCTCAAGCAGGCGAATCTCGCTCCCGGACCGGTCGAGCGGGCGGTACCGAATAGACGTCGCGGCTTCGGGCGGGGCCATGATTGACATGCAATCAAGTCTTCAGATGTTTGGAGAGGTTACTTTGGCGCGGGAAGAGAAGGTCGGCAACCCAGTTTTCAGGCAATCTCGATTGCAGCGGCACTTATATCAGCCATGGAAGGGGTCGTGTCATTTCCGCCGTGACATTGGGCTTGAACATGAGCCCTTGCAGCCCTTCCCCATGCCAGGGTCAGGCGTGCATTCGCATTGTCAGGTTGTATGGGTTTTAGAGCACCCGATGCCACAATGGTAATTAGCAGCAGGCCAGGCGAAGGGCCACGATCCACCGCTAGCTGAAGGCCCTGTGCTGTGCCGTTCTCTCAGCTTCGCTCTGGCCATGATTGAGATCAGCTTGGAGTCTGTCTGGGGGACTCAGCCTGGAGTTTTTGTCTGGAGCTTATGGCCCCTACTTGTACGAAACACGGCCAACTACGCCTGTCCCATGTCCAGCCGCCGCCCAACAGCACAACTCCGTGCCGTACTCGGCATTTTCGCTCGTGTGGTCTTGCGACGGGCTGTTGTGCGGAGTGCCAGTACGCCAATCCGCTTTGAGCATCCTGTCCCCTGCCAACAGATTAACCAATTGCCGCGAGGCGCGACAGAATGCGGCAATGCTAAGATGCCCTTGTCAACACCAATTGGTCAAGCTGCAGTCGCGGCCTGGCAGCTGGTTTTCGGCATATCCGGATCTGGCTCGCGTCGGGGCAGACTGCCAACATCAGGTAGTATTATTCTTCACATCCAATTAGATATGCAAATTGACTCCCCAACCAGCCATACTAAATAACTGGCACGGGTGAGTCTTCGCACAGACTCAAATACCCTTCACATGGCAGGGAAGCAACCTATTTTGCTAACCTGATACCGTATCGTTGTAAGGGCCAAGTGGTACTAGCCAACCATACCGCACAGGGCCCTTGGACAGGGTATCGTTTGCATCCATTACCTAAGTGTTATCAAGCTTGCTCGTCATACGTTTCCCTGCCGATCGTAACCATATTTGCGCAAGCCTGTGGATACCGATATGTTCGCAGGGCTTGCCCAACTGGTGGTGTAGATCGCCTGCCGCGTGATCCTGCGATTCGCAAGCGTTGATTACTCCATAAAGAAAATGCAGAGCGGAATCGTGCAGGCGAGATCCTCCAGCATGGAAAGCCTGTCACGCAGCTGATGCTCCATCATCGACGTTACATTCGTGATTCATCGTCCTACCAATAACGAACCACTATGCATGGACAGGCCTCGAGATCCTATATTCGTAACGCCATGGCCAGCCAAGGCGGCTTTTCAAGGTCAGGCGTAACATCGACAACTCCAAAAAACCATGCTACCACGCTGCTTTCTCACCGCTTCAAGGATTGTAGACAGCACATACATGCCACTATTCCAAAGTCAGCAAGTGTCCGTTGAAGAAAACATGGATATACCAACGAACCTGATATCATTGTGGAGAAAGAACCATCAATCGGCCTACAGGGGGCCCATCGTTTTCTCGCGAAGAGGAATACCTGATGCACGATACACCAAGGTGAAGAATTCTCAGCGCAACTCCTCGGTGGTTCCCTGTGCTCCAGTCGACCGCGGTAGGGACCAAGGTGCCCGGTCAACTCACCCTATGCTCGGTTGCCAACCTGGGCTTGCTCGTCGTTCGAGTGACAACCAGATCTGTTGCAATTAACATCTTCCCAAAAGAGTAGTACAAGTTTGTAAACATCAGCTTACCGTTGCCCGCGATTTTCAGCTGCCCAGGTTAATATTGACTCTCTTCCCCTCCTCATCCCCCTCCTCATCCCCCTCTTCATCCGTATTCATCCCAGCAGACCTGATAGAATGTGACCTGTTATGCTGTTGGTTCACCCCAAACTTTTAAGAGGCTCCATCGAACTGCAGCTGCGGCCTTTTCTAGGGCTGCAGCCGTTCATACCGCTGAAAAGACGCCCGCTGGATGGCTGTATAAATGGAGGGAAGGATCCTATGCTCGAGCCGCTGTTGTACCATCAATCTAAACAAGTTGTTTTCTCCCTGCGTCGGTCACAATGGCTTTCCCTTGGTACCAATCCTTGTCTCACCAGAGCTACTGGAGAGAGTTTGACCTCAAAGGGGTCAAGATCAAGGTCAAAACTCCCAAAAGTGAGGCTTTCCGGGCCGCCTCGGATCAGATTCCCCCATATTTCTGGGTCAAGGGTTTCCGAAACCGGGTTAGGAGGCTCTTAGGCCGGAAGCTCAGGAAACATTCTTTCCCTACCCATCCAGGCTATTCAGAAGCAAGAAGCCTGGTCGGCCATGGAACTGTGGCGGAGTTGGGAATGTTGTCGAACCAAGCCCGGGACTTTGTCACCGAAGTGTTTGGAGACGTTGGCGATGTGGCAGACACCTCGTCTGTGAGCGAGAACCAGTCTTTGTCTTCTCTGGAATCAGGGCCTAGAGTAGTCCAGCTTAAGTTATCCACCGATCTGCAGAGCTGGAAAGACACCCAGCACGCAGCCGGCAACATCCTGCCACCCAAAGGCACCGGACTGAGCCAGGCTTCAGCCGAGGCACTCAGCAAAATCGGAGCAACTAACTGGCCCGAGGCTTTGAAGACGAACAACGCACTCTTCGGCTGTGGCATCGCCAGCTTGCTCATGGGCGCAGCCGATGCGCCAACCATGTTCTCCAACTATGTGACTGACATGGCCTTCTATTATGAGCACGGGTACAATTACGTCTTCCCGACGCTTGAACCGCTGCTGCAGAAAGGTCTGACAGATCCGCACGCCTTACGCACCCCGGGGGGACGGGAGCGACGAGACGCCGTCTCCCTTGGTAAGCAGTATATCCAGGGTAAGATCGCGCTAGAGAACCAGCACAAGAAGAACTTGTCGTATCGGTCAGCACGATTGAACCGACGCACAGCACAGATCGTCTCCCTGTCAGAAAGCAGCCTACTGGGCATGGCAGCTGAGGCGATCGCACGTGGCTTTGACCCTGCTGCCGTCATGGCTGACTTGGTCTTCAGCTCCCCGGGCACTGACGTTGTCGACGTGGGGTGCGATCTGGTGAACTCTGAGGTCATGAACTCGTTCCTCAATGTGACGGACATTACGGAGACCGGCGTCGTGAGCGAAGAGGTGCTGCGCAAGGTGTACGACGCCTACTCCGCGACCGGCGCCAGGATGCTGACCCAGCGATGGCATGAGCCTGTCGCCAGGATGTGCGCTGCTCTGTACACATGGCATATCCAAAACGACCGCCATCTGTTCTTCCGCCGCGCACTTATGGGCTGGCCCAAGGCCCGCAAGACACCCGCCCAGCCTCAGTTCGAGGCGGACTTTGACGAAGCGTTTGACAAGGAGTACCGTACAACGGGCTTCAGCAGACCCCTTGATGCCAAGCACGCGTGCAACGGTGAAGACACTTGTGATCACGTCAACCACTTCCTCCATCGCCACCAAGACAAGCCGCTGCTCAAGGAACTCTGGTGGCAGCTCGTCACCGGCCCGCTCGAGTATGTCCGGGGCGGCCAGGTCGATGAGGAGCGCGAGTATGACTTCGTCGAGGGCTCGCGACTGACCATGGCCGATCTCTTTTCACGCGGCCAGGTGCTGGAGATGGTTTGGCTCATTGCCCATGCCAACTTTCACGCGTGGCAGGTCAACTATTTGTTCGAGGCCGCCATGTTTGGCAGCATTCTGGATGGAGGGAAATTGGCTGGCAAGCTCGACAGACAGGAGGAGAGTCAGGATTGAAAGGTTGATGATACCCACGGTAATAGAGGACGGAGGTTAAGGGAAGCTGAGGTGAGATGAAGTCGAGGAGTACAAGATACCCAGCGGGTCCGGGTCCAGGTCATGGGTTTGCGTGTTCATGTACATGTACATGTATGCGAGTCCAGGTGGCGGGGTACTGGTACCACATGCGCGGAGGCCTGTGTCAGATTGGCGCGTCAGAAATGCCTTACGAATTAATACACGAAGTACATGTACATAGCTAGGACGGAATGACTTATGGTAAAGCAACAATACACGATTGATTATGACAAAGCAAGAATGTGCGATGAATAGCAGTGAAAATGTCTATACTATATCCCCATAGATACCTCATAGTAGGATTTTTTCAATGAAGATGAAAAGATTGCTATCTCTGTTCTATAGAAGCCTATTGATGCTTGATGCTAGATACCTCGACACTGCCATGAAACCGCCACGTTACAAACAGTGCACTCAAGGGGATATAGCTGCAGGAGCTGTAGAACATAAAACAAACTATAAATCAAAACGAGGGGGAATCCAGTAAATATTACGTAGTTGTGAAGCTATAAGGTGCTTACTTGCTCATTTGGAACTCCAGTTTTCCTTCAAGCTATTGCGACAAGGGGATGTCGCCTCACGTTGCCTAGAATCGTTTTCTCTTGTTAACATAAAAGTACCGCTGTCTGTCAACAGGGTAACATTCCACCGACCGATGTTCTTAAATGCTGGTTTCTGTTCCGAGAGACATAGCATACCGCCTCGTTAGTGTGACTATGTCAACCAGTGTACCTGATGGATCAATGCCTCCATTATACGAGGCGGCCGTAATCCAGGATATATCACATCCATTTTGCAAGCTTCTGGTAGAGAGACGAAATAATAAGACTCCGTGACGAAAGTTTCGACAGAAGGTAGTCCCTATCAGATAGTCGTTGTTTATTGATCGTACGCCCAAATTTAGTCCCTCTTTTGGCTCAATGTCAAGATACTCAGTAAGGTTTTCCTCTCCTATTAATAGAGTTATTCAAAAAGATAGTTTTCTTTTCATGATATCTTCAAATACTTCTTCTCTTCACCAGCTGAGTTCTTAGAAGACTCTGCGACATATACAGGACAGCCATTATAATAGCATTGCTGCCTTCTGTTAACAATTGTGATGGGAATGAAAATGTTTCCTTTGGGAGACGTCTATGTACGTGCACAAGGGATCTTAGATGAACTTCCTAAGAAAATCACACATCACAACAGGTAAACGCTAGACAATTATAA